TGCAAGGAATGCTCTTTCAATCAGTGAACTGAACGATAATCGTGGTGTCTATATCTCAGTTTCTATGGAATAGACTTATTTCATAGATGTGCCCAAAGAGTTTGGGGCGTTTTGAGTTCTTATTCAAGGATCCACTGAGTTCATGAGTGTTGCCAAGTTATTATTGAATGCTTGTCATGGAGAAAAACGATTTCGGGAAAAAAGTGATCGCATCTATAGACGACGTTGTGGTTGCAGAAAGTAAAGTTTCAAATTCCCCGTTTTCCGGTCGCCTGCTTTGTGGAATGGTACTCCACGCAGGATGGGAGGTCAAGTAGCTTCGTTCCACGACGCCCTTCGGCAGGCAAAGTGTTTTTACTCAAATTTACGAAAATCTAGAGTAAATCTAATTATTAAAACGCTTTTCTTAGGCGGAGTTAACGCCACTTTTTGACGGTGACTGCTGAACAAGCTATATATGATTCTTTATAGATGCAAGCCTAGAATACCCTTCAATTTTTCTTTTTAACATGCTCTGAGCATGGCCATATGTGTTGTCCCTAAGTACAACACTTTCAAGAAAGAAAGAAAGAAAGAAAGAAAGAAATGTCAAGGATAGTTGATCAGGAATGAAGTCAGCTGCACAAACTCTTCATTATGTATTTCCATTCTTATACAACCCCGTTATTCATGCTAGCGGCAATTTTTTTAGTGAGGTGATTAGAGTCAGCTCTAAGAACCACCTGTTTTAGTCGTGCGTATCACACTTGAAACCAGGGGTAACGTTTGTATAATCCAAAAGATAATTTATAAGACTTGCACAACCCTTTCCTATGAATTATTTCCTATGTTTTTATGAATAACTGGATCAGAAGTACAACCACACAAATACGAAATACGAAACGCTGCCGGTGGTTTCAATTAGAACGTTAAGTCTCAATTATTCTTTCTTTTCTTTTGCTTCCCATAAAAAAATGCAATTGCCCTGAACCTTCCGATTTACGATCACAGTTGAAGAGTACACGAACAAAATGGGTCAAACGTCTTTAAATGTCATGATAGAGAATAGCTTTTTTATCGATGTATACTTGTGAGACAATATTATTTAAATTTAAGAATAGGATCATTAATCGAATTCCACGATCTCTTTCAACGATAATCATACTCATTCATATGGTCGAGACCGTGCTATAGTTTAACGTGCAGATAACCAGTTGATACCTGCAACCTTTCAGATTTGCTAACTTTTTTCCCTTTTCAAAATCTCTAACTTAAACAAAAAGCATCGTTTGCTTTTGTGATTGAAGCGTCATAATTGTTGAAATATGGCAACACTTGAATTGTCCTGAATACAGCATACAGACATAATCCTGTTCGGCCGCCACTGAATTCAGTTACACCGTACTTGGAATTTCAGAAAATGTTATCACCTTAACTTCAGCCTAGGTTAAGTTTTCAATACTCTAAAGCTTTGGCCACTTTGGGCTTCGATGTTCTAAGACAATGAAGACTAAAGCATCCTTGGAGGCTGTCAGGTGTTACAACAGATTAATTTAATTCAATTCCCAGAGGTTCCAACTCAGTAGTCATCTTTCCATTCAAGTTGCCCGGACGACGGTCTGATCCTGTACTTTCACAATATAGGGAATTCAACAATTCGCGACTTTCGTAAGTCGATGGAATGTTTCAGCAAGCAAACGAAAAGGTGACGAAATATTACGAAACGATATCGATCAAAATAACGTCATACTGTAGTACACTCTTAAGCCAAAAGTTGATTCACGGATCATCAATGTAAACAGAAAACTTAGTTTGAAGTGAGTGTTAACAACCAAAGAAAACAAATATTATCTGTAAATAACATAAAACTTGTATTGCTATGGCTTCAATACAATCATGAAATGCTTCTTTAGAAACAAGCTGACACGAATCGAAGAAGCAAACGTGACCGTAAGCCCAAACTGCTTCGTGACCGTAAAGTAATTTCATTCAGTCAGAGATTACGCTCGTGCTGACACAACGCCACCAACGGATTGCAAAACACTTTGGTAAATGCGTGACTTAAGAATGCTACGTTTGTGGGTGTGTCAGTGCTCAGACGTGTAAGGGTAAAGTTCACGTTTACTCAGTTACAGTAGTTATGTTGCGCAATGTTGTTCAGTCACGTCATTCGCTAGTCGTTTCTAGAATAATCTGGACACGCACGAGAGAGCTTGCGGACACGCACCTCTAACGCGTGCAAAGTAAAGAAGTTTTGATCACAAAAACAGGCGGTTTGCTTCTCGATTTCCTTCTTTGAGTTATTTATTTCGCCAAAGAAACGTTACGACTCGCAATGATTAATTCCTACGTTCTTTCTAATTTATTCTCTCCCTTTCTTACATATATATCTAGCATTAAGAAAACAGAACGCTTTAAAAAAGAACAACAATTGTCTGCCTTTCATGTATATTTATAGTTAATTTTTGTCTGAAAATGCGACTGAGCTATATTTACCTCTAAGAAATGTCTTCCAAAAATCATTCCTTTTCTAGTTTCCTTCAAAATGTGTAGAAATTAAATTATAAGCTAAAACACAAGAGATGTGTTAATCATAGCACTCTCGTTTTTCCTTCCTCTTTTTCAGGGGTGCATAAAAGTTATTTTAACCAATATGGTAATAGAATACACGGTCTCCTGCCGGAAAGGAATCTCGGGATTTCTAAGCCACAATGATTTTTTTTTAAATAAGTAATAATGAGAAAAGCTAAACTGCTTCTCGACAACCATCTTGACAAATCAAGACAGATACTTAAGTGTGAAGTAAGGTAAAAGGTTTTACCTAAAAGAAAAAGACTAAAAACTGTTTTGCTGGAACATGAAATCTTTATCACTTTCTTGAACTCTCTAATGGGAAAAAGTCAGACAAAACCAATTTAATATTTAAATGTAAATACATTTTCAGAACGAAGATGGTGAGAAAAATGACAAAAATAATACGAACGTTTTCTTCATGTTCCGCGCACAGTTCAAGATCTAGAGGACGTTTTGTTGTTTAATCCGACTCAAGTTATGAACGAATATTCTACCGAAAACTTTTGACGTACGGGCTCGGCACTGGTTCCGGAAAAAACGAAAATAATACAATATGAATAATAACTGCTACAATTGAATAACTCTCGTTAGCATCAAAGGAAAAACTTTAAAGCAAACTGCTTTTTTTTTCTTTTCGGGATGCAAACGACAAACTGGAAAGTAGACTTTAACCTTCGTGATTGGAAAATGACAAGGAAAACAAGTAAATGTGACAAAAAACCTCGATCTCGGCAATATATATCGTTGCAAATTTCGCTTTTTCTAGAGTCGTTTTCGTTGATAAGCCGCCACCCCGAAAGCGGCGGATCTCCAAAAACCTGATAACAATAAACTCAAAAACATCCTTCATATCGTTCCAGAATTTGAATTGCAAATTCAGTCTCCCTTTCACTGAGGTGGCAAAATCGACACATTTTTGAACGGCATAATACGATTCCCCATAGCTACCGCGCTTCTTTTAAGTAACATCTCAAATCCTCGAGCTCTCTTCAAATTAGCCGTATAAAGCAAAATGCCAAAACCGTGAAGTTTTCAAATGCGATGTCATCAGTCCCTGTTTCATCCGCTTTTGCTTCGCTTCCAAATTCTATGAATAAGTAATAGGTGTCAAGTTAATGATATCTGTGTTTTTCACCTGCTCCAACGGGTGAAATGGGGATTCGCAGCAAGCATTTGACGTCAGCCAACGTAATTCGCGAGCTATTTTTATCACGAAACCCAAGCAAAAACTAATGCACCTGCTCCTGTTATTCAGCCTTCGGCAAATCATTCTTTTTTTGTCATGGACACCCACGGCAGCACTAATTGGTGTCCGTTTATAGAAATGGTTTATTTTTAACAAAAATATTTTGGAGACTTCCCAATTTAGAAACTGGGAAAAGGTAGTAATAGTGATAATAAAAACGAAAACATGTTTTTTTCATAAAGGCTTAGTGCGCAGCAAACTCTCTAGAAAAAGAAAATTTAAGTAAAACTATATATAAAAAAAATATTTTTTTCGACGGCAGATTGTACAATGTTTTATTTAACAGAAAAATCTTCCCAATCTTAAGTGGTTTATTTTACATTTTTCTTTAAATAAGATAACCCAATAGCAAGTGATAAATTTTTAACGATGGGTTTTTTCGCAAATAAATTATGAGGCACGTTCGAGGAAGCCGAATTTTGAAGTACGGGCACAAGACCATTCAAAAATTGAGCAATATTTAAAGTTGGTAACCGGACCCTCAAAATATTTGCATGAATTTGTCTAGATAATTCGTTTCTTGTCACGGACGACTGACTGAGGGCCCAACAGCGAATGAACGTCATAGAGTAAACAATAATTGAACAATTGTACAATATAAACTTGGGTGACAACCGATGACGCGTATGCAAATTATCAACTAGCATTTCCGTAACGCCAGAAACGAAAACTCTCGACTCCATTCGCTTTGTCGCCTAGCAATTCTATGTTTTTCGATGAAAGAGGATTCTTAGTGGAGAATTAAAGTCGTTTGTTTCAAATTCCAGGCGAAACGAAAATGTGCCGAGAGTCATTTTTCGATCAAACCGCTTGACGATACCGGTTATTGATAAACAATACACATTTACGCAATATCTATCTACGTCAAAGCATGACGCACATCGGCTAAAATTAGCACCGAGTTCATTGGCTGCCTGACATTATTGGAAAATTCTCGCACGTCACGACATTTAGAAATGAACAATGAATTTTAGATTTAAGGAGTCGCCCACTCGGTTCGTACACAGAATCGTCGAGCTCTACGAAGCGAAGGAGGTAAATCCGACGGAACGCAAACGACCCCGAAGTTCTAAGCCGAGTCGCAGTTATTGCTGGCCAATAACTCGACCTATACCTATACTGTTGATCAGTTTAAACGACAAAAAACTACTTCAAGTTATTTAACCCAACCGTTTGGAGAACCAAGTATTTGTAATTTATCATGATGATTACCATGACTGAAGCTTTGGATAGCCTTGCTCAAGTTGCTACGGACCAACTTTTTGGTTTTGATACCGCCAGTCTTCTCACACCTCAGCTTGCTCGCCAAGTTCCTCAACTAAGCGCCGAGGAATTTTCATTTGTTCACGCCGGCATGGATGAACCAACGAATATTTTTGGTGAGCCGGTTGATTTCCACGACACTTCTGTTCCAGGTACTTAGTAAAACTAACGAACGTTAAATTCTAACAGCCACCGTTCGGACCAAGTTGTCTGTTATCGTCGGAAGCGAATCCACCTACGCGAATCGCCGTGTTGGTGTTTTCAAAAATAAGCGTTGGCTCTGCATAAGACCGTGGGAATTTCTTTCTTTCGAACATTTTTAACCGTCAGTCTCGCTGAGTGCCTTTCGAATCTGTTCGTTCAACTAATTTGTGAAATTGTTCGAGTTCGACAATTTCGCATTACTCTCGTCAAACTTAAGAACATGGGCAACAGTCTTGTGTATCTTTTCAGACAAGTGTCTCTCTTTTCTTGTTAAAGTAAGGGTTCTTGTCTGAGTAAGTGAAGATTTAAAGTAATATTTCTTGCGCAACGCGCTCCCTTTAGAGGCAATGTTTAATTTATGATGCCACTCATTCCAATTTGTATGGTTTATTTACATTAGTTCGCTAACACTGATTTTGCCTTCTCGCTTTTCTCAGGAGATCTTGACCTGGATTACACTGTGCCAGACGTAAAGCAGGAGGGTGCAAACCAGTCTGTCAAAGCCTGTCAACAGCGTTTGGCTCACTTTAAAGTCCCAAGTCTACATGATGTGATTTCGGGACCGACTGGATCGACTCCACCACCGAGCGGACACGCTTCTCCTTACAGTTCTCCTGCTCACAATCTGTGGATTCCTGACCGCACAGTTCTTACTCCCTTGATCAGTCAGGCTGGAACTACACCTTGGAGCACATTTTTCTCGGACACAAAGCTTCCAATGTCCCAGGAAGTAAGTTCAGCACCAAACAAGGTACAGACTCCTACTCCACAAGAACTTCCACAAGAGCAGGTGGCAGTCTCAGCAGCAAACAACCCACAAACCAACTTTTACCAGCGACCTATTCAACAGCCAGTGAACTCTAATTCACCGATGTTTATGCAAGCTACAGCCACACTGAACATGAAATGGCCAATACTTAGTGGTCCTTCTCCATTTCCTACCACAATGTCTCCAGATCACTCTGCAATGATGGACAAGCTCCTTCTGCACACCACAACTCCTTCTGACTTTCTTACTACGCCACCAAAACCTGTTCAAAGAGGTCGCCCTGCCAAGGCTGGTTCTGCTATACTGAAAGCAAAACGTAATAACCCTGCTGATGGGCGCTCACGAACACCACCAAGTGAGCGGCCTTATGCATGTCCAGTTGATACATGCCCACGAAGGTTCTCAAGGTCTGATGAACTGACACGCCACATGCGAACCCACACTGGACAGAAACCATTCCAGTGTAGGATCTGCATGAGGAACTTTTCCCGTTCAGACCATCTGACAACTCACATCCGTACACACACTGGTGAGAAACCTTTTGCCTGTGACACATGTGGTCGACGATTTGCACGATCTGATGAACGCCGTCGCCACATGAAGATCCATTTGAGAGAACAAGCTAAAAAAGAGGAGGAAGCCAGAAAAGCCATGGCTCAAAGTAATGGAACTGTTTCACCCATCCAGAGCCGGTCTCCTCAATCAACACCATCACCCCTTCAGGTCCCAGTGACCTCGGTGAACTCTTTTTAAAGTATTTGCCACAAACATTTGACAGTGCAGGCACTGTTTCAACACTACAGTTTTAAGAACATTACGGTTTTGAAGAACTCTTATTATGGTAAGTGCCTTATGTTTTGAGGAACATTTGTGTATATTATTTCAAGGAAGAATTTTAAAGGAAGGCTGGTCCTTTGTACAGATTTTCATTATGCAGGTTTTGCAAGGTACTGGAAGTGTCATAATAATGCTTAATGTAAGGTATTTTTTCAGTTATGGAGTTTTATGTTAGCATACAGCTGGTCTCTGTATTTCTTTGAGCTAACATAACCTTCATGAAAACAGTGATCTGTTTTGCTAATTGGTGTTATTGTTTATCAAGACAAAGTGCCCCATGGCACTCTTCACATGCAAATCTAGTTGTATTTATAAGTTGAGAAAATTCAGAATTAGGCTGGTCCTAATGTACATAGTTTTATGTGCAGATCATTCTAGACACTTAGTGTCTTACTAGGCCTATTTTTCATACAAATATGAAATAGAAACAAAAAATACAGCTGGTTTCTGTATACAATTTAACGTAAGATATTTTGTGTAAAGAAGTTAAGTATTGCCAAATTGTTCTCCTTGGTACAGTAGATATAATTATACATAATTTTTTTCATAACTAGAAATCAAATTTACAAGAATTCATAGCTTTTTTTGATATTCATGAGTACTCACATACGGGTTTAACCCAGTTGTATAAACATTTATAGATGTTGACTGTTTATCAAGGAGAATGATTTTTTTCAAAATGTCAGAGATTATAACAAACTAAGTAAAAGTCAAGCTGGTCATTGACTCGATAAACACAGTGCTGGTCACTTAAAGATAATAACAATAAAAGTTGAAAAGATTTGAAGAATTTTACAGTCTGTTTGATGTCCATTTATAAACATTTAAGGGGTCTCAACACAGACCCTATCCTCCCTATCCTCCAGCCCAAATTGTTTACATCCTACACCTTCCTACAGAGCTGCTGACTAATCTCTACAGGATTCTTCCTGTATGTTAGTTCCAAAAACTTAAGGGATAATAGTACACCATGTACTAATCAACTCTGAGCAGTTGAAGAGACAAAATCCCGTCTCAACAATTCAATTTCCAACCATTTTACAGTATATTGACAGAAATAAACTAATTGTTTTGGTTTCTGTGGGGTATATCCTAAAACAATTATTCTCTTCAGTGTTGGTGAAAGTGGTGGTTAATTACCTCGATGCTTTGTGGCTCCGTAAATATCCACTATTATTCACCTCCACTTCGGTGAATAAAAGTTAAAAAGCACCTGGTTGTAACAAAGAGTATTTCATACCCAGTCCACATATCCATTTTTCTTTACATGCACCATCCTTTTTAATCCCCATTTTGCAGCTTGGATTTAGTATTACACTAAAGGATATGGTACATTACGAATAAAAACGATATAGGCACTTACCATTTCCGGAAACAGACATAATATGTTGCTTTGAAGAAGTTTCTTTTCACTCAGCTAGAGAACCATTGAAGGCAAAATGGAAATTATGAAGAACAGAAATTATGTAATTGTGAAACAAGCTGTTACCCTGTGACGGTTTTTAGGAAACTTCAAAGAAAAGTGGTGGCTCTGAAAGTGATAAGAAATGAAAATAACAATAAGTAAACTTAAAGACAGATTGTAAGAAGGATAGAGAACATTAGAGATACTATGCTGGCCGGGAAGATCACCATTTGAAGAGATGTCTGCAAAAGGTGTCTTTCATCTTCCGTTTGAAACCCCTCATTAGAGAACACAGCTTATGACTCACTCTTTTGAAGTGATCGGGTCCATGCTGTCCTGATCTTCACCTGATATCGCATAAAAATGGAAATTCAGTTCCTTTCTTTACAAAAGAGTCCAAATTTTCATCAGACTTTACAGCTCTTGGAATACGCGTCAAAAGAGCCGCACACTTGTCATCGCGCCGTCGCGACTCGTTTTCGAACCAACCAATTACATCGCAGAATTTATAAAAAAATTGCCGCCAAATTAAACACCTGATAAGCTTCGTGTTTATCATTACCTATGGTCGCCATGTTGGCCAAGCTGTTCGTAGTGCTATTGAGCTATCTCCTTCTGGTGTTTCTTGCCGCTCGAATCTTCGAAATTTCATCAACATGGCTGAAAGCTGGTTGTCTGGCTAGTCAGCTGTTGAGTCCGTTCGCTCTGAGTGTCAGAAAACTAAAAGCGATTTTGGAAGAAAGGGGCGTTAGTTACACGGGTTTGGTGGAGAAGAAAGAGCTTGCTGAATTAGTCGAGGCTTGCGGAGCGGTGACAGGGGCCGAAAGCTGCTCTATTGGCACCGAAAGTTCTGGAGAAGACGAAGAGGAAAGCAACGAGCTGCAATTTACTGGAGCATCTCACTTCTTTGAGGAAGTGGAAGATACCAAAGCAGGGACATGGTTGGTTGATGTCATACCTGAAGGTCACTCGTCCTTGCTCCGTAGGAAGCAATGGTTGGTCCTCAAAAGGAAGATCGTTCGATTTGGTATTCGAATCGGAACATTTTACTGTGGCAATGATCCGAGATTGTGCATTAAGTATGGCTGGAAGGAGCCGTCCCTCGCTATTTCTATGCCTCAGGGAAATCAACCGAAGGGTAACGTCATTTTAAAAACATACAATTCAAAACCTTCGGTGGAACTGGTGTTCAGGTGGATTAGCAAAGAGCTGTCTTTTAAGATAGAAACATTTGACAGAGTAGAAGAATTTTCTAATGCATTTAAAGCGAAAATAAAAGAAAATCCCGTCTATGTCGTATTATTCACGACATTACCAGAACCTCCTTTATACCTTGCTTCCCTTTCAGTTCAGTTTACGGGAAGAGTTCGATTTGGACACGTACGAGTATTCGATTGGACGAGAAAAAAACATATCCTGAAAAACTACAACATCAAAGATTTTCCAAGCCTCGTGATATTTACACCAGAGGGGAATTTGACGTACGGTTATAGAAAAGGAGAGTGGATAAGATATCATAACCTTGAACTATTCCTAAAAACACTACATCCAGAAGTGAATGATGTATTTGTGACAGTGTTCCTGATGATAAATGTGGGCTGTTGTATGGCTTTATTCATAATAGATGGGGGCATACTGAAAAGATTACTTAACTTCATATGGCTCCTGATATTTTATAATACCAGCCTTATAATTCTTTGCCTTCCAGTCCTCTCAATATTGCAACTACCGTTACTGACTCCAGTTCTGGATTTTGTCCTGAAATACTCCAGATATACTATGACATCAGATGCTGCAGCAATTATGAGAAATTACTTAAGTTTGGGATTACAACACAAGTGGTTAATGTTTGGGGGATATTTTTGCTATGGTATAATGATATGGTGGGTGCAGAAGAGAATTAGATGGTACTTTGGATACGAGAGTGAAAGTGACAATGTAACATCAATCACAGAATGGTTTACTCAAGATCTTCACTACTTTACAAATGTTGTACAGACATTTCCCTCTTTGGGACAGTCACGAATAAACTACGGTGTTTCTGGTCTTGAGGATGGGTTTGAACTTCTTATTCGACGCCTTGCAGTCCCTGAACTGTGGCTCCGTCCTGTTATTCCCACTGAATATCTTAACAGCCTCCCAGTTTGGAGATTCTGTCATTCTCAGGTGAATCATAACTCTGACAACAAACATAAGCAGTGCACAAGCAAGCACAATTCTTGTTGCAAAGAATCTGTAAAACCACCTGGGATGTTGGTGGCACAAGACTGCTCAATATGTCTGGAGGATTTCAAAAGTGGTTGCATGTTACTTGGCCTCCCTTGTGGTCACTGTTACCATCAGAGGTGCATTGAAGAGTGGCTTTGTGGGGGGAATTCCAGTGGTCATTATTGTTGTCCTGTGTGTCGCTGGCCTGCTTTTAAGCAAAAGCCTCCGGCATTAGGAGCAAACCCAATAAGAAGTCAAGCTCAAGAGACAAATGTTTGAGTATCCTAAGGCATTGTAAGACATGGCCACCAGTGCTTGAAGGAACAGTTTTTGAAAGCAGAATTTTTTTTCTCTTTTTTAACCCTAAGGCCACAGGGTCTTATGGTGAGTAAAATTTTCTTTTTGGTCATTTTCTTTCTGTTACAGCTATTTGCAAAACTGTCTCAAAGTCTCTTAATTTTGGTGAGCTATTCAGGACTTCTGACTGATACGTAAGATTAAAAAATTGCATTTTTTTTTCCAATTTTACTTTTAAATTAATGATGTAAATGTGTTGTGTATGCTTTGAAGCTTCAGTTTTTAAAAGTTATTTTACTCTTTAACTTCCTTTACAGTCTTGCATATTTTTTTGATCATTAATTTTAACTTGAATGAGGGTATTAGAACAGGCCAGGTTCATTTGAAATTCAGACAAGAACTAGAAGGTGTGGGAACGAAACAAATGAAATAGCACTAAGGTTTTAGCATGGATAATACATTCCTTTAGTCTGTTCCCATCAGCTTTTGAGCTAAATATGAACCTTTTTTTTTAACTGATAATAATACATAATGAAAATTACACATGAAGATGATCACCAATTTAAGAAGCTCCTGATTGTCGATCAAATTCTCTTTGTCACTGAGATAAGAAATGTAAAGAGAACTGTATGGAGAATATGAATGCTTGTGTTGGGGTGTAAGGGGTTAAAAAGATTATTACCATATGGAAATGGTGAAGTAAATAGTACAATTAATAATCATATTTAAAATATAACAAAAATTGATGTAATCTGAAAAGTTTTTCAAACCTCTCAAAATAGAAAAATTTGGGGGTAATTCAAACAGAGAAACAGGCATGCTGTTAAGGACAAAATCCTCACAGCAATTTTTTTTGTACTAATTCCTCTGGAAACTTGAATGTGTGATCACTGGCTACTAAAAGAGAGAGTGTAGCCAAGCTTGAAAGTAATGTAAATCATTTTTTTTCTAATAAAACATTAAAAGGCATTACCTTTGGTTTTCTTTTTGCATGTGTATGTTAATTTTCTAGAAGGTGACTCTTGTTCATGTCAGCCTTGACCTAATTATTAATGAAACAAGCCCCATCCTAATGTTTCATGTTTGCAAATGCATTATTTCAGTACTACCTGAAAGGCAATCATCATCATCAACATGACTCACCCATGTAAGGTTGCATTTGATTTGTTATTTAAACAATTTTACTTTGAATGAGCTCTCTAACTTTTTGATGTAATGCACCATTGAGTGCTAGTTGAGTATGGCACTCAAGCAATCTATTTTAATTAAATTTCACTCAAGTTGTGTGGAGTTAGTTGCTACCCCCTGCTTGATGGATTGTAGAACAGACAATATCACTAATGGAGGAAATGTGTTTGTTCTTTGACATGTGAGCTGAATTCACATGTTAAGCAGCATGTTACTCTCATATGAGACAGGCCAGGTGTGTCACTCTATGATGTGCAAGCTGTCATAATTTAATCTTGAGCCCAGCTTGGGAAAATTCAAGGCACCAAAACAACAACAGCGGAACATATTTGCATATTCTACAAATTCTATCACAAAGGACAAAGTGAGCTCCTAAGATGTAACATGTGACCCACAATGTTAGTGTTAAAAGCATCAAGTGGCTGAAAGTATTGCTACTACCCTAGGATGGGATGCTTTTACATCACAGGTTACTCTCAGCATTTCATCAGGCTTCCCTGTTAGTTTATTGGCACAATGAGATTGTCTTACTTATGTAAAGAAGATTGTCTTACTTAAAAGTAAAGAAGGAAATACAGGGGTTTCAATAACTTTTTGAATATGTGACTGCCCATGGTGTAATAAGCCCAGAAAATGGACTAAAGGTGAAACTCAAACTCAGGAGCTTCACAAGCTCAACAGATGGCAAGAAGTCTTATAGGCAGCAGTAGACTACCAGTAATCAGCTTTTATTGAAACCCTTAAGAATGGTGCAGCCAGGGCTCAAATCTGAACCTCAAACCCTGGACCCCACTGCAGTAACCATTTGCCCCATCCAGTCTCCAAAATGTAAGGTTCCACACTCAAAACAGACCTTCAATTATGTTGTGTAGTTTAGTTCTGTGCATTTAAAACATGCTCAATAGAATTTTTTTTGTACACACATCGGGCCATTATAATTTGTGTAATGAGTTTTAAGAGCATGTGTGAATAGAAGCACTATTTTTACATTAAGAAACATCCTGGCAACAATTTCGAACAAAGCATTTATTTCATTTCAAAGAATTTTTACTCCATAATAAACACAACTACAAAGCAGTTCTATTGTCATTATCTTATCTCAAAAATTCATGACAGTAATGTTTCCTGTCAGGAAATTATTGACTTTATCACAAATATATCTATTAACTTTTAAAATCTGCTTCATCTTTATGCTGGTCAATGGTTATTCTTTTTCACACATATACAGTAGAACTCTGCCAACTCAAACTCAGTAAACTCAAATTTCTGGTGACTCAAAAAAGATCTGATTTTCCTTGACCCCTTTTTTCAGTCATTTACTCAGCTAACATGAACCATTTTTTGTTTGAGTTAGCAGGGTTCTAGATACTGTATCACTTTCTTTACAAATAATATTGTAAATAATAAATAATTTTACCATTAGTAAGTCTCATCTTATGAGTTCCTGCATTTAAGATTTATCTTGGTTTCTCCTATAGAATATTTTGTAATATTTTAAAGCACAACACTTCCTGATGTAAATGAGCTGTTATATTTACAACTTTGATTTTCATGTTTGGCAGAAATCAAATTTCCAAATACCATGTCCCTCTGTGCCTCGGAAAATGATAAAAACCAAATGTAGAACCATGAATTGAGTACTTGGCTTCTGTTCTCAGTTCAAATGTATGACAATTCCATAGAGTAAACTTAAGAATTATTAACTGTTTGGAACATGTTCATGGCCACAGGAGTCAAGTCATTTTTTTCTTTGTAATCATCAACAGAGAACTGGCAACGTTTGCCAACCTCTGCTCTGTCATCTAAGGAATGCTTTTGTTCAAATGCAAACAGGTAGTATCTGTGTGGACCAGATCTTGAGGGTGGAGTAGGCGGGTTGTAACCTGCAAAATGTTTGAAAGATAGACTGTAATAAGAGATCATAGACCAAAAGCAAGCAGGATGCAGAAAAAAATGTAGTAACACTGGTAAAAGGGTGATACAAAAGAAGTATAATGACAGATAGTTTCACATTTAGGCTATAAATCAGAGCAGAAACAACTTGGTCCATAACTTACAGAATGGTACAAACTCACTTAGTAAGAGGTATACTGGTATATTTTTTGGGGGGACTGAAGTGGGTTCAAAATCAAATGACTTCATTCTAGAACATAGTTTGACTCAAGGTCCAAAGTGCTTTTAACACTGATTTTGGTTTAAACACAGGCCATGCACACAATCATGTTTACCTGTGAAAGTGTCACCTATAATATTGCCTTTTTTTAAGTCATCTCCCTAGGAGAGGACAACAGTAATCAACAAGTAAGTAACACAAAACAAACACACAATTTTAATGATAGTAATAACTCTACCTAGGAGGTTAAAAAACAATTTTTGTAAAACAGATTAGTGTAATATTCTACTCACTTTAATGTTACCAACAATCCAGTGAAGCCAGCTTCTACAACTATGGCTTTCTCTAGAGGGAGCATCAGGATCTACCATTGCTATCAAATATTTCTTAACAGAAACCTAAAATAAATTTTTGACATATAATTAAGCATGATAACTTCTAACTTCACTTATTAAAATCAGAACTTTACATAGAGATTAAATATTCTGCAAGTAAAATATTGATAAGCACCTTGAAATAATGTACAATCACATCATATATAGGTAGTTCATGACATACAAACTATATTACTTCCAGGGTTTCTTGGCCTTGCACAGACTCAAGAATGCAGTAAGTTTGGAGACTATTTACTTGTTGCCTACATGCACTAAAAGTACATTTGGTTTCAGCCCAACAGGAATAGTCAATCATGAAGTGTACGTGTGTTATTTTTTATCTCAGGGGGCCCTGCACAATTCTATGCATATTTTAAATTTTAAAAAAAGTGTAGAAATGTCTGAAAGCTTTGAACCATTGCAGTTAATGTAAAAAAATTGTTGCTTTTTGCTGATCTTCGGGTTCACATCGGCTTAGTTGAAAGCCCCAAGTTTCTTATTGTAGTTTAAAACTTTGAAAGCTAGAGCTCACATAAAATTTAGAAATTCAGCAATTCTAAGCTTGTTTAAGTGCCACTAACCCCCCAAATTTTTTTTACAATAAAAGAAATTTCCTTGTTTACTGATCATCGCAGTGAAAGAATTATTGCAATTGCATAAAACCTTGCAATTCTTCAAGCTGTGAAAGCTTAAAATTTTTCATGTCCATGAAGGTGCATCTTCGGCCCTGGATTGGGGAATGTTGTTGTGTCACCCCAGGAACCATGCTACACTGCTGCAAAGAAAAACTTAAAGACACATTGTCAAGACAGGAAATGATTTTGGGGATTTTCCTTTCTTTAAATGCCAAGGACCTTCCATAAAGCACCTAAAGAAAGCCATATCATCTTGAGACTCAAAGTTGGATAGTGACTATATGACTACGAGGCATTCGACGCTTTCTAATCAATCAGAATATGATGGGGAGATGGAGGAAATTGACTGTGTACCAAAAGTGAAGCACTAATGAAATGGAGTCTAGAGATCCCTGACACTACTGGAAAAGAAATCTCTTCGACTCTTACAAGCTCATCTCGAGAAGGCACATCCCAAAAAGCCTATGATACAATGTAAGGGCAAACATTGTAATCAATGAAGATTTTAAATCAGATCTAAGCTTAAAAGAAAGCAGAGCGTGATCTTGTGGGAGCTTGAGTGAAATTTCACTACAGATGCATTAAAAGCTAGTGATGTAAACAAATTAGCAATGGAATTGAAATCTAAACTAAACAAGGTCAACAAGCTCCATGTAAATTTGAGAGCACAAGCAGGCAATAAAGAAGTTGAGTCTTATAAGTTTGCATTCTCAGCCTTTTCAGAAATGAACTACAAGGGTGAAACATAACCCAAGTAAATAAGAAGCAGTGAAAATTGCAAAAGAAAACAGAGACAAAGGTAGAAAGATAAAAGATTGAGTCATGCAAGTAGCACATCAGGAACCCATCAAATGAACAATGGACAGATGAACAAATTTAGGGCTGACATATCTACATGTATGTCAGAAAATCACACTCTCTGGCACAAAAGCATGCAAAGGGAAAATATTAATAGGGAATCCACCTTTGATGTACAAACACATGATGTACAAACACATGATGTCATTTAGATGTCTGTCCTCTAATAGATCATAAGTGAGAACCAATCAGAATGTGTGAATAACTGAGCTTATTATATAATGGAGGATAGATGGCATTACCATTAACCTTTAACACCCTAATATAAGAATGCATATTCTCTGTACTGTTCTCTATGCATTGCCTTCAGTGCTGACGAGGAGAATTTGTTCAACAATCAAGAACTCCTTAAGTTGATTATCATTTTCTCTATTCTTGTAACCTAAATGTTTGATTCATGTTTGGTGATGACGTTGGGAGAAATTGGATGCTGGTCACTCTTTGGGGGTCAAAGGGTTAAAATATTCCTTTGTTATCATATAAAACAAATAGATTTACTTGTTTCCTTGGGTCTGTAAAGTCATAGATTACAGTAGACACCAAAATGTCATACAAATATTAGTGACACTCTCTATGGCACCTCGTGTCGGACTAGTTGACGACTTCTCTATCAACATTGTGAGATGCATAATGCAAATTATAATTTTTTAAGTCGAGCTTTTCTGATACAAATTGTACAATACGTACAGCTGTGCCATATGATTTCAGTAAGACTTAGCAATGTTACTCCTATTTAGTGAAGAGGTTCCACCCCTCTCCAGTTCAGCGACAAGCTTCAAACATCCATGAAGTTTTATTAAAATCCTTACCGCTTGTGAGTAGCGAACTCGTGGCGGGGAGTCCGAGAATGTCTCTAACTCCACATCCTGGTCACAACTGGCTTTTGACAGCGAAGGTTGATCACCAAACGTTACATCCAAAAATTTCCCATATCCTTCCCAATTCTGGCAGGAATAGTCAATCAAAGATGAATGGACAAACGAAAACCCCCAAAGCAAAAATGTCAACGCGACACGTTGATATCGCCCGTACGCCATCTTACCTGTTATCACGTGACCAAAACAACACTCAGCTCCTGAGTATTCCCTCCTGGTGTACGATGACCTGCTTTCTGTACTCAGACTTCCTCTTTCTCTGCAAGCCTGTACTGCTGACTAATATGACGTCAAAACTGACTTCGCATCCTCCACTATTTACGTGATAAAGCAACTACGAAATTTCTGATACGTGATTTGAATTATTTTATGATCCGATAGTAAACGTTGAAGTTGCGTGTTTCAGTTTGCGTTTTCCTAAGTTACGTGCCTTCCTGAACAAGTTATTCTAATTTCAACTCTTACCAAGCATTCAACTTGTACATTTAATTAAAAAATATATTTATATTTTTCAATTAGGCTGTACAGAAAGCTTAAACCACTAACTTTCTCGCTTTCCACCAGCAGAAGATCAAACCTGAATCTTTCTTTGGCCACAAACACTGGCAAAAATCTGTATACTTTTGTCTACACTGTACCCAGTTAAAAAATTAAATCTTGTCGAAATATCTCCCATTCGTTTAACCTGAAGCTTTTAAATATTCTGCTTCACTTGTCTAAGCCTTGATCTGATAATACAAAACCTTAGGCTTGAAAAAGATAGGTGCATCCAAAGGATGAGAACAATAATGTCAATATTTACTATTAAACTGAACTAAATTTGTTTTATACTTTCTATTTAGTTTTAAAAGTTTATACACCCGTCGTGAAAATGAAGAAAAAATTTGAATGCTATCGTTTAGACTACAACGCACCAAATGAAATACAGTAGGTTTGTGACCTGTCACCCTATCTTTTTTATGATAAATCTTGTAAAAACGTTTTCGATCCAGTTAAATAAAGCGTCTTTAATATTCTGGCTCACTTGACAGAGGTAACGCTTAATCCAACTCAAATTTAGGCCCAAATAAGAAAGTTGCATGCTAGGGAAGATAATAGGAAGCATTATATCTCGTCCTACCCTTAAGAATTGCTGATTTGGCAAGTCTGTGGTGTTCCTAAATAGTTTTAATGTTCCATTTTTTTCAACTTTTATTCTAATACTTTGTCAGTAGAGTTATGTTTCATTAACTGAGCTGATAATGTCAATTGGCAAACATTAAGATATTCTAAAGCTGTCGTTTTGAGTGTTAGTCGTTCAGGTGGGGAGGCATACACTGTTGCTTCGAGAAAGGGGGTAAATTTCTAAAGAAACTGTAGTGCTGCGTGGGTGGGAGAGTATAACAAGGTGATTTAGTATTATCAACTGAGTTAATTACGTAAATCGGCCTCTGTAAAGAGTTTAAAAGCTGACGTTTCGAGCGTAAGTCCTTCGTCAGAGCGTTAACCCTTCGTCGATCGCTCTGACGAAGGACCAACGCTCGAAACGTGAGCTTTTAAACCCTTTACGATGGCCAATTTACGTAATTAACTCAATTGATGATGCTAAATTACCCTGTTTCGAGTAAGGTTGTCGGAAGAAAGGGAAAGTTGCACGCGACAATCCCGAAAGGTAATCCGTTTATCTGATGACCGATGACATATTATAAGTGAAATAAATGAATAAATTCATCAAACCAGCGATGCCTCGTCCTTACAGTGACGTTTTCCCAGATTTCCCTGAAATCCTGTCGTCAAGGAACGTGACAAGAAAACTACCCACAATACCTTTCTGGGTTGTCAAGTGCGCTTTACTCCCTTTTTTTTTTTTTTTTTTTTGAAAGCCTTTCTCGAAACGGCTGTATGTGGGGATTATATACAGCAAAATGGAGCTTCGCTATTGGTGGGAACATGAAATAGTTCTCAGAAAGTTTTCAGGCTCAAATGTGTAGATCACACGAAATTTAAGAATTATTCTTTGTTCGGAACACGTTCATAGCCACAGGGGTTTTCTTTGTAATCATCAATAGAGAACTTGCAGCGCTCGTCAACCTCTATTATGTCATTTCTGTCATCAAAGGGAAGCCACTGTTCAAATACAAACAGGTAGTATCTGTGTGGACCAGATCTTAAAGGTAAAAAAGGTGGTTGGTGATCTGACAAATAAACGATGATTTTTAAAAAGATCACACTTATTCGCAATCATTGTTTTTTCCTTTTAATTTTTTGTGGCTACTGCATTCTGGGAAAGCGTAGCCATTACGTCATCGCCCTGTAAGTGCGCGCGTAAGTTAACTTTTCCGCAAGAAGCCCAGCTGAATACTCGCCTCAAGTTCGTGAGGCACGCCTTTCTTTTGTGGAACAGGGTACTCATTAATATTTTGCCGCGTACTTAAAATGTTGGGAGTTTCCGTGTCTTTCGACCCGTTACCCCCCCCCCCCCGTTAACCCTTAAGCGTGATGAGCATCTAATTTCTCCTAACAGTATCATCCGCAATCAAACACGAAAGTGAAGAGAATAAAAGGAATGATGGTAAACCCTAGAAGCTCTTGATGTCAGACAAATTCCCCTCGTAAGTACCGTTAGAAATATACAATATGGAGAACTTGCATACTGATGCAAAGGTGTAAAAGGCTAAACAGACAAAAAAACTGTCCCCATATCTGGCCTATTGTTCTCGCACGCATCTTCCCAACAACTGCATCGCACCAATTCAACTTTTAAACTGCCAAGAAAACGACGCAAGCTGAAAATTGAAATCGACGAAGTTGCAGATATGAAATGAATTTATTTCACCTTGATTGTACTTTTCATAAAAAAAAATGTTTGGCACACTTCCACAAGTATCTTGAAAGTGGAATAAATACAGACAAAACCAGTCACCATTCTTCACACCATAGAAAGTACAGATAACAGAGAGGAGTTCAAAGTGTATTTGAGGACGAAGAATGACCATGTTTGCCTTCGTATAACACACTACGCCACATTTTTTAACTTAGCAAGTCCTTGCACGATGCTTAATCGACACGGTTCAAACGGCGCCATGCTCAAAAGTTGTTATACAGCGAACTTCTCAGGCCTCTAGATTCTAACTGAATTCTGCAAAGAGCCATATTACCCCCATTGTTTCTTGGTTAATTATAAGTAACAAAACCAACCACATTTGTTTCGGCACAAGATCGGCGCGCCGCTTAAAGCGAGCCTTCCCGTTGAGTCAAAATTCGTTTGCACGATGTAGAAGAAAGTCATTCTTCAACGCGCAAGCTTCTTTAATTGACAGGGGACTGTATAAGCCCAGTTAATTTAGCCCTTTACCTTCCAAGATCTGATTCTCCCCTCAAGCTGCTAAACATTAAGATATGAGAATTTGGTGTAAGATCAAGATAACAACTTCTACCTGATAGGTTGAGTATTCTCATCACCCGTTTGTTCGATAGTGTACAGACATTATAGGGAGAAGTTACATGTCAATCTCTTGTGGGAGTTAAACGGCTGAGTCAATTGAGGAAGCAAAACTGCACCCATCTCTTGGAATAATGAATTACTACTCTACGATGGAGGTTCATCATCCAGGAAAAAACGGTGAATTGCAGCTGCAAAAAAGGCTTTGTCGGTTTTGGGACAGAGTTTTAAAGTTCACCGTTAGAAATCGCTTGTATGAAAAGATGTAAGTATTAATGCAAGTTGCCCTACTTTCACTCTTTTATACAACATATCCCAGCAAACTAAGCATCGCTGTTTTGATTGCTTTTGATATTATAGTCAATATAATACTTTGACACTGAACTGGGCGCCTCTCGATTGAGTGTCGTGAAACTAAACCTAAGCGGTTCCAGAGGCCAGCGAACACTAAGGAGAATACCTGAAACAACGAAATCACGGAAACATCATCGTAATCACACGTGATTAAGTCGTGATTGGAAGTAGTTTTGCATCTGACTGGTTGAGGGGCGGTTTATTTAGACCAATCACAATAAGGCAACCCAGGATTACTTTTGGTACTCAATTGAAAATCGCTCTCGATCGGTTCCACTAGCAAGGAGTTTATGTTCCACAATGTGCATTTTGTCTCCCAACTGCGTTCCCAAACTCACAACGATTTGTCCTGTGCGTCGTGTAGGTTCAAAATATTAGTAATTGGGAGCAGCTCTCCCTTCTCATCTCGGTACTTTTCTTCAAACTTTCTTATGTCGCTACCGCACTCGTATTTAAAAATATCCACAATCTTATTCCAGCGCGAGATCTTGCTCCTCTGGCTGGCTTTCTGAGCCGGAGACCACTGGCACAGCGGGGGCATATCTCCCAGGCCGTTCTCCCACAGATAAATTACGTCCAGCGCATTCACCTTCTTCGGTAGAATAAAATCCGAACCCTTTTTCGTAGAAGTTCCGTCACCTTCTAGGATTTCTGAGTCACTACCTATTACTTTATCGTGTTCTTGGTCTTGTAACTCAACGTTCTGTTCGCCAACCTCGTCCTTTGGTACCATGCCAGAATTATTCAGAGCGGACGCAAAATGTTTTGGCAAATACGATGGAGGCTCGTTTTCTAAATCGTATTTAGACAAAATTGCGGAAATGGGCAACAGTTCACCTTTGGCGTTGCTAAATCTTTCTTCGAACTTTTCCCAACTTCCGCCACAATCCTTTCGAAAGATGTCCACGATTTTCTTCCAGCGAAAGAGTTTTGTTTCATGTCCTACTTTGTGGATTTTCGGCCATTTATTAACCGGCGGAAAAAGTTCGCAGCCTTCCTCCCATAGCTGCACTACATCCTTGGCAGTCACTTTACGCGGGAGTTGATAAATCTCACTCTCAGTCCCTTCTCCAGTTTTCTGACCGGGAAGCGCAACGGCAAAAGGACTAGACAGGCTTGACGGTGACTCCCAGGCATCAAACATGGCAACAATCGTGGTGACGGGATATAGCTCGCCGCGCTCGTCCGAGAATTTTGACTCAAATAAACTCAAGTCTCCTTTGCAGTGATATTTGTATATGTCATATATTTTAGTCCAGCGCGAAAACTTGCTGCGCTGTCCTGCCTTCTGTGCGGGCGTCCACTTGTGGAGAGGCGGTAGATCACCGTACCCAGTCTCCCACAGCTTGATAATATCCTTGGCAGTGACTTTGCGAGGTAAAATATGACTGCTACCTTCGCCGGGGCTCAAGCTTTCCAACTTAACGCCACTCGCGCCATTAGATGGGGCAGCACTGGGTGACATTTCTCCGCTTTCAGTTTCGTCTTGTTCATCAACTGATGTACTTAATCTGCTTCGGGCTTCGGGGATGTCAAAAATAGGCCCTGTAGTTGCGTTTTCCGCATCGTACTTTGCAATGATCGATGAAATGGCCAGAAGATGCCCGCGGTCATTTGAATACTTAGCATAGAAGGTGTCCCAGTTCCTGTTGCAGTCCTTATTAAAGATTTCAGCAATTTTACGCCATCGGAATATTTTAGTCTCTTGACCGATTTTCTGAGCGCGTGACCACTGACAAACCGGAGGGAACTCCTCGCAACCTTCCTCCCAGAGGCGCACAATATCATTTGGCGTCACCTTCCTCGGGAGAAAGTAACGTACTTCAGCTGACGGTTGTGCCATGCTGTTGTCCTCTCCTACTTTCGTAGGTTCTCTGTTGACATCAGTACCTTCGTAATCTTCTAGTTCGGAATCTACAGATTTCTGTATCTCCTTCTTGAAGTCTTCATCCACATCTTGGGCATCAACCTTCTCTTTGCTAAAAGCCGCCGCTCCCTCGTGGTCGGAATTGTTTTTACCAAGAAAGGCCGGAGTCTGCTGAGTTTCGTACAACGACAGGATGGTTGTCACCGGCAGAATTTCCCCTTTGTTGTCCGAGAAACTTTCTTCGAATTTCTTCATATCACCATGATAATGAAGCTTGAAGATATCAACGAGCTTTTTCCACCGAGATATCTTGCTCTGTTGCTTTAGTTTTTGTGTGGGAGTCCAATCTTTCAGAGGGGGGAACTCCTCACAGCCATGCTCCCAAAGGTTGAGTACTTCCTTCGCCGACACCCTCCTTGGAAGCTCATAGCTGCGCAGACCGCTCCTGTGAAGCTGTTGTGAGTTGGAGAATAAAGTCTTTTCACTTACAAAAGGAACGTTGGGTAACGGAGGTGCTTCTGGAGTCTCTGTCTTTGCAGTGGTATCGGCCAAGGTTTCCTGAGGAGTGGCCGGTGCCAACCGTTGGATGAATGGTCCCCCGCTTGCAAGTAGATGGTTTTGGGCTTCCACGAGGTCAGACAGCTTCTTGTATGATTCCTCCAAGGCGAGATTTCGGTTTTGAAGGACCTTGACCTGAAACGATGGAAAATAACAATGAAAGAGACTACAAGAACGCGCTTTAAGAGAAATTTACAATTGTAGGACGGACACTCACGAAGATCTTCTACGCAGTGTAAACTTGCCTTCTCTCTACAATAGGAGGCTTCAAGAGATTGTAATTTCAATGTACAAAGTTAGAAATGGTTTGGCCCCTGACTACATAGGTACTCTGGCAATTTTGCTTTTGTGACAGAAAGAATATTTGTGGAAACCTCTTTCCCCCCTTTTTTCTTTTGCTGCAATCAGTAAAAATAATTTAAATTTATAGGTTCTGATACAATCGGATAACACTGCAGATCAAATAAAATAAAGCTGTGGATTGTATTAGTTGGTGCTGCAACATCCCATCAAGAAAAAGTAAGGACAGGCAATGAGGTGGCTGGTTATTGAACTTTCAGTTATGTGAGAAAGCTCCAGATGAATGGTCCAATGAACTGAGATAACATTCAGCATGGGCATTCTTCAGATGAACTGTGGCTAACAGATGCCTTGACAATGGGTTAAGCATTTGGAAGAAAAGAATACTTGCACAGTGACCCACATTTTTCTTTGACAAACCTCTGCCAGTATAACCAAATTGTTTGATCAAATTGGTAAATTGTATGACAAAAACAAAGGAACTTTTCAATAATTCAAAACCAAAGGGGAACTCAAAAAATTTTTCTGGCTACAACATGTTCCAAATTAGACTTTGCTTTATTTTTTTTAACTCCTTACCTGCTGTTCAAGTTCTTCAAGTTTCTTTTGAAACTGCAAGTGGATCTGTTCAGTGGTCACTTCCTGAGGAGGTGTTATATTGGGTGTTGGCATCAAACCAAGAGCCATCTGTGGCATTGGTACAGGACTACTAGCATCAGAGGCTACTCCAACATCATCTAATGGGTCTGAAATAAGACAAAACATAACTTAGCAGTTTGTCTCAAAGTGATATGATGCAAAATGATACTATGGTTTACTACTATCACACAAAGTGTTTTCATGTAGGCATCAGACTCACCAAAAGTAGGTGATTATGAAAAGTTCCTTAAAGGCCAAAAGGTATTTATTTTGACCAGAGTAAGCAGTGACATATTATCAGGTAGCCAACAGGATTCTGGCAGTCAACAGTTTTTTTTAAATCCCTGAACAATCGTAATGAAATAGTTTATGAAAAGATCAAAAGACTAGGAGCCGGTCATTGGGATTGATCTGGTCACTTTTTAACCCCCATGAGTGACCCAAACATAATTTTTCCTTACAATATCAATACAATGTCAAGAAGGCGAGTGATGAGAATAAAGAAAAATATCAGTCAAGGGATTATAAGTTGATCCAATAACAAATTCTCCAAACTAACATAACAAGAACTGCATGGCAGAATGGCAGACAGTAAGGAGAATTACTAATGAGATCTTGGGAGTGAAAGGTTTAACAAGTTTGCACCCTAAACAATCCTCAATTTAGCTGTACTTTTTATCTGAACATTATTTTTGTGAAAAGTATCAAGAGGGCTGAAAGCTTATGGTGGAAGGAAATTTGTTTAATTAAATCAACCCTCTTATGGAGAAGGCCTCAGGCCCACTGATTATGTAAGACTGCTGTTTGGGATGGACCTTGTGTAAACAACCAACCCCAAATGTTTGACTGAGCCAATTTTATGCTGTGATTGTCATAATTACCACATCAAAAGGGTTGGGGAGTTGTTTACAAATTTGGGCCCCCATTTTCTCCACAGTCCCCTTACTATATTGCTTTTGTGAACTCAGTGCTTAGTAATTACTTATTTTGGGAAAATCATTCAGGAAGAGCCCCAAAAACAACTACAACAAGACTTGTTCCCAGATTACCTTCCAATGCCTCTCTTACTTCACTGCTTGGATCCTCCAGGGTTAACTGCTGATAGACAGGTTCTGTTGGTGGATGAATAAGATCTTGTTCAGGTACTGCATCCGCAAGCCTGAAAGGATTCTCTTCTGGTAGCTCAGAAAAGATCTGCACAGCCATGGCGTCAATATCTGGCTTGATCTCATCAGTGATGAATTTGACCCCTGAATCCAGGTCACCTTTTGTAATTTTTCTGCTTTCTTCATTCTGCTCAAGTTTTCTGAAAAACCAGAAAAGTGTGTTACAAAACACAGACATTCATAGACTGTCCTAGGCCTTCACTTAGTAAATCAGAGCAAAACAGTAAATAGCACAATAGTAAAAATTGTGTGTGATCCAAAATTCCTTCTTTTAAACAGTCCAACCCAAGCCTTCCACTTTTTTTGCTCCACCACTACTGTCATGCCATTTACTATTTCACTCTATTTTACTACTGGTAATTGAACATCTGGAACAGGCCATTCATTTGGTGATGGTGAAACAAAATTAAAAATCCTAGCAACTATTTTTGTCCTCTTGGTATTTTTTTTAAAGGTACTCATAAACTTCAACGTGTCACTGTTAAGTCCTTTCACTCCCAGGATCGATATATCAATTCTCTATATTATCACTAAAGAGTTTAATGTTAAATAGGTCGTTGCCCTTAAGATGAAATGCTTTGCTTGTTTACCCTTTTGCTTCACAAGTATCCATAATGTAAGGAGCAATTCCATTCTGAACACTCCTGAGGTGTTGTGGGGGTTAAATCTTTTTATGCCAATGTACACTCTGTATGTTAAGTGCATAGTTTGATTCTTTTCACATCAATTGTGAAATTATTTTAGGCTATTGACAAATTGACCAGTAATTGCCTAGATATGAAACTCAATTCCTTCACGATGCATACATTAAATGTATGGTAATCATACTGGGATCAAGACAGAAAAGGTCCAAAATTCTTCCCACTGATGAAAACAATGACACGACTTTGAAAGTAGACTAAAGTGCAATAAAATTATAAGCTACAGATTGCAATAATACAAAAAAAAAACTTTCTTAGTCATTACCTTTTGAAACTTCTGTGTTCACTCGACACGATCAGAAAATCACTTTCATCCTTAAAAAAAAAAGGACAAAAATATACAAAAAAGTACATAATAAAATCATAAAATCTGTATAACTACAATGGTCATGAAGATGGAGCAAAAAAAATCAAATTATTAATTTTCAAACAGCATTGGTATTAAATAGATGAAAAAATAGATAATGGCATTGACAAGGTGCTTTTCTCCAACTGATTTGAATTAGGAAAGTTGGTTTTTAAACATGCAATTTAGTGCTAACAACTGAGTTCAAAATGAAAATTGGCCACCGTAAAGAGTTAAAAGAGTGATGTTTCAAGCATTAGTTTAGAGCAATTGGAGGAATTGTGGGTTGTGTGTGGGTTCATTCCAGAAAATGGAGCTACTCTATTGGTGAGAATATGGTAACAATAAAACAAGGATAAATTAGTTGAATGAAAAGCCCTCGTTGATACTGTGGGGTTTAAGAGTGCCAATTTGGAAGATAAATTTTTGCTCTAAAGTTTTACAGCTTTCTCTACATGTAGGCAGTTTGGAAACCTGCAAAACTTTAGAACAAAAATTTATCTTCCAAATCAGAACTCTTAATCCACGGTATCAACAAGCACTTTTCATTCAACTAATTTATTCTTGTTTTCTCGTCACCATATTCCCACCAATAGTGTAGCTCCATTTTCTGGATTTAAACCCACATAGAACCCACAATTCCCCCAATTGCTCTGACAAAGGGCTAATGCTCGAAACACACCCATTTAACTCTTTATAGTGGCCAATTTACTTTTACCACTTTTACCGCACCACAGTTTCTTTAGAAACTCACCCCCTTTATTTTTAAACATGTAGATGGACGTAAAACCTCGAGAGAAATGACAACTTAACCAGCACAACACTTCTTTTATGTACAGCAATGGTAAGGAACCATTCTCAGAGGACATTTCCGCCATAAACCTTGCAGTATTTGGAACAAGGCTCCCTTTCCTTAGCAACAACGAAAATGTCACGCAATATCAGTTAAAAATTGAGTCACGCTAAACGCTTGCAAACTGTTACTATTCCGCTTGATTTACCTGATAAGGGACATAATCGAAAAATCAAGTCGCCTTTTAAGTTTTAATGCAGAAGCATTGGTTGTTCGATTGATTCAATAGTTCTTTCAGTGATTATTGGAAATCACAATACAGGAACTTTGGGTGATTCCTCAGAACCATGAGTTCTTCACGAAGGAGCTCGAAATAACTTGCAGAACGAAAGATCGAACTTTTATCAAACGTAACAGGAAGAGTTGTACTGTACTATGCACTTACCAGTCCCGATTCATGAATGTTATGTGCACCATCAGCTATCTTGGAAATTATCGAATGTAGATTCTCTTCTCTCCTTCCAAGGAAACAAATTTTAAACAGACTTAAAACACATGACCCACAAACAGAGAACAACAATCGAAAAATCAGGACTAATCGTGTGAATTATGGTCCAAAGAAACGACTGATTACTTCTATGATCATTGCACAGATTACTTACTCTGAGCGAGCATCCTGGGAACTTTCCATTTTCTCGTTTTTAGTGAGAGAAGGAAGGAAAGGAAACCCCGCATGCATGCAAGTTGAAATGTGAGAATGAAAGAAAAGAAAGGGCGTTGTTAGCGTCCGTCGTGGAGACCTGGGGTCGAGGCCACCTGTATCTTGAAAGCGAGGCTAACGTATCAAAGATGGCGGCCGATCGAGGTTGTAAAGTAGATGACACTTAAGGATTTATTTCAGAGCTCTGGACGTAGGAGCAAACTTGCACAAGATGTCTCTAGCAGCGGCAGATAAGCTGCTCAAAATTTTTGACGCGTTGAAAAATTTTAGAGAGGGCATTCCTGTGGTCGACCCAAATCCTTTGGCAAAGTAAGGATATCTCCATTGCTTAGATTACTTAGTTTATGCAGCGTTGCATCAATAGTTGACAAAAAGTGAGGCTCACTGGTTATCGAATGCTGACCTTAAATTTTAGATAAATTAAGCGACTAGTTAAACTTGGTTTACAGCCGTTGATCAAGTGATACCAACCTTAATGACAGGGCTGAGTATGAACCTCCCCCTTCAGTCCTTCTCTTAAAGTTTTATATTTTGCCTGTAGCTCTGTTGATTTTCAGCCTTATCCAAGCGCTCATTTACCAAAAAATAATGCATTGGTACTTACAAATCAGTACACAGCCACAGTGTAGCTGACCTAAGCTGAAAGCTCTTATGCAAAGATGCATGTATTACTGTTGTGTATTATTCTCAGGAAACTTCCTTGAAGTTAATGACTTTGGAACATTTTCGTGACTTAATTAAACATGTGGGATGATAATTAATGTAAGGTAGAATTTACTGTTGTAAACACAGCTACAACTTATTAGAACTGACTTTACTGAAATTTTTACCTTCTATTTAATGCTATATTAATCAGCGCTATAAATGATTGAGGGCATGGACTATATCTGTATCACCCTACTGAGCCAATGCCAAGGTTGAGGCTTTAAGTTGTTGTGAATGTAATAGAAAAAAAACAGTACCACAGGTAACAAACAATTTTATTAATTTTTTCGTAGGAAGAAAGAAAGCCTTCTGTCTAAAAAAGAAAGAATATCATATCTGAACACCATTCCTGAACTAGTTTGCTCCTCAGGTATAAGGTTGGTATCAAAATGAGAATTATAGAATATTAGGCACTTTAAAATTTTTTTTTTATTATTTGTTCCTCGCTGGAATGAATTCATTTAAAATATAAATTACACCCCATGACTGGTTGTCTTGTATTTTACTTGAGAATACCTTCACTTGTACTTACTTTCACTACAGTGTTTAAGGGAGAAATCTCTGGAATCTACAGGAATTATTATATGCTGGTACAGTTGTTGCATGTATCTGTAACACCAGTTATTCATTTTGAAATTAAAAAATCCATGAGTTCTTGATGCTGTGCCATGTTGACATGTGGGATCACAAATGAATTAAAAAAGGGGAAGAATCCATGTTTTTCTTCTCTAAAAATGAATATTTTCATTTTCATTTTTGCTTGACAACTTCATTGAAGTATCACTTGCATTAGATGTTCAGAATACTTTTGCTACCTTGGTGCTCTGGTTTGAGTCATTTTGTTGTGATCTTTGAGAAAACCCTTATTGTTTTGAATTAGAAATAGTACTCCTTTGTCAGTTCATTGCAAAAAGGAATTTAATACAAATGAGATTAATGCACCTTTAATGTTCACTTGTTTTGACTGATTGCTCCATCAGAAGTTTGTCTGAATTTCCAAAGATCCTGGCTATCACAGTGGACTCTTTGTTAGTCAGCTGTGATGATCAGGAGTCAGATGTGCGCTTGGTTGCTGGTGAATCTCTCAACAAACTTATCAAGGTCAGTTGCTGCCTTATAGAGATGTTTAAATGGTTTCATGATCTTGATGAATTCTTCTTGCGTTTAGATTAGTTCTTGCATGCACCTATGATATGAAAGAAGACAGATATACAGTAGACATAATGAGAGTTAACAAGCTGTTTTAGCCTACAGTTCTTGTCTAGAGGTTTACATTAGTTACATACATACTATATATATATAGTTAAGTGTACTATAAGGATGTAATGAAGAGGCCAACTCTGGAGTGTTCTGGACGAGTTTAATGCACAACGTTTCGGCTGTTCGGCCTTCTTCAGGTTAAAAATTAAAAACTAAAAAGCTATTTACAAAGATTGTGACTTATATACAAAACAGAAATTTTAAGATTGAGGTTACATAATACAACAAAGGTCTAAATTACAAACTGAGAAGGGTTAAACAATGAAAGGCAAATAAAGAACTATGGGTGGCATGTGAATACAAATAAGGTGAATACAAATAAGTGACAAAAATTAGAGAGAAAAAAAAGAATCTAACTTAATTATTAGTGTTTACTCCGGAGCAACAAGAGAGAGAGCTGGTTTGAATGGGGGCCTGCAAAAACAATATAAATATGAAAAGATATGTACAGAAATATAAAATACAAAATGAGGCTAAAGCACAAATTACAAGATACACATACAATATACAATATACAAGACATTGAAAAGCATATCACAAGAATTTCACCAATAAAGTTTGAAAAGCTTAATAAATTTAGGGAGAAACATTATATTCCTTAATTTACAAGGTAGTCAAGAGTATTCCATACCTTTGTGCCTTTGTAAAGGAAAGAACCTTGATATTTAGATATTTAAGCAAGGGGCCATTGCAAAACATCTCTATGTCTGGTATAGAAGGAATGATATCAGGGGTAAAAAAATAAATTCATCCAAAAGATCATGAAGGCATTATAAACAAACTCATTTATTACTAATCATTACATTAGTACAAGTCAGTATAGCTGGGAGTTTCACTACTAACCCTTAATACGTCAGCTTCAGTTTGCACATTCTCCATAATGTTTTCTTTACGTTACCTATGATACTGATAAGGGAAACTTGTTTAACAATCAATGCAACAAGAGCTTCTATTGTTGGTGATCATTTCCTTTACTCTCTTGAACTTGATGTTTTGTTTGGCAGGGAAACTGTAAGGAGAGATTAGATTCTAATCAGAGTTGATGTTTTCACTCCCAACAGGGATTGATGGACTCTTTTATGGGACGGATACATGTAGAGCTTTACAAGAAAATAAAAGAGGTTTGGAATTCTGTAAACTTTGTCATAATAGTCATCATAGCTATTTTGTTTTACAATGTACATTATGGGTATAGATGATTGTTTTTTTTTTCTCTTCTCATCATTGTATTCATTTGTCAGAATGGCTCTGCCAGAAGTCTGAGAGCTGCTTTATCTAGATTTGGAGACTTGTGCCATTTGATTAGGCCACAGAAATGCCGGTAGGTGTGTTTTAGTATTCACCAATACTGTATTGTCAAAAATAGTTTATTGCTTATATAAGTCTGTTTTTTATCTCAGCCAAGGGAATCCTCATATACCTTTTAGAATCAATAGGCAAACTCTTTGAGTATTGTGCTCAAAGTCTTGTTAGCAAATTCAAGATGTTACCGTTACAACTGTAAATAGTATTTATTTACTTCTTTAGTCCAGGGTTGGTGTAGCTTCATACTATAAATAGTAACTTAGGGAGTGATTTTTAAACCTTAAGTGGCACAGGATTTGTATGTGTCATGGATAACCTTGAAATTTATAGAAGTCTTCAATGTTGGATTCCATGCAGACCTGTTAAGTTCTGGGCACTGAAAATGGGTTATAGAAAAGCAAGGAAATTATAGAAATTTTATTGTTGTGAGAAACAAAGAGAAAAATACTGTACCTACATTACATTATTGTTCCCAGAGTATTTTGGTTGCTACCTCTAGAAAATAGGTTGCAGAAAACACCTGAAAGGCCTGGGAAAGGGTGTGGAAATAACTAATGGAATTTTGTGATCTTGAAAGAGTATGCATGCTGTGGCACCATTAACTTAAGGGAATTTTGTATCAAGATTTCATCAATGTCCAGAGTGTAGTGTGGCCTAGCTAGTGAAAAAATTTTGGAATCATTATGTTGTGTCTTTGGGGGTACATGTTCAATTGCATTGAAAGTTGCTCTTTCTACAGTGTATGAGTCTCTGCAAATTTCAGTGGCAAGGATTGGCTCATACCATCCAGCTGCTGAAAATCCCCCATGATTTAGATCATTTTTTAAAATGCATTTGTTTCTTTCAGGCCATTTATTGCAAACTTGTTGCCATGCATAGCTCGTGTAAGCATACGCACTGAGGAGACACTCCAGGTAAAAAAGTAGGAGAAACTCTTTTGAGGTGAAAATATATAAAGGTTTTGGGTTCCATATCACTCTACTTAGACCTGGTTAACTGATTTTCTTTTATCTCTAGGAAATACTTGCCATTGTCATGCAGAAGATAATGAGTGTTCTGGGAAGTTTTACAGGTGATAAAGAGGTTAAGGTTAGTTTTTCCTTATTACTTGCCTGTAGCATATTCATGTGATTCATTATAAAGAGGTGAAAAAATTATTTTGATCACTTTCAAGATCTTGAAGGTGGCTCTTTATAAACATTAATTTTAGTAATTTTTTTTATCAACAGCAATTACTGAAAACGTTTTTGCCAAACTTGCGATCCTCATCAGCAACAACCAGACGAACTGCTGCAAGTGGCCTTGTTGTTATCTGCCAATATTCACGTAAACCAAGTTTCTTTTATGAGTGGCTCCTGAACATTTTGTTAGGTGAGTTACTTTCTCTATACTCTATTGGTTAAAATGTTAAGCCAATATGCTGTGAGCTGAAGGGAAGAATTGAATAACCATACTAAGAAAAACATTAAGCAAGAAAGTATAGGGCAAAATAAAGATTGTTACGCGTTAGAGGGCCAAGAAAGAGGTGATTTTTGGCCAATAATTCATAACTAAAGACACTCTTGTCCATGTTGCATCATACTGCACTGTTAATTTAAAACAAAGAAGGCCAAATACTGTATCTTCCCACTTCTTTCATGGCTATTTTGTTAGCACAATAAACCTTGTAGCCTGGATTGCAAGAAAATGTGAATTTCTGAAAATGGTACCTTAAGTTTATGGGCCCACAGCAGTGTTTTAGAACTTAAATCTAAGGAACTTTAGATTTTACATGTAGTTCAAGAACCAGTCAATTCTTTATAGTTTTCTCACCTGGTATTTTTTTAATTTGAATCTCATGACCATCAACATCTCTTTATTGGAAAGTAAACACATTGCATACAAAAACCAGCTTTTCAGTGAAGTGTGATTTTTAAAGTGAAGCATGGAGTCCCAGCCACATCTTTGGGAGAGTACTGTTCTATTAAAATAACACTGAAAACCTGACTTTTGTCCTGTTCACACTTTTAATTAAGGTTTGGTGTTACCATTCCATGAAGACAAAGATTCAACTGCCTATCTTGGTGTGCTGATGTGTTTACGACACATGATTCCAAACTTGGATTGCTCTTTCTCATTTGATCATCAAATGAAAGGTTTGCGAGGCAGCTTTGGTTCTCATTGCTCATACTCTGCAGATGGAACACTTGGTGCTGAACAGATTCAGAACAATCAGCTTTTACAGGTGCACATTTGTCTAATGCTTTTATATTCTCAAAAGTTTTGTGTAATCTACAGCGCTGATGAAGGCATGGCTTTTTTAGACAGGAGAGATTTAAAGTGGCTGTCTTGTGTTTCAACTATCTTTTTGCATAATTTTAAGTACACTTTACAGCAGGATAGGGAATTGGAAACAAAGAAAAATTAGATTTAAACCCTCTCACTGCACATGGTTGTAAGCAAATATTTGGAATTAGTTTCAAACAAATTTGTGAAACTACAGTACAGGTAGTATAACATAATTACAATATCATGAAATATTTCACAGCTGCCATAGGAAATTTTCTAGTTGTAGTACATGTGAGCAATTCAAAGGTTAAATGACTGGGCTTTCCTTTTAACAAAGAGCCAGCTAGAAGCTGTTGATTCTTAAATTACTTTTCCATAATTTCAAACGTTTTCTTCAGGGTCCTTTTTTGTAATCTGTCTACTAGCAAAAGTTAAGTGACATTTGGTAAAGGGGATCTGTTATTCACAAATAACTATCTCGGTAAATTGCTCAAAGCTAGAAGCTCAGTCCTCCACAAGATTTTAATTTGTTATTGCTTTTATAAGGTTTATGAAGTGATCATGTACTGCACAAAGCATTCAAATCATAACGTGGTGACAGCCTCGCTCGAAACATTGCTGCAGCTTCTGCGTGCCCCACCTCCTGCTCTTCTGTCGATTCTTCTATCAGCTGAAGGAATTACACCAAGTGCCAACTCTGATGCATCAAAGCAAGGTAACTTTACAATGTCTGCTGGAGGTCCACCTGCAAGTAATGTGTAGAATACCATAAATGAAATACAGAATTCCCTTGAATAAGCACCCAGGTGCCTAAAAGGCCAAGAGCGCTTACTGAAAGTAGGGTGCTTAATCCAGAGGGGTGCTTATTATAATTTGTTCTGATTCCACCGTAGTTGAAGATTGAAAAGTTATACAAGTTATTATTTTAGTAAGTGAGAGAGGAGGGGTGGGAGGCTTTCTTTGAGAGGGTGCTTGTTTGATTTTATGGCCTAGGGATGGGGACTTGTCTAGGGGAGGGCGCTTATTAGAATTTGGATGCTTATTTGGGAAAGTGTAGTAATTCTTGTTTAGAAGACTACCCTCTTACTTCATAACTTTCACAATATTCTGCTTATCATGTTACAGTATCATGAAGTTAACTGGTTTAAATGTGAAAATAGGAGATAGGCAATCATTAGTTCTTAAAGGCTTGAATCTATGGAACAACTTGAAGGGCGTGAATTGGCAACCTTTAAAAACCATGTATGGTAGAATGATGTGATAGAGAAATCTACTTGCAACAAGGTCTTTTAAATATGCCCTAGAAGAGAGAGAGAGAGAGAGAGAGAGAGAGTACAGTTATTTTATTGATTATAAACTTTAAGAATATTGGGAAAGGGAGAATGTGAGAGATTGTATTTAAATGAGAGAAAATGATTATTTATACATGTTTGAATGGTATTCAATGGTGCTTTTGTCTTGCCTCACTTGCCTCTCATGCCTCATTTTCTTACTACCTAAGACTTGGAGTTTCTGGAAGAAACGCCCTCTGAAGGTGACCCAACAATGAGTGAACTAGAAACAGCTTCCATTGCTGAAAGCACTGCTAGTACTGTAGATACTGGGGTTGGCAGCTCTATTGCAACTGATTTTGACACAGAGCAAACATCAGTTGATGAAATGCTGAGGTCAGCAGAGCTGGATCGCCTGCGTCTCCACGGTGGTTCTGCTGGAGACAATGATCAAACCAGAGAGGAAGCAGAAGAAGGAATTGATGTCTTTGATTCCACAATGAGTGAAGTGAAGACAGAAAATAGAAGAACTACCAGGTCTTTATCAGACCCTGGTTATGCTGCTGAAACAGATAACAATGCATCCATTGATGCAACTCAGAATGAGACTCAAGTATCACATGGAACATTTGATTATGTTGCCCACCGAGACAGTGATGGCTTGGAGTTAACCACCTCTGAGGATGATACCATTAGGACAGAGTCAGTATCAACACAGGAAGTAAGACTGCTTGTGGAGAGAAGTTTTCAGATAGATGCAGTGGCCTGCAAAGGGGTGCCTCTTGTACACTGTGTCCGCCTAATGAGCTCATTTCTTTTGTCTGGAAACCCTGGTGAGATGCTGTCAGACTCTTGTGTGCGTGTGAGTGTTAAATCATTGGCCCTTTCTTGCATTGCTCAAGCTGTTAAGCTCTACCCTGAAGCTTTCTTAGTAAGAATATTACCTGAGTTATCTGAGGATTCAGATGGTGAAGAATTTCATCAATCCAGTCCTCAGCTTGTTAGAGATATTCTTCTCTTTAGTGGACATGGAGATCCACAACTGCGAGGAAGTCTGGCCACTGTGATTGGAAATGTTGTAAGGACAGGACTAAAGAAAGGAAGGTAAGTGGATCAAAGCTGAGTACAGGAATTTATCAATTTGGTGATGGTTATCAAAAGAATTGTACGGTTTGCTGACTTGCTTAGGAGGAAGCTGGAAGTGATGATCAAAGTTGAGCAGATGCATGCACAATACATGTACATTTCACACATAACTTCTACAGTGAAGTATCTTTTAAACTGCTTTAACTTGTATCATGTTGATTAACCTTTCCTAATTTTTCATTAAATTTCAGGCTTGATTTTGACACTTGGTGCATAGACAACTGTCAAGAAATGGAGACAGGTATCAAATTGTTTGTCAATATGGTGTTTTTATAAACAATGTGTTTGCATTAAAAATTATTGTGTCTTTTCATGCCCTGGTTAACCAGCATGTAGATACAAACTTTATTTACACTGAATAAAGCTTCTTTTCTAGGAAAATTTTAAAAGGGAAAAAAAACAAAAGCAAAAGTTACTCAAGACCCATCTAACAACTAATTGTTGATTAGTCTTTGGCTGCCTTTCTGTTGTTTGATGATTATCTGTTGTTTGGTTGTCACCTTTCAAGTTCTGGCAAAGTTACTGACTAGCTTTTGTCAATAGTCAGCACATAACTCACTGGAAGTTGCTCATGTTTGGGTGGCTGTTTTTGAATTAGGTGTCATTGTTACTGTATTGCTACATTTCTAATGAATTTTTTAAAACTTGATTGACCACTGAGTTTGAGAAAAGTTGATGTTTTTTGTTGCTTGTTGGTCAGCAGCCTGTTGATGATCTGTAACTGGTAATCATTTTGGAAAATTTACTTGAAGAAGAGAATATGCAACTGCATGCCTATAGTGTGCTGTATTTAGGAGAACTGATCCTCAACTAGAGCTAGTCTTAAGTGCCAGAGGCATCCTTACCTCAATCCCTTATGTTCTGAGAGTCAGGCCCAATTCAGATGTTGTGCTTCTACCATGTCCAACTTAAGTGCAATTAGGTTCAACTATAGCACAGGGGAAGCATGATTCTGATTTAGATGTACAGCCAATATTGTCTGAAACTCAGCATTTACTGAAGTATCCTAAGCGCATACTCTGTAAAGGAGTATTATTTTTGTGACTTTCTCAAGGTAACGCAATCCTGCCAAAATACATTAGCTTAATTTATGAATTTTGTGTGGCACAGCAGGGGTATGACACCTGAATCACTGTCATGCCAGAGTTGTGTAGCATGGCAGAGCTTGTCAAACTTAATTGCTGTGCTGAACTTAATTAAAGAGTTTGATTCAGATGGCGTGCTTTTGTCAAACTTAATTCCTAAATTAAGTTTGGCATGGCAGAAGCACATTGTCTGAACTGGGCCTCACTGTTGCCTGGGTGATGCCAAAGGGGATTTGACTGAGGAGATGGCTGAATTCAGGCTAAACTAGGGTGTAAAAAAGTCTGTCAACTGGCTGATGATGACTTCATTTCAGTGGAGCAAGTACAAAAGTTTCACCAATCATGTTCTTCTCGTGAGAAACTCATCTTACCAAAGTTCCTTTTCAGAGCTGGATAACATGTAATTTCATTTTGATTTATCACAAGTTTACCTCTCTCACAGTTCCATTTGGACTGGAAGATCTAATCTCAGTGTTGAAGTCTATCCTTCAAGATGAGTCTCCTGTTGCCATCAGACAAGCATGTGTTTCTCTAAAGGTATAGCATATGCGAGAAATTCTTGTAATTCAAGTTAAACCCAATAAATTATTTGGGGTCAACCAAAGTTGATTTTTTTGCCAATAATACAAGAAGATTGAAAACAAAAGAATTAGAGTTTGTGACATGTTTGGTCCAATAACAAGAAAGCAAACATTTGTAAAACCTCAACTTTTCAACTTAATGTACTCTTAAGTTTACATTTCCTTTCTCATACCTGACTTGTTTTTCTTAGAGCTGCCTCTTTTTGCTGTGCTCTAGTAAACACTCCAAGGTTGCTTTGGACCTGTTGAACACCATTTCAACTCTAAAAGATAACTCTTATTGGCTAGTAAAGGTTTGTATAGAAAAGTTGTTACATATATAATTCAGTAACAGTGTGTTGATTTCCCAAACCACAGATACTATTTTCTCTTGAATTTTTGTTAAACTACAAGAGAGAATGTTTTCCTGAGTTATAACTTTAATTTGAATTGAGAGTGAAATATCTTCTGATGTAGTGTAAATCATATTTGTAGTGGCAGGCATATCTTTGTGCTGTGATGCACAAAATATTGAAAAATTGCTTGTATTTACCTCCATGTTTTTTTCAAAAGTCAGCAAATTTAAAAGAAACAAGTTTGATTGGAGTGTCATATAGTAACTACGTACTAACCCTAGTTGCATGAGCTGCACTGAGGAATATTGTCCCTGTTGGGCTTGGTTAGTGAGGAGTTATTCTCACATGGATTCTCCATCTACATCCTCCATTAAAAAAAAAAAGACAAATGAATTAAATAAAGATGAAAAAAAAAAAATGAGGAGGTGCACATTCATGCATGTGAATTGATGTTAAACTTTCTTCACCCTGCAAAAAAAGAAAAAAAAACCTAACCATACCTTTGCAAATCTAAATACAGGTTGAATTATTGGAAATAGTAGGGGAAGTGGACTTCAGGTGAGATTTTACAAAGCCAATTGATTTCATATTGCATTTCTTTGAGGTGAACTAAACACTTATTGGTCAACTGCAAGAAGTGATATTAATGACTGTACATAACAAGATGTGTATCAAGAGTAAACTTTTTTTATTATTATTTTCAGGCTTTTAGGTCTTCTAAAACTTAAATTTGAACACCTCCAGGAGTCAGGGATGCATAAATTGTTTGTAAGTTTTGGTTCACAAAATGCAGAAGATAAAGTTGTATTTAAGACTTTTTATACAATATTTGTCAGTGCACTAGACCCCCGATAATCCTCCACTCGTCTCAATGGTTGTACTGGTTTTGTTTTGGTCATATTGGTCATTTTGTTTTGAAGGTTATAGTCAATTTGTTCAGGTCATTTCATTTTGGTCGTTCAGTCGTTTTGTTTTGGTTGTTTTGGTTGTTTTGCATATAAGGTAACATGCATTGACATGCATTGGCCTAGTGGTCAGCATTGTGTTGCATTCAAGGGCAAGTTTTTTTACTCTCAAATTGTGTCTCTCTCCCAAATGTGTGACTGACCACAATACCAAGACCACACCTGGCAAATTGCAAGTTAACCCAGTAAAGGACTAACATCTTACTTAAAAGGAGCAGCAATCATTTCAAATGCATCATGCATCTGAAAAAAGCAAGTTCTTTTCATGTCTTCCAGTGCAAAACCAGCTCAAGGTCCTCTGTTTTTCAATAAGCTCAACCTAGCCAACCCATTCAAAATTCATCAAAACTGATGATCATTTGAAAACAATTTGAAGAAATACCATCTTTTTTTCTTTTAGATTCTACTTTCTTGTGATTTCTTTTTTTTCCACTAAATAATTATCTCCTTTTTTCTGTGAAATAGACTGATTTTCTTCTTTTTGTTGTTTGTTGTTTTTGATCAATAGAAAACTAATTTGCAAGAGGATTTGATTAATAATGTTATTCTACACTTGCTGGAGGATGAGGACATTCGAGTGAGGCAAGCAGCTGCTAAGTGTGTTGTCAGGTATGTTGTGTTATGAGAGCAACAGGGAAAAAAAACTGCCTGTTGAGTTCCACATTCAGAATGCCATAAAATTAAACAGGATAACTGAGTGTGTATCAAAGGAAAAATTGAAATTCTGGATGGGAAACATCCTTCTTCCACCATTTAATTATGTAACAATCCAGGCTGTGTTGAGAATGCTAAACAGGTGCAGTTGGTAAAGAGGGGCAATACAAATTACCTCATAACCAGAGAGGAGAAATTTGGTATCTTAGTGGTTGGCTAGAATTTGAAATCAATCTTTTGGAGTACTGTAAGAATAGAGGGGAGCTTGTCTCTTAGGAAAAAATTCTTGTTGGGCTAGTTTCTTAGCTTACATTTGGTTTACTTAAAAATGATTAAAGCTCTTCATTTAGAATAAATTTTTTGGAATAATGATCTAAACAAATTAAGTAATATCATAACAGTGGCCAGTGATAAGATCTACAGCATTAGTTCGATGACTCGGAGATGAAACCAGTGAGAAAAACTTCTGGGGATTCAGTGTAACTTTTATACTCCTACTTAATCTGATGAAAAGTAATTATTCTTATAATACTTGTTCTTCACTGCCCAGCATAGTTCCAAGACTCTTTCACTCACTGAACAGTGACAAGCAAGCTTTAGTTGTAACTGCTGCACAGAGCCAAATCAGTGAGTCTTCGCAGGCTTTCATTTAATTTTTTTTTTTTTTTACTTAAGTGACTCTACACCCTTAAATGGTATTTTTTTAGGGGTACTTTATACAGAAAGATTCATTCACTTTGCAAAAATTGCAATTTAAAATTATTTCTAGTTTTTTAAAGTTTATTCTTCTATGGTGTAAATGTAATTGAAACTAAGAAACAACAAATCAAGCCAGCTAATTTATTTCATTTGAGATTGCAACTTTTTATCAGGGTTCTTGCAGTATTGTGACCAAAAGTCATAAACCGGTTGCTAGAAATAAAAATTAAGTTGCCAGAAACCAGAAAAGGGAAAAAGAAAACTAAAATGTACATGATGTGCAATATTACGTGATGCTGGTGTACTGAATTACAATAATGGAAAAAGCTGGGTGACAGTTGGTAAACATTGCTGGATAGTTAAACCAAATTCAATATGTTAAACCAAAAATAGATAATTGTATTAATACCTGTTACACTTACATCTCTGTTATATTCCAGGCAGTCTCTTTATTCAAGAGTCTCACTGTAAGGCTTTCACCTACTCAGTTGTTGATGCTAACCTTTCAAGAATTGTGACACTTGTTGGTAACAAGCTGAATCATTCAACATCAAGAACCTGTTTGGTATACTGAATTACCAATATTATCATTATCATCATCATTATTATTAGTACTATTATCAGTATTATTATTAATGTGTATGGACTGTATTATTTTCTTTACAAGAGACTATCAAAGTGTATCAACCTGATATTTTAAATGTATTGACATGCATTTAGCTAGTGGAGAGCCCCAAAAAAATTCCTCAAATATGTATCTCATACTCTTCCTATAAAAAGCTTACTCACTAGATATAACTTTGAAAGGTGTTAGTGGCCTCCCTGAAATGTTGGTGTAACTGTGATCTACTGTACTTTAAGCTTAGTTTCAAAACAAATCCAATCTAACAATCTATGTTTAATTGTTGACAAAATAAAGAGTTTTATACTGTCCTTTCTTGCATAACTATTGATTAGATAAGGCAACCTTTTTGACCTATTGCCATGTGGCTCTCTTGAGAGTAGAAGCATAGGGATGCAATGGGAAGATTATCTTTAGTTCCATAACATGAAAGTGTTTAGGTGAGTAAGTTGCTACTAACAACTTAGATCAGTTTCTTCTCTCAATCTTTGTCTAAACAGCTTGGATGTATTCATGTTTTGTCATTACTGGTTGAGACTTTCCCTGTTGCAAGTTATCCTGAAGCATATGGGTGTAGTGTATCAATTTCATGTCGAAGTCCCCTGCCCACCCACCCTATAGGGCCATTTAGTGCACCCTCCAGACCTTCAAGTCCAAGTGCTTCTTGTGCAGGGGGAGGAGGGCCTTTGTCTATTGTGATGGGCAGTATGATGTCTTCATGGCTTGCTTATGATCTCTTTGCACATCAGCAGTTGTTGCAAGTAAGTATTGTAGTCATTATTATTCACTATTAGTGCTCCAAAAAGCCTCTCTCTTTAATATCAACATCTTTGTTTGCCTTCTGTCTAAAATTATACATGTGCTCTAATTGCGTGTTTCAAACTGCCCCTGAAATGGTTAAAATACTTCATTCCCACCCAACACATTTGTTGAGACACTTACTGCCTCTCTTGCCCCTTTCAATGTTGGTTTGTAACATGGCATAGACACAATTGCTATTGATAACATCATAGGGTCTCTGGAAAAGTGTGCCAACTATTTTCAATATATGTCTGTGAGTGTAGGTAACATTTCCATACAAATATAATGGATGAGTTTCTGTGATAGTTATTATTTGTTGGTTTTTTAACTGTGAAATTTATACCACATCTGGTATTCTTTAAAACTAAGCAACCTTTTTAGGAGAAATAATTCTTGACTTACAATTCGGGACTTATTGTAGGTCTTACAGTGTAGCACTTTTTAGAAGTATGCTTGTAGACCAGTTTAGACCACTCACTAGACTTAAGCACACTCATGGGTAATAGTAAAAAAAGAGATGTTCATGGAAAATAAGCATGCTGTGTTATTTCACTTAGATTGCAGGGAACATCTTGTTTGGTGCTGGATGTAGTGGAGTTCATGTTACACTCAAGATGCACTCTGAGAGAGGACCCTCAGATGAGCCTATCAGTTCTGCTGAACATTGGAGTGTGTTTACTGATAGTACATTAGCTCCTCAGGCAGAAAAGCTTGTACTCCATATGGCCAGGTACAGATACATTAAAACCTTATTTCAAAAACTCTACTTGTGGGTTGTTTAGGAAAGATTACAATTAATTAAGAGTCTTATGTGTTAGCTGTCTTGTTCAATTGTGGATAAAACCTCTGCTAGGAGGATGGCTTTTGTGAAGTGCATTTTGGTTACAATCACAACTGTGCTTAGTGACCTTATGGTTAAGGGTCTCAGAACATTATTCACACTCTTAGGCAAAAAAAATTGGTCATAAGTTATGGAGATCAAGTGTATAATTATATTTGCATATTAATATCAGACTTAGTAACCAATCTACTCTCAGAGGCGTTATTACAGTTTATCTAGATATCAGCTGCAGTGTGTTATATTTATATAGCAAACCATTCTCTCAACTTATTAACCAGGAATTTTTTGGCTGCCAAAGGGAAGAATTTCTGAGATGTATAATCTTGGAAATTGGTGGGTTGAGGAGAGTTAAAATTTGATACCAGAAGGAAATATGAACTATAAAACTATGTTTTACTAACATCTGATTGAGAGTGGTGGATTGAGCCACACAATTATCCTAGACTTTAGAAAACAAGGAAGCTTTTAAAATGGGACTTCTAAATTTTAATTCTTGTTTATAATATGTTAGAGCTTGTCCCCTCAATTGTGTTCTTTTTCACGGATTAACAACATTTTTATTTTTAGGTTATTGAACATTTTTACCCATGTTGTTGAGCATACTACTCCAGGTGCTCACTCCTTCAAGGTATTGCTGTAAAAATAAACTTTGGAATGTAAATGGTGTCCATGTCAAATGAGTAATATTTTGAAATGTTGTATTGATAAATGTAAGTCTTGCATAGCATGCCTATGATCATTAGGCCCTAATCTCTACCTCTCTATTGATGAATTAAGGCAGGTGGTATCCGACTGAGTGGTCCTTGACTCATGTATTACATCCAGTGATCCAAATGGTTGCTTTAAAAAATGGTTCGATTAAGACATGTTGTTCATTTATGTAAAGTGTAGTTTTATTGCATGGTGCAAGATTTTGAATTGGGATTTGAAATTTTTGGACAATACTCCTAATCTACCTACCTCTAGCATTCAAAACAAGAAAAGTGGTAAATGCCATACATAGAAGGTTGTAATTTTTTATCATCATGAAGAACAGCTTTTTGGTCATGAGGTGTGAATTTTGATTGTGATTTTTTGATTGTCTATGGCTGGTATAGAAAACCAACCTATTACAATGGAGTATCACACTTCATTAGGTGGCTTATGACTGTCAATCTGACAGCCTAATGAGGACTATTAGTGTAGACCTAAAGCCAAACTAGCTACATTTTAAGACAAATGAGAAGAGTTGATTACTATGAGCAATAATTTTCATAACCCTCATGCAGCAATTGGTTCCATTTTTTGTTTAATTTTGTTCCACGTCAGATTCCATTCCCAGGGCAAAACAAGGACAAGCAACAGTCAAGTGCCATTCCTGGTGTGGCTGCTCCTCACACCCCTCCTTCAGCTTCAGCTGTCTCTAGTTCTGCATCAACTGTTCCCAAAAGACTGTTGACCAAGACCAAGCGGGCTCTCTCAGAAGCTGATTTACACCAAGCCTCCTCAGATAAACCACTGTCACCCTCTAAGACCCAAGGGGGAGTGGGGCAGTCTGGTGAATCTGAGCAAAGCACTCAAAACCCCCCTCCCAAGAGCAGCATTGGAACATTTCATCATATACCTCACTATATGAAGTTATATGAGATCATCAAGGGAGCCTATGCTAACAACCAGGTAGTGGTCAAATATTTTGAATATATTTATTTCTATTCTAATAATGCAATTTTGCTTTTATTAAGAATAAAACTTATAAGAATAAGTAACCACAGGTAAATACATGATGTGCAAGACTTTCAGCTGCAGCAAAAAAAAAAAAAAAAAAAAAAACAACAACAACAACAAAAGCAATGCACGAAATAGAGAAGTAACAAATCCTTGAAAATATGCATCAAATCAGTTTGTTTTTAATTTCTCTAAATGGACAGATAATATTTGCTATTTTGCTTTGTTGCCATGTAGCTTTGCAGGTTCCTGTCAATAAACCCCCTCACTCCCAAGATCTCATTAGTAATTCTCCTTGCTGTCTGTATACAATTTTTACTTAGGTAATTTAGAGAATTTGAAAGTGGATCAACTTATAATCTCCTCATGATATATTTCTTTATTCTCATACCTTACCTGCTTGATACTGTATTGATATCGTCAGGAGAAATTCTGTCTTGGTCACTCGTGGGAGTCAAAGGGTTAATAGAGCTGAAAGGAACAAATGACTAAGGAACACCTTTTATGTTGTGAACGATATTTTTTTGGGTGTATTTTTAAACACAAACTTGACTTACATATTCACTTGCATAGACACATGACTCATCTTGCATAGAAAAAGCTACATTTTAGGTTGCTTACAATACACAAATGACTAAGGAACACCTTTTATGTTGTGAACGATATTTTTTAGGGTATATTTTTTAAATTTGAAAGAAATAGACAGCAGGAAAGAAGATGGTTTCCCTTTCATAAACAATCTGTATTAGATAATTACTTAGTTATAGGTAGAGTAGTGATAACATTTATTCATCCTACTTTGAAAATTTGGATGTTGAGGTAGATTGTATGTTATTGATATGATGCTTCAATTTTCTCCAAATGTTATACAAATCATTGCAGCCTGTTTTGTTCACCACAAGTTTGTGATTTTGAACAGGTTTCTCTGCTGGCTCCAGATCAAGACAAGTTTTGTCAGTTCCTATCAGCAACCTTACATTCTTTGTCTTTACTCCTTGAAGTTACTGCATTTGCTGACATTGGAAAGGTGCAAACAACTTATATATATCATGGTGCAACCTTGTGTGACTATTCAGAGATTGATAACAAGGGTAATACACGCTTTTATACATGTTTTTCAGCATGTCGAAGAAATACTTGGCTATTTGCAAGTTTGTGTGAAAGTGGAGGCCACAAAGACTTTATTGTGTGTCCAGCAGGTATTAATCAATATGCTACATCACATTTTCAGTTACATGAGTGGTCAAGTGTTTTCATCCTGGAGGTTTCACCTCAGTAAAAGTCTACCTTTGCTAGGTCGCCCCCATCACGACGAGTTTGCCCCATCAATTATAACGAGTTCGCCAGCACCTTTTCTAGTTTGCTCCCAAAACTATAACTCGTTTCCCCTCAGTGGAACATGTTCCTTTATTCGAAGGGAGAAATAATGACGGTCGTAGTAAAGGTCTTGATAATGTAAAAAAAAAAACCCGGACTGGTTATAAAAGGAAAGAGTTGGGGGAGGGGGGCGAGGTGGTGATATAAGTGGGGTTGAACTTAATGTATTTCATAGCGCAAAGTCATCGACTTAGTAGTAAACTGGTCAGGGGTGAACTTCCAATGGGGCGAAGCCTCCAGATACCTTGTGTTGCGTGAGTTGTTGGATTTGAAACTGGGAGGTCCCAGGTTCAAATTCTACGCTCTACCATTTAAGTGAATTTATTTTTTGGTCGTTTTAAGTTTGAATCCTTTGCTCTACTTGGCAAATTGTCAACATGTTTAGCCCCTGCGTGTTTTCGTGTTAATTGTTGAGGAGTACCTAATTAGCACAGGGGTGCTAAGTGCAGACAGGAGCCCAATGGGCTCCTGGTACAGATGATAAATTATTACAAATAATAAAGTTATGTTATGTTATGTTACAGTGAATATACTATGTGTTACAGTGCTTTGCTTTCAGAGATCCTTCCTAACAACATTACAAATATTGGAACATGTCCACCATTGTTTAAAATCATTTTATTTTAAAGCTTTTGCGTGCAATGTTTGGTATCAACGCTTTGAGCCAACCAGAGCTGATCCAGAACTTGACAGTTCCTCCCTGTTTGGCTACTAGTCTCGTGACAGTACCACGACAAGCTGAGATGCTTCCCGTGGATAAAAGCTTTTACCACTTTTGCTTTGTGTATCCATCGGTGCTCGTTACGCATTCCCTCCAGAAGTTGAAACATAAGGAAGAAATAAAAGAAAAGGGAAAGGAAGCAGAAGAGTTGGGGTATGGTGCTTACTTCTGTGATTTCTTAACGTGATTCTTTTCCCATAAAAGCAAAAGACTACAAGCGGTCCCTCCTTTTCAGCAAAGTCCGTCGCTCGAGAAAAATAAAATCAGTGAGAAAGAATTGATGCTAGCGCGCCGTAGGGGGGCTCTGGTGGTGAGGCGCTCGAGTGAAGCCTATTTTTGGAGCGCCACAGTCCCAGAGTTCCCTGCGGGGCGCTAACATCGATTTTTTTTTTCCAATGATATTTTTGACGCGCGCGACAGACTTTGCCGAAAAGGAGGGACCGCCCGTTGTCTATAAAAGCACTAGTTTGTTCATCAGTAGGGCTGCGTTTTAACCTTTTTGTCTCAGAACGGAATACGAAAGCCAATCATCTGATTTGTTGACGCTAAATTTATGAGTTGGTTGATCGTGTAGATTTTCTTTACATGACCGAATAAAGTACCCTTGATGATAAGTTTTCTCAATCCTCTGTAACTGTTCGCTGGACAGAGTCTAAAGATTTTCAGGAATATTTGAGTAAACACCACTTTGAGAGGCAAAGAGTTACCAATGTTTTATAACAACTGTTAACATCTTTATCGTTCGCGTCTCGATGTTACCACCATCATTTTTACTTTTACTGTTATCGTTGATGTTGTTATGTTAGTTATTGGTAGTAACTTTTTTTAACGCAGCCTTGAAGCTTTTTTTTACTATGTTGATTTTGTCTTTTATGAATCATTGTTCATTTTTCCTCAGAGGAATTGGTGTTTTCATTAAAAAGCTCCGAAATAAGGCTGCCTCGTCTATTCGGCCACCTGTAAAACTGGACAAGGTATGAGAGGCTGCGTTACCCGTTCATTATCTCCTCTAATAGATAGTCTCGACTTTTTGCCATTCCAGGTTTACAATGTTCTTACAATAGACTGAAAGTTTTTCCCTGACTAGAAACCCTCTCCTAGTTGTTGAGAAAGTAGGTTATGTCGCCCCTCGGCCATGTCGCTTAAGTCACTTCTTTCCCAAGCTGAGTGGTCTCGCCCTCAATTGCAGTCACATCGCTCCTAAGAACGATCAACGTGCATTGAGCTTGAGTTAGGCCAACCGTTTATACCCCTTAGTTCTTTTAGGTCAAACAATGACATAGGGAGTCTAATTTTTGGGGCGACGTAATTACACTTAGGGGCGAGGTCACACAGCTAGGGGGGAGACTTTGCATTGGGCGACTTGGTAAGGGGCAAAGTGATCTGTTTCCGCAGAGGAAACTTAATTTAGGGATTTTAGTTAATAACGTAATGACATGACAAGTTTGAAAAATGGCCTTTATAAATCTTTTGATCTTTTTTTCTAGCAATCACCCATCCATTCATACATCCGCTGGTTTGAACCGCTCGTAATCCGTGCCTTGAAGGAATACACAATGTCCAGTAAAGTGATCTTGCAGCAGCAAGTCCTAAGCCTCTTAGCTCAGCTCATAAAACTTAGAGTGAATTATTCTCTACTGGACGCTGATCAGGTGAGAGCCCCGAACAGAATTTTTTACTACACAAGAAGATTAAAGCGATTTCTATAGGATTATGTTTTCACTTGTTGTCAAGTGCTTTATCCAAGGTAACATTTCTTGCTAAATGCATGAGCTACGAAAATGTGTCAGAAGACTTTGCTGCAGTTGAATTTTTTCTTATTCCATCTCGATTTCCTGCTTAACTCCACTGGAGCGCTTTTCGATAGTAAGCAGCTTTGGGAATTTCTGTATTAAGGTTTTCGGGAATAAATGGGTGCGATTTTGTTTACGCAGGTATTCATCAGCTTTGTTCAGAAACAATTTGAATACATTGATGCAGGCCAAATAAAGTGAGTTTTTTGTTTATATAAAACATACAGCAGCATTGACTCTAAAACTGTTACGGATAACTGATCCAAAAAACATTTAACACAAGTCGTTTGTTTCTGAAGAAGCATTTTCAAATTGAGAGTCGTAAAACCAAAACCAAAGTAATCTGGGATCTTTTTAACCCTTAAACTCCCGCGATCTGATCATTAATTCTCCCCGCCAGCTTTAACATACTCCCTTGTTAAACAGTTATAAGAATTTGGTTTTAGATCAAGGTAACAACTGCGTGATAAGTTTGAGAATTCTCATCACCTGTTTGCTGGGTAGTGTGTGGATATCACAGGAAGAAGTTACCTGTGAAACACTTCCGGGAGTTAAAAGGTTAAACACTCGATTGAAAAGTATTAAGAAAGATTGTCATGCTCTGCATTATCGTTTTAACCCTTTGACTCACGGGTGTGTAAACACTCGATTGAAAAGTATTAAGAAAGATTGTCATGCTCTGCATTATCGTTTTAACCCTTTGACTCACGGGTGTGATCAATATATAAATTCTCCTTACAGTGTTAATATACTAATAAGTAGACAGGTCATGAGAATTAGGAAAATTGACAAGAATAGTATATCTTAATGTAATAAAAAATTATAAGGAATGACGCAGAGACTGAGAAATGTATGATTAACAGCGTGGTGAACTGATTGGCTTTCAGTGATGTCGAATTTGCTCTTTGCTTTTTCATAATCAAACCTATTGATTTCAATACTCTGTACTGAATTTCTTAACAGATCCTGCGACACTTTCCTTCCACACATCTTCCAGTTTCTTGTGTTACTGTCCTATGAGTGCTTTCAACCAAAGTTTAATCAAGCGAAATCAATTGTGGGAATGCCAAGAATTATCCAGCTTTGTGATGGTATCATGGCGGGAGGACAGCCAGCCCAAACTCACGGTATGCACCACCCCAGTGCTTATGCTCTTCTTACAATATTACGCCAGTAAAAAGTGGTTCTTATTTCGTTTTGGTCGGTTTACTATTCTTCAGTGAGTTGTTGCCGCTATATTTTACTGACCTGCACAGAAGTTTATAGGGAACCAATTATTTACTTACGTAACACTGCTTAAACAGAAATAATTGACTTGGTATTTGACGAATAAATTAGTCATGGCGTGCAGACATATTTTTGCAGTCGTGCTTCTATTGACTATTTTCAGCGTTTTACTTGGCCAATTTACTTCAATTACACCTGAATTCGATCGCTCTACAGTTACACTCTTCATTGGGAAGGAAATATCTGCTCCACCTACGTTCAACTGTAAGTCAAAGCCTTCGAAATGCACACCTTGCGAATTGAATTTGAAGCTTCACGCGTTGTTGCGGTTCATCAAGCTTGGCCAATTTTGTCTGTGCATTCTTCTATCTGGCGATATTGCCGTCAATCCAGGGCCTAATAATCTTCAACCACCTGCAGGCTTCAGAGGTTTATCAGTCTGCCACTGGAACATCCAACGACTGACTGACACCAAATTGGAAGAACTATCGCTAATGCTCACCTCGAATAACAACAGTGCTGCTAAACTCGACGTCTTAATTCTCACTGAGACGTTCGGATCAAGTAAAATTCCAAACAGCTATTACATGATACCCGGCTACACATTACACAGAAAAGATCGAATCGGGAAGAAAGGTGGCGGCATATTTGCGTATGTAAATGAGAAAGTTATGGCTTTACGTCGAAGAGATTTGGAACTGGATGATCTTGAAACTCTCTGGCTTCAAATTTGTCCTCATAAATCAAAGAGACCGATTTTGATATCTGGTGTTTACCGTCCACCTTCAGCCAACAAAGATTATAATGAGAGCTTGGGTAAAAATATTGAAAATGCCCATCTCCAAAACAATGAATTGATTATTCTGGGAGACTTTAATTTGGATTATATTGATTTCAACTGTTATTCAAAACATTGTCTCGCAAAGGCACTGAACAGTCTTGGACTAACGCAGATGGTAAATGGGGTAACAAGACCTGCCTCTGATGCGTGCTTAGACCATATTTATTCTAGTCATCCTGCTAGAATTAGAGAAGTATCCATAGGTAAATCTGGACTTTCCGATCACCTTCCGGTCACCATCTTGAGGTGCTACAAAACCATGGATGCACAACGTAAACAACATTCCAAAATCAAATACAGAAATATCGACAAAATCAACAAAGAGTGCTTTCTGCGAGACCTCAGAGAAGCCCCTTGGGATATCTCCTTTGTTTTTCGAGATGCCGATGACATTGTTGAATCTTGGTACAAAATCTTTAATGACATTCTTGATAATCACGCACCTTTAAAGTCCAAGAGTGTGAAGAAAATCAATCAGCCAAAATGGTTCACTAATGATCTATACAACGAAATAAATAAACGCGATAATCTTCTAAAGAGGGCCAGGAGAACACAAAATAAGCAAGATTGGTCTGCTTTTAAACTGGTTAAAAACAAAGTGACGAGGAAACTAAGAAATGCGAAGGAACAGTACTTTAAAACTCAGTTCAGTAAAAATCAAAAATGTCCAAAGAAACTTTGGTCTTTAATTAAAGACCTATCTAAAGATACAAAGAATAACGACGACTCCGTCCCTATTGCTGACGAAAACAACAACTTGATAAAGGATGACCATTCAATCGCTGAACGCTTTAACCGCTTCTTCGTTGATGTATATAAACGTCTCATAAAGTCGACACCTGTACTTCATTATGATGCTCTTCCTGGTCCACCAGACAAATCTAACAGTCAAATTGAAAATCTTATTCCGCAAATAACTCCTAGTGAGGTTAACGATTATCTTCTAAGTATACCTACACACAAAGCCACGGGAATCGATGGGCTTGGTGCCAGAGTTCTAAGGATTGCAGCTCCTGAAATATCATGCTCCATAGCTAAAATTATAAATCACTGTATTGAAACTTGTACATTTCCCTCACAATGGAAAATAGCAAAGGTTAAACCTCTTTTCAAGAATCAAGGAAACAAGCAAGATATTCAAAACTATCGTCCTATTAGCATTTTGCCTATTCTTTCTAAAGTCTTTGAAAGACACATCTTCAATGCTGTGAACACCTACTTAACAGAAAATTCACTTTTATACCGCTTCCAATCAGGGTTCCGTAAAACCACTCCACGGATACTGCTTTGTTGTTTCTTCTGGACCAAGTCCTTCTTGACCTTGATAAGAACAACGTCAGCGGCTTAGTTTTTGTGGACTATAGCAAGGCATTCGACTTGATCAATCATGACATTCTCCTGATAAAGTTAAGATCATATAGATTTCCAGATAATGTTGTAAAAGCTATTGCAGAGCTATCTACTCAATCGCAAACAGTGTGTTACTGTAAATAACTCGACTTCGTCACAACTTACGCTAACCAATGGAGTTCCTCAAGGTAGCATATTAGGACCTCTACTGTTTTTAATTTTCGTCAATGATCTTCCCGAAGCTGTTGGATCGGACTCAACTATTCATGCTTACGCGGATGACACCACATTTAAAGCCAGCGCTAATATCGATAATGCACCTTTGGAATTGGAACGACGTCTTCAAGAATACATGGATAAATTAAGTAAATGGTCTAGCGAAAATGGGATGGTCCTAAACGCCGTTAAAACCAATGCATTACTTATCACCGGAAAGAGGCTACATTCATCATTAGCGGAAGGCAATCACCTGTCAATAACCCTTGATGGGGCCGAAATAGAACAAGTAACTTCTTATAAATTGCTTGGTGTAACACTCGATCAAGATCTTACATTTAGCGACCACATTTCTAGTCTAAAGGCCAAGCTTTCTCAGCGTATTGGTTTATTGAAGAAGATAAAGAGGTACCTTCCAATAAAAGAAAGACTCTTATACTATAACGCCTTGATTAAACCCGTCCTTATGTATGGGAGCATGGTTTGGAATATCTGCGACGCTAAAGAACTCCACTGTCTCCTAAGGTTACAGAAAAGGGCTGCCCGAGTAATCCTTGGAGTTGACTCTTATTCTAGAAGTGTTATAAACTTTAGTAAACTAGGCTGGTTGCCTTTTTTTGATGAAATCAAACTAAATAAGTGTACAATGATTTTTAAGAGCCTTAAAGGCGATGTTCCGATTTACATCAGAGACTTGCTCAAGACGAACAGTTCTGTACACAATAGGTCTACTAGACATGGCAATTTAAATTTAGTGTGTCCCAAATACCTAAGAAATAACGATGGTGGCAAGGCATTCAGTGTTGACGCAGTTAAGTTATGGAACAGCCTTCCCCATAATATCAAAAATAAGCCTAGTATAAAACTATTCAAAACAGCTGTGAAAAAGTATTTTATAAGCTCATATAGAAACCTGGACAACTTTGAAACAATATTAAGCAATAGCACATTATCTAATTTTAATTTTTTATAAATTAATTTTATCTTTCTGAATATTTTTAATATATCCTGCTATTTCTATCATAGAATTTTGTAATTATTTGTATATTTATCTATTTATTAGTATTATTTTGTAATGCTGTATAATCTAGTTAGAGGGCCACAGGTTTGTCAGCTTTTCAGCTGTTACGTGTCCCCCTCTATAAATAAAGTCCTTATTATTATTATTATTATTATTACATTGTTATCAGGAACATAATGAGATCCTGTCTAGCCTGATTTTACCCTAGACATACGTTGCTTGAGAACCATTTCAGCTTGTTGGCGAAAATCTTGTGTTGTTATTTTCGGGATCTTACTTTTCGTGATAATTATATTTTCAGCCATTCCAGCTTTACAACCAATAATCCATGACTTGTTTGTACTGAGAACTGCTAGTGGTAGTGAAATCGGAGAAGATCTGGAAACCCAAAGAGAAGTTGTCGTCTCAATGCTGCTTCGTTTGGTGCACTATCCCGAGGTAGGATGGAATGTCAGTTGGTTGGTGAGACGATCAGATAGTAAGACTTTAGATCAGGCATTTGGTTGGTTAGTTTGTAGATTATTAAGCCAATTTCTGTCTTTCCGCATTCAGTTAGTCAGTCAGTCTGTCAATCAGTCAGTCGGTCACTTAATTGCTTTTGTCAGAAAGACAGGAGACTGATCTTCAATTATTTGGCCTGCCAATTAGTTGGTCAATCTGTTACTTAGTCACTCAGGCAGTCAGCCAGCTAGTCAGTCAGTCAGTCAGTCAGTCACAATTGCTTTTGTCAGTCAGACAGGTGACTGATCTTCCAGTGAACTAGGACATTTAAGAGGTATTGTCTGGTAAAAAGGAGCTAAAACTCAAAGTGGCTTAAAATGTTATTTTACTTACAGGTGCTAGAAATGCTGGTTACAGTTTTGAACTGCTACCAGCGAGATGAAGTCAAGTGGAAGGACCTATCGGGACAAATCATAGACCTGCTCCTTCCTCTTCTGGCAAACCAGAAGGTAGAATTGTTAGTTCAAATTGACAATTAGTTTGTGAAACAATGAAGTTTATGACTTCATTTTTCACCTCAACTTGTCTCAATCAAACAAATAAGCGTTTAGGATGAAAAAATTGCTAAATTTCTGAGTGATTATCACTCCGTTCTTATCAATACAGGTCCACGTTGAATCAGAGTATGGTATTGAGATGTTACAAGCTGTGTTCGCCGCTGTTGCCCCTGGGTCATTATGGCCAGTAGATGTGCTCTTGAGGGTTTTGTTTTCCAGCTTTGATCAGGTGTGAAACTGTTTTACAAATTGTGTTATGTACATGACGCTATCGATGTTGCTTATCCTAGCAGTATACAGGGTGCTTGTTACCATCGAGTTCTTTGTGGATCAGTGGAAGAGCATCGGACCACAAAACTAAAGGCAGTTCTAAGGTTTAGATCGTCGCGGGTCAATCAGATTTCTTTTTCTTTGTTACAAATCGGAAATCAACTTTCTCTATTTGTCGGCTGCACCAGAAATTTACCTTCTTTCTTAATTTGTTTCCTAAAGTTAAACTTTGAGCGAATTTTTTGCTGATTTAAGTAAAAGGAGTCTTTTTTTCCTTGCTCAGAGAGACATAATTTTTCTGCTGCACCGCTAACTAGATTGCAGTATTAATAGCAAATCAGCCTCTCAACAGTTTTTATTTTTCATATCTCGCTGAACTCTCCTTTTCCAATTTTAGTTATTAGCTATTTTTCCCTCTTGAATACTTCTTTCTTAACACAGTCGGATGCATTCAAGCGTTGGTTAGCTACAGTACTTGTGGTATTACAAACTCTCATGGCACAAGTAACAGAAGACATCCTTCTGTCGAGAATTGACCAATCGGGATTTCGACCTAGATGTGTCAACATGATGGACAAACCTTTGCTACCCATTGAAGTGAGTATGAGAGTCGGCGAGTTGTGAAGAAAATACGTGGAAGAGGAGGGGAAGTAGTTATGCGATCCCATCATTCTTCACTCCTTTTCTCTGATCCCCATAAGATTGCAGTGATCGTAAGTATCACAAGAAAATCGGCCGTGAGATCTTAAGAGAACTGGGACACGCTGGAGTTCTGAACATGTACACTAACCTTTCTCTATCAGTTTATCCCATGGGACGTTCCTTGGAGGTCCCTTCTTTAGAAAATTCTTCCTTTGACACCAATCCACAAGCTTCTTCAAATAGCATTTTGAAAGGATCATGTCGCTTTCCTGTCTCCCTCTCCGTCTCTCTCCTTCTATTTTCCCATTTACCCATTCTACATGGCAATTTTTCCAATGAGGTTCTTGTTTATCTTAAAATGTGTTCATTTTGTGTTGTTTTGTTTTTCATTTTTACAGGTTTTCGTAAAGTTCCTCTTTTACGTTGTTGAAACAAGTGCCAACCATGTTAACATGGCAACAAGAAACTCCCTAGTAAACTTGAGATCACCAAGCGAAGAAGCCTTCTTATTGAAACTGTTTGGCAGCTTGCTTTCATGTGTTACACATCTGTTAAAATCAGGTTTGTAAAAATAGCTGAAGCGAAATGCAATATGAAGAGAACGCTTCTCTAGCTGACCATAGGATCTTTTTCCCATTTGTGCAAGACAAGCGCAAGCACGAGCACAGGCAACTTTTCTTTGAGCGTGTTCTTGTGTCTGTGAGTTATGGAGAAGTATTCTTGTCTCAAACGGCGTGGGAGTTAGCTTGCATTAATCCCTTGACCCCTTAGAGTGACTAGCATCTAATTTCTCCTTACAATATCACCTCAGAATCACATATAAAGGTTACGAGAATAAAGAAATGATCACCAAATGAAGAAGCTCTTGATTGTTGAACAAACTCTTCTTGTCAACACCTTTGAATATGTACAGAGAACAGTATGAAGAATATGCATAGTGATGTTAGAGCAGAAAGGATCAAGGACACCACTGAGTAATTTGATATTGCCCTGGACCACTCTTTCTGTCATTGCATCTCTGTTTGTGCTTTCAATATCGTACCACAAATGATAATTTTATCATGACAAGTAAAATTTCTCTGTTGATGTTGTTAGCAAACTTCAAGAAAGTGTCCCAGTTAGCATCTTCGTCACCCATCATCCATCCAACTGTGGACTTAGTCAATGAAAATTTGTCTCATCTTGTGGACACCCACCCAGTTCTGGTTCTACAGTGGTGTCATGTGTTGAGACAACTGAAGTACACGGACACACAGTTCTGGTTTGGGTTCCTTGACACAGGAGTACGTTTGAGCACTGGTAGGAAAAGCAGAAAATTGCACTGTTTTTCTCCCAGCACCAGCTAAGAGACTCCTGAATGTTTGTTTGCCATTAACTGATTGACACAGATCCATGGTCCTAGTTAAAAATTTTACAGAAGCATCCAAAACCAATTGTAGCTCTTTCAGAGTAAGGATAGACGATATTTTATTGTCTTATATTTTCTACAACAGCAGCAGCAACAACAACAACAACAACAACAACAACAACAACAACAACAACAACAACAACAACAACAACAACAACAATAATAATAATAATTATAATAATAATAATGATATGTATTATATTTTATCGTCTCATGGGTAAGAGTTCACGTACAAGTCTCTCGATTCTTGTTAATTCTTGTTCTTTTTTTCGGTAGCCTCTGGTAGCAATATTGAACTGGAGGGCCCGACGTTGAATAAAGATGTGACTCGATCGGGAGTGATACTGATCTACTGTGACCTGCTTATAACACAGCACATGGTATGTTTACTCTGATGAATAACTGGGATGCGTTTTATTACAGAATGGCATAAATGTGAGTTACCTTATTCTGTGGAGATTTTTCACATAAAGCGCGAGAGAAAAATAGTTAGTCTTCCCTGAAAAATGTGGCGTAATTTTTTCAAGTTTATTTTTGCAGTCCATACGGTTTTGTCAATCTGGACACATGTAACTTTCCTCGTTCTTGGTGTTTGATTAATCTTTTGTTTTTGCTCTATTTTCGAAACGTCTCGGGGAAGCTGTTTTAGCGCCAGTAACCTTCAATAAGTAGCTGGCTACAAAATGTAAATTAAGCCAGATTTAACTCGGTGGCGTGTAACCTTGGTTTAGGATTGAAAGGAAAGTAAACAGCAAGAGAATGTGAAACAGAATTAATCCTGCTTAAACAAGATCTCTTTTTCATGCGCACCAGGAGCAGGGATCATTGGATCAGTCTCAGGTCGGGACCCTGCTAAGGATGTCCCTAGAGGACCTCGTACAGATGACAGATGAACCACCCATACAGGGGTTTCTAAGGTAAGCCGTCTTTGTTTTTGAAAATCTTTTTTGATATTCATGCATTATTGTCTCCTTCAGGAAGTACCGTTTATAGAGGAAAGCTCGTTGAATATGTGAATTGACTTTAGTAATGTATACGGGTGAGTGAAAACATCTCCTTTTGTCATAGGAAGTTGAAAAATTTGACTTTGGGGACAGAAACTGCGCTCTGTGGGGAAATTCTAACTATATTACCAAGAAACAATTGCCAATTTTGACAATCGTCAGTTGATAGACCACTACACTCTGTAATTAAATGACACTCCTTATTTGCCCAGCCGATTGTACTCAAAGACTCCTTGTTCTGTTGTTAAATCTCAGCATTCTGTACAGTACTCACGAAGGAAGCAAGCTTCTGTTAGACTCATTTAATTCTTCGAGAGCTCTACATGAAACAGTAAAACGGGTAGGCGTTTGATATTATTTAAGGTTGTGCGATAATTCTTAAAACCTTGGAGGTTCAGCACTCTTAGTTAAATAGAACGCTTTTCGAATGAGTGTCGTTAAACCAGTTATCACAACTGCCGATCAGAACTAAGAAAAGCATCGCAACGAGTCCTTAAGACTTAAAGTAAAAACAAGCCACTACCTAAAGCGCGAGAAAATGTGAATAACTTAGCCGTGATTAGTTTTAGCTTTGCATCTCATTGGTTGAGAGATTGGCAGAAGTTTTCCACAGCATTTACAGAGTGTAGTAAAGCAAGATCAATGCAGTCCAAATTTTCTTTCAAATCACACCCAAGTGTCATTTGTGATAATATGAAAAGTTGAGCGCAAACCCAGGATATGTCATATTAATGAAAACTCAATAATAAGGCACTCTTGATAAATAATTCACTCTACTTTAACCGGATTCATGGATTACCTGTCGCTCTTTGCTTTCTCCAGCCAAGTCTTGTGCGTGATTTAATGAACTGCCTGAAGGGAGTGCATCAGTCACAATCGGTTTACCTTATCAAGATACTGGCGGAGTATTTCCTCAACTCAACTCATCAGTCGGTTGCAAGAATGGCAGAACGTTTGATTTGCAAGAAGTTGGAGATATGTATCGATGGACAGAAAATGGTAAATCATGCTTTCTGTCAATTTTAAACAATAGAACTGTTTTTCTGTGCAGAGTTTGAAGACATTACGCTCAAAAGTGTTGGCATCTAAAAACATCTGAGCAACGAAAAACTCCTCTTACATTAAGTTAAAGTGCTCGCCCTTACAGTTAGCTTGCATTTAAAGTCTGTATACTACATTTAGCTTGTCTTTGTTTTTATTAGGCACCATCCCAGGAACTCGTAGAGGATGAATTAAGATCAGTTTGTCAGTTGATAGCGTCGAAGAAGGAAATAACTAGGTAATGATAAAAGAAAATTTTAAATTTCCCCTTTTATAGTTAGTAGAGTTGGCCATCGGAAATCCACAAAGTCGCGAAACATTAATCCAAAAATTAAATTAGGATGAACATCATATAATTCTCGGAAAGTCTTTCCAATTGCAGCCACTTCTCGTGCTCTCCAATTTAAACTTTAAATTTTTAGCGTGCAGTTTTTAGTACTTAATCCTACGCTTAGACAGTTACCAAAAAACGCAGCAGTCACTTGGTATGGTTTGAGCTAGACCTTAGGTAATCTTAGTCTTTGAACAGAAGAAAAGCCCGGTAAAACCTCGAACAATCCAAAGTCGTTCGTCATATCGCTCTGACGAAGGGCTAACGCTCGAAACGTCAACCTTTAAACTCTTTAAGATGGCTAATTTACATTCAAGTTTTCAACTCAGTTGTTCACGCTAAATTACCTGTTAAACTCTCCTACCGCCGCAGTATCACAGTTTCTTCAGAAACTTAACCCCTTTATCCTATAATGTTATCTTGTTTTTATCTTTTTAGAAATCAAACGTTGTTGTCGTTGGTAACTAAAATTCTCCCCTCAAGTTCACCTGTGGAAAGGGATATGCCTTGCAATGAAGATCTGGCTTCGTCTATGAAAAACTACACGATTGATCAGGTGACTGTGTAGAGGAGGCTTTTCTACGAAACGTTTTTGTTTAAATTTGCCATCGTTCTTTCACAAATACTGCAATCTGATTAAGTTTTGAACGACTAGTAGATTTTTAAGTATGAAAGCGGTCTTCGAAGTTATGAACACTACTTAGGCAGTAACGAAAATAAGGCCTAAAAAAATGGAGGCCTGTAGTCATGAACACTACTGAAGCAGTAACGAAAATAAGGCCTAAAAAAATGGAGGCCTGTGGTCATGAACACTACCTAAGCAGTAACGAAAATAAGGCCTAAAAAAAATGGAGGCCTGTAGTCATGAACACTACTTAAGCAGTAACGAAAATAAGGCCTTAAAAAAATGGAGGCCTGTACGGAATTTGAACCCATGACCACTGCAATACCGATGCAATGTTCTACCTTTTTTTTACGTTTAAAAAATTAGACTTTGAGCTCAAGATTTCTATGCATAATAGCTGATTAGGGCCTCGCCCTCATCTAACTTTTAGTCATACATACTTTCGCAAGTTATGTGTGAAATTTATGATATGACATATCTTAATACTTATTGCTTTGCTCCGAGCTTGGAGCGGTGTAACTCATCTTGTGCAGCGCTGGAGCGGTGTTTTGTGGGAAACTTATTCAATCCGTCTCAACATTATCTTTTCAGGCTTGACTAAATATTTCAATTGCAATTTACCTGCCCCTTAACTTTCAAAATCTTGATATTTATTCTCCTCAATGATTGCCTCACATTTCTTTTAATGTTAGCTCTAAGAAGTTGGTTTTTAATCAAATGATATCCCTTGGTTGATAGTTGTCTTTATTATAATCACTTTTCTGCGAGAGATCAACCAACTCCTTTCAGTCGGTGTACTGGCGTAACTGTCCAAGCGGATAGCACTCAAACAGTTCGAAAATCACTGACCACCTGCTTGAGCTCAACAAACTGTTCTTGCGCACATCTGCATTGGTTATTCCTTTTGTAAACCGACAGAAAGTACTGTTTACAACCTAAAAAATCTGGTGCGTGAAAACTGATCTTCAATCTTTGTCTGTACTACAGGAATGGTTTTTCCGACTTGCTCAGCAATGCTGTTTTGCTGCTCGTCCAATGGACCAGAGGAACGGAGCCAACGTTAAACCTGAGGCGATTCAGATGCTCAGTGTTCTGAATGCAAAGGAAGTTTCTTTTGTCATAAATCACGAGGTGTGTGCTTAAAAACAGAGCCGGCGTTAATGTACAGGATGGTGTACAGTGAACGATCGGAATTTTGATTCAGCCAAAAAGTTTTGAAATAAAGTTTTTAACCGTTATGTAACTGACTTGCTAAGATATTTCCTTTCTTATTTCTTGTAGAACTTTGACATCTCTCTGCTTGAAGAATGTATATCACTTGGAATCGAAAGAACTCTTCTGTTGACCTCGAGAAGGCAGAACGGAGAGGTAATTTGTACTACTTGTAACTCTCGTGAAGCAAGAAACTAGCGACATAGCAGAGTGTTTTTTGTTGTTGGCATTGAATCTGAGTGCTTTTCGATTGAGTGTCACGAAAAGAAAACCCTAGTACTCGCCATGACCAATCAGAACTACTGTGAAATCACAGGGTGCCAATGAGAACGTAAATTAAAGGAAGGTAACGGCTTTAAGGGCGGGAAAACGCCAGTGACCAAGTCAGGATTAGTTTTGCACCTGATTGGTTGGTAGGTTGTGGGAGTCTTCCGAACAAATCACAGAGCAGTGTGAAGTAAAAGCGATGCAATACTGGGTTACATTCAACACTCAGTTGATAAAAGCGTAAATACCCTTAATCCTGCTTGAGGTTGTAATTGGTTTCTGCGACCTTCATTTGGTTACGGGAGGTCTGAAAATCTTAAAAAATTCAACAAACCAGCAACCAAGCTTCTTACTAGTTGAAATTCGTAACTACTGGTATGCCGTTTTGATCAGCGACGTTTGCCCCTAGTACGCTCCTGTGAAAAGAAGTAAACTGCGAACAAGCCAACACTTTTGCCTTTTGGTCTTAAAGAGTATTTGCCATTTTGTGTATTTCTCAGTAAAATCTATCGTGACCTAATTAACGTTTCTCTTTTCCTTTCCAGAACGTACCAAGTAATTTACTTAACAATGCAGAGTACTTTGAAAACCATGACGTCGATCAATTATTGCTTATTTCCAAACTCGCTTTATTTTCCAAAATTGAACAAGTTGGAAAGGATGTTATTACAACGAGAACGTTCAGAGGTAATACTAACATGACATTTTTTTATTTTATTGAGAGAACTTACTCATTAGAACGTGTGTATAGTAAATAGAGCAACAGTAGCACATTTAAGTCTCCCTTTAACGATCACTCTTAGTGCAGGAAAAGGTGGTCGCTTAAGGGAGCTTTTCGTTTAACTTTGGCTTTCAAGATCCTGATATCAAGTCTTTCTATTATCAGTCACACTTAAATTTTAATCTTAACTCCGAGAATCTGGTGTATGATAAAAAATGTCCCAATGGATATTTTCATTTATTCTGTTCACCTGCTTGAAAATGTGTTGATATTTTAAGGAGAAATTCCTTCTTGATTATTCCTGGAAGTGAAAAGTATAAAGGAAATGTTAAGGTAATAAGCCAAATATTGCTTGGGTCGTCTTGTTATTACCATGATGGAAAAAAAGTATTCTCGATCAGGTGATATTCAAGAGAGTGCTACTCGCCTGGTCGTGATTAAAGTTTTTCTTTACATAGTCTTTAAAAATATTTTAGCTTATTTCAGACTTTGAAATCATCGAGGAAACATTTTGCAACTGTGTCGTCTTTGTTTATTACCACAGATAATGAAAATTCAACAAAGCTGCAGTGTTTCCAGTTAGCTTCTGATCGTCTGTCAGCTCTCTGCAATGATGCTGATTGGTGCAAAAAGGTCACGTCCCTTGCAAAGGCTCTTGTGGCCTTAGCTGGTGCAATTCCGACTCTTCCTAAGCATTGTAAAATCCCCGAATCTGGCCAAGAAACGCTTTTTCAGTTTGTTTTCGTTCCATTGGCGGTAAGTGACAATGTTAATAAAATTATTGGATTTATGTTCAGGAGGGGAAAGAGGGGGTAGGGTTGTCATTGTGTTGTGTCCTTAGGTGGGACTGCTAACTCTGACGTTTCCTTTCTCCGCCTGGGTGTATAACTGGGTACCTGCGAAATACCTCGGGTTAACCTTGCGATGGACGAGCATCCCGTTTGGAGGGGAGGGGAGGGGAGGGGAGGAGGATAGAAGTTCTTCTTATCACTTTTTGCTATTGATGCCAAAATAAGTTGTGGCTGGAAGACCTTTCTGGCTGGTAAGCTGACCTACCTTTTTCCTTCATATGTACGGATGATTATGGTTGTGCCATAGCTTATCATGCCTCTAGTCTTGAAACATGACGATAATGTGCTTCATATAGCAAAAAGATACTGATGATTTGAAATACCTTGAAACTTCAAAGGTGTTGATGTTACGATTTTGGATTCTCTTGTCCAATCTCTTTTTTTAGATGGTACATTGTTCCCTTGTAAATGGTAAACGTCCATGTTCCGTTGAACTGAAGTCTAATCTTGAATGTCTGGCTAAGGTAATCCAGTTTCTACTAAATGGTATAATGTTTTTGTAACTTAGTTTGAATCTTGACATTACTCATTAAAACAGTTTTTGATACTTCGTGTTACTTTTGGAGAAGAACTTAATATTTCTCCTTTAAAACAAATAATAAGCTTGTACCATAGGCGTAATTTTTAGTGTGCTATTTTCTCTTCAGGATGTCTTTTATGAACAAACCTTTGTATGTGTTTGCGTATGTGTGTATTTTTTCTCACGGCTAGGAAACCAAATTTTCTCAATCACAGGCCTTTTTGGGAAACCCTAGTACCAGCTACGTACCAATCCAATCTCAATGAGCGACAGGAATTTTTTGTAGCTTTTCCCTGCTTATCCAGACTTTTCAGCCAGTTCTCTTTTAGCATGGTAATTTGCTGATATTAACTGAGTTGATAATAAAAAGTGGCCACCGTAAAGAGTTTTTAAGCTGACATTTTGCGCATAGGTCTGGGAACAGTAGTTTAAAGATACTTAGTTCAGTCACCATCACGGGGGAATGGATATTTACAGAGGCGAGCGATTAGTGATTTACTAACTAGTTTTGCTTTTCTTTTTTGTGGGAATTTACAGTACCTTAATCTTGATTGCGCAAAGAGCATTGGGAAACTTGAGTTCTTTCCGTTGGTTTGTTCTGCTATTAATCACGTTCACGTGCTCTTAAATGCAGGTAAGCATAACAGGAGTTAAGTGCACTAGGTTTGTATTAGCATGATATAGTAAATACAGCTGTCGTCATTGGCTACTGGAGATATAGTCATCTCCATCTTTCTGCATTGTACTGTGGGAAGTTTAGATAACTGTATCTAATGTGGACAGTAGTACTGTAAAACGTGTAGATGGCAGTACCGGCTGTTGACGATGCAGATTGTGGTACTTACTTAAGGCAGTGTCGGTGATGTGTACCATAGTATTTTAAAGTGGTCATATGGGTTTTTGATTCTTCTGAACTCATTCGAAGATTGCGTGATGCGTGACCTGGGCTGTTGTAGCGATTGAAGGGAATGCATATACCCGAAGCTAGGACGGCATATGCATATACAGTCAACTCTCGCCTTGCGGACACCTCGCTATCACGGACACCCCCTCATTGGGGACGGGAGCCAGCCCCCCGGCGTAACGCATAAGGAAATGACTGAAAGAAACTCCCGCTATTACTGAATCTCGCTATTACGAAAACGCGAACACTTCCATGCCCCCCAGTGCAACATTTTACTCGTTCTTTCTTTCACTGTAACTGACACTCGAGTGCCTCGTCGAAAATCCTGACTCACGTAATATAAAGCCACATTACGATAAAGGAAAAATAAAGAAACCACTCTTGAATTGGGTGCGAACATGAGAATTTCCTGCTTGCGGCTGGATCTTTTTCTGGCTCGTGAGGCCAAGTTGGAAACGTTATGTTTGCGTAATTACATATTCTTTCTCGCGTACCCGTTATTACGAACTCACGCTATTACAGACACTAAACTCTCCCCAAGGGTGTCCGCAATAACGGGAGTCAACTGTAGTCACTTTGTCTGAAACTCAATGTATTTTGCGCATATATATGATAAAGAATGTGCTCGAATGAAGGTCTTTTCGGATTAGTTTGAGATTGTTATCAAACTTCTGATGTTCATTCTGTTTTTTTAGTTGATGGTAGTGGTGACAATGACGAGGAAGGCTTCTTTACTGATCAAATTAAAGTTGATATGGGGGATGAAGGTAACAGACATTTTAAAACTGTGAATCGTCGAATCATCGCCCCCCCTCGGATTAACACTCCTCCTTAACTGTTTTTCTGTTATTTTTATTTTATGGAATGAGCACTGAAACTAAACGAGATTTATAATGGTAATTGAGGTTTATCATTACTAGTCCGCGCTCTTGTAGCGCACTGGTTGCAGCTTGTGAGTAGGGTAAGTTTTGAAAATTATCACCAGCACTAACCGAGCAAGCATGAAAATTTTAGAGTCAGTGCTCAAATCCTGGAATAAGCACGCCCGTCTTATTCTAAGTGTGTATTTGTTGCACACGCAACCATTTCACTCCCAAGTTCTCATTAATGATTCTTCTTACTGTCTGCCATACAATTCTATTTTTTTTTTCCTAGAGAATTTGGTATTGGATCCACTTATTTTCCCCTAATTGATTTTTGTCTTTATTATCGTCACTTGTCTGTTTGATACTATTAATATTATGAGGAGAAATTCCTTCTTGGTCACGCATGGGAGTGAAAGCGTTAAGCATGTAACAAGTTGAATGAATTCGTATCTGCTTTCTTTGACTCGTAGGAGTTCAGATTGCTAGGAAAGCTTGTGGAGAAATCTCACAGCTGATCCACCGGCTACTGACCATCTTGAAACCAGGATCAGTTCAAAAACCCTCCCTGTCTCAATTCCTATTGCGTCCTTTTCAAGACATCATTGTTGGTTTAGCGAGGCAACCTCTTGTTAATAGCTATGCGCGCACCCTACCTTTGGTGTGGAAGATGGGCTGGGCACCAGTCCCTGAAGGGCCTCTTAAAACAGAGCTGCCTCCTTTACCGATAGAGATCTTGAAAGAGAAAGATGTCCTGGATGAATTCGTAAAAAGGGTTAATTTGATTGGTAAGGTTTAACTCTGGTTACCTGTTCCTGACTTGTCTTGTGTTGGTTTTTTTTTTCCAACTACTATGACTATTTTGGTGCTAAGTGGCCAAGTTTTCGTTTCGCTAGTATCTCGCACACTGTTGATTGCGTCTTATTTCATTGTTTCGATATTATCTCCCACTTTCTGCTTATTCTGTATCATTCATTTGTTTCGTTAGTATCTCTAATAACCTGCGCAGTCTGTTGAATCTGTTTCATTCAATGGTGTCGTTGGTATCTCGTGCAGTCTGTTGATTCAAACTCATTAATTGTTTCATCAGTATCTCGCGCAATCTGAGGATTTTGTTCCGTTCAATTGTTTTGTTAGTATCTCGCGCACTCTGAGGATTCTGTTTCATTCAATTGTTTCCTTAGTATCTCGTGCAGTTTGTTGATTCAGTTTCATCCAATTGTTCTCAAGTATCTCGCGCACTCTGAAGATTCTGTTGTACTTAATTTTTCGTTAGTATCTCCCGGAGTCTTTTGGTTCTGTTTCATTCAATTGTTTTGTTGGTATCCCGCGCACTCTAAGGATTCTGTTTAATTCAATTATTGATGCGCAGTTATCGGCTGCTAGTGAGAAAGGTATTTTGGGTCTTGATAAGTTGGTACTTAAAAAAATCCTGGTGTGTTGCTTTTTGTTGTCAGGGTGGACCTCTAGACAACAGTTTGAAGAAACATGGGCTGCCCTTCTCGGTGTGATCAGTTCACCACCTCTACCAGATACAGTTTCAACAGAGGTTTGTTTAATATTTGTTTTTCTCTAGTTGTACAACATTGAAATCTGTTGAGAAAAGATCATGCACTCTTGTTTAATTCTTTTAAGATGAAGGCCCAATTTGGTCCGAATTTTACGCTCTCAGTGAACCACGACTAAATTCGATTTCAAGCACTTCCTTTCAAACTTTTCATTGAGTTGTAAAAGTCCATGGTGATATAGGTTAGCAACTTTCGCTGACTTTCCTTCAGAACCTTGCATGTCATCGCGAAGAACGCTGTGGAAGCCTGAGATAGGTTACATGCATGGTTCACATTTTTCTTCTGCTGAATTGCAAATGTATTTCAAAGGTTTGTCTGCGAATATTGCTTGTCGTCCTACCCATATAATGTTAGATTTTTCGTTATTCTTGTAATCATACTAGCTGCTGTCACGAAAGGATCATTCGTTTAATTTGTGTTTTTCTGACTATGAATTCTTTTCTCTTAGTAATGCTTAACCACTGTTTTTGACTTTATTATTATTTGATCGTATGCTAATTTTCGGAATAAGGGCAGTTGTAGCCAACAACCTTTTAGGTTAGGGCCAGCAAACTGTGAACTCTTTTACTCTTAGGTGCAATCAATGAGCAGTGTCCCCTGACTAGATTAACCCTTTAACTCCCAGAAGTGATCAATATGTTACTTGTTCCTACAATATACATATATTATCCAGCAAATAGGTCATGAAAATACTCAAACCTATGTGGTATAAGGTTGTCATCTTGACCTAACACTAAATTGTCGGAACTAATGTACAGGTAAATGAGTAGCAGCTAGACAGGAGAATTAATAAACAGATCTGGGAGTTAAAGGGTTAATTCATCGTTAAGCAAAACAGTGTTTAGTAGAATTAAAATATAAATTCAAGTCTCTGTGCTAAAATACAAGAAATGTACGTCTGGCAGCGAGGAGAATTGATTTTGAGACCGTGAGCGTAAAAATGGGTACCAGCAGCACTAGCGAAAGTTCCGCAATGAATTTTGGGTCTCTCAGCCTCCCTCTGCAACGACCTAACAGTATATTCCGCGTTCAAATTCCGACAGCCCCATAATTTTTTCTTTTGTAGTTGTAAGTTCATACCCGCTTTTTTCGTTACTGCACTGTAGGAGGATATGGAGTCGACGCATTCCTGCTGCCTGGCAGTCCGCTGTATCTCAGAATTGTTGCTTCAGACCACTCTTTACCCAGTCCCGGGAAACCCAAGCGCAAGTGCTTATCTACACAGACCGAGACACAGGGATCTGCCTTTCCTGGGAAGCAGGTGAGAATGCTGAGTGTATCGAAACATTGAACCTTTGTCCAAACAACACAGTACTTGGGGATTACATCGGTGTGATTTATCGCACACTGACTGTTCCCAAAAGACACAACAAAAATTGCGTTTTATTGCGCTGATGTCGGTGGGCATGGTTTTACTCAGAGTTTCCTGTTATACCCTACAGTATTTTTCATTCATTTTTCTGGTCACGTGCTATGATTACTAGGAATTGTAGTTGTACCACGCCCAATCGAAGGAAAGTCTCTCCTGTTTGGAAGAAAACGTTATTTAAAGAAATTTCTTTAATTGAACGTGACCCGTTACTTCGATTCCCTGGGAATTAGAAATTATGAAACAGGAGAACAGTCTGTTCCATTCGTTTTTCGTGTGATAAAAATTAGGGGAAGAAGTAAAGTGTGACGGTTGAGTGAAATGTATAATTGATAAAAATCGCTCTCATCTTGTTTCAATTTAGGGCAGGGAAGAAACTTACGTTTGTTAGGGGCATGATTGAGGAGGAATTTGTTTCCTTGTGCTGTACAGGGTAATTATTGTAGATTTTCTCCGGTTATTTTTTATCTTAAACACTTTGAAGAAGAACCATAAATTTGTGAGCAAGTAAGGATGGTTGTCAAACTGTTAGTTGACCCCTTGACGACTCGAGGTTATCAATGTGCAAATTCTTCTCATAGTTTTTCAGTACACTGTGAAGCAGACGGATTACGAATATGAAGGAAACTATCAACTACGGATTAATGTCCTGATGGCGAATATAAAGGAGAGTTTTCCTCCAAGTGTTTAGTGGAATCAGCTTTAATATCGTTACTTTGAGAGGGTTCGGGTCTCTTCTTTTGCTTTTTATTTACGGAGATGGTGGCGTTTGAAAACTTCTAGATATGAATTGCTTTACTCTTATACATGCCAATGTAAATCCTCATACATATCACTTGAAAACATAACAGCTACTCTAAACTTCTTGGTTTCTAAAGACTTCAAATTATTAAAGAGAACTGGATTGGGTGTTACAAAATATATATGTATTAATAATGCATCTACAGCATGGCAGACATCATCATTGTAGGATGGTAACTTCTATGCTATTTTGTTATCCTCAGTTTTCAGTTTTTCTATTAACCTTTGCTTAAAAAAGGAGTTTATGAAAGAGTATATTTGCTACTTTCCCGTCTGGACGGGAGGTTTAACCCAGTCCTTTCCCTTGAAGTTTGGAAGTTTGGAAAAACCCAATACCAAGTTTCCTTGCCCAAGAATAGTACACAATTGATCTGGAATTCATCGGGATGAAAAAAAGGGGGGAAAGGTGGAAGAATCCTTTGACTTGGAGAACTTGACTAGGTTTGAACTGCTGTTTTCTTTTTGTAGAACTGGCCGAGTATTTATCTCGGATGAAGACCTAAAACCAGAGCGTTCTGTAAGTGTCCATCGGTCAAACAGCTTCCTGTGTTTAAACAGTTCAAGCGCGATGTGGATAACTAACCGAATGCTATTTGATCATCCGCTTTACGGACTCAATGTCGATCGCGTGCTGGGTTTTCACGACTACACCTTAGGACAGGTAACATTTAATACTCTAGGTCGTACCCTCTTTTGACAAACGATAAAAAATGTCAATGTGTCAACCGAAGTCACCTGTTGTAGCTGTGTCAGTTTTAAGTCACATTTTGTTGTCTATATGAAGTGCTTTTTTTTCTTTGTGTGGCCAAAACCTCAAAGACATATTCGATCGCCTGCATGAGTTTAGATACTAAGAAAGAGGTCCTGGCTCACAAAAATCTTTGAGTAATCGTGGTGTCGTTGTTGACGTGGGGCATGGATTGAGAGGGAATGTTGTGAGGGGGTTTTTCAGCTGCCAATATTTTATTTATGGGTCGCCCTGATTACCCTTCAAATTCTTCTCCATTTTGACTTGTCTTGTCAACATTGTCTCTCTATGTTTCCTATTGCCAAAAACCTAAAACTCTTAAGATCTGTCTCTGAACCCTCTGATTTACTTGCATTACATTTCTCGGCAAATTAGTGAATAATGTAACGATGATATGGGAGAAGTTGCTTGTTTATTCTCTTTGGCGCTGATAATACCGCGTAATATTGTGAAGTAGCTCTTAGTAGAGGCCGAGCTAAATAAAATACGACAATGAGAGCTTTTGAGTTGAGAAGAAATGCTGTGTGTACTCCTTGTGTTTACTAGATATCTGTGGGCGCACTTCACAGTCAGGCTCAAAGCGAACTCCAAGAAAGGTACGATAGTGAAGATGATACTGCTGTTGTAGTTTCCCTTCCGCGCATGCCTCAACCTGAAAAGCTCGACATCAAGTCTTGCGAGCAATTTCTTCTGGAGCTTTTCGAACAATGGATGTCCCCGTATATTCACCCCAGGACTCCTCTGGCACTCTTATCCGAGGCAACCAAAGCGGTGAGTTCAGCTCTAGTGTCATTAGATTAATCACATCGGCCAGTTTTGTATCTGATTGGTCTAGGTGGTAGCAAAGTAGACTATGGATGAACAAAGGGAGTAAGTTTCTAAAGAAACTGTGGTGCTGCGTCGATGGGAGAGTATAACAGGGTAATTTAGTATTACCAACTGGGTAGATAGCGTAAATTGACCACCGTAAAGAGTTTCAAAGCTCATTTTTCGAGCGTTAGCCTTCGTTCATTCGCTCTGACGAAGGGCTAACGCTCGAAACGTCAGCTTTAAAACTCTCTACGCAGGCCTATTTGCGTTATGTACTCGGTTGGTAATACTAAATTACCTTAGAGTATAGATGATTGAGATGGTAGTACAAATCCCTTTGGACCTGTAGCCGTGGCTTCTGTGGTCTCTCTTTGCCGTACTTTGATTTTAAACAACTTAGAAACGATCGGCATTTTCCTTTTTCAGCTTTTGGTATTGTCTGATCTGTTCGTTGATGGAACACACTTTGAATGGGTTCTGGGCACTCTTCTTGATCTACATCATAATCATTCAGCGGAAGATGATCTGTTGATACAGTACTTGCTACCTACACTCTGTAAAGCCTTAGCTTTCCTAAAGACGGTAAGACAGTTGAACTTGCAAAAGAAACTCGTCTCCAACGCAGTTTACTTGAACTTCCCTCTTACTTTGACTGGCATCCTAACATCAGTATATATATTTTCCATAGTGTTCTGTGTACGTTTCCTTTGATACTCACCAAGAGAATTTGTTTCAAATTATAAGCTTATTTGATTGGTAATCATTTCCCCTTATTTACATGATTTTAATGATTGATCCAGCAGTGATACTGTTGGGGAAATAATATGTTAGTCAGTGTTAGGAATCAGTGGGTTAAGAGCACTCGCTTACGGCTCTTGCAATTACGAAAATTTTCAAAATATTACTCAAACCCACAAATTACGAAATGCACCCGCAACTACTATTATCCCAGTTGAAGAACCTCCACGCTTTGCTGATTTAGACAGTACGAGCTAATCCTGTGACATCAAATCAAGCTTCAAGTTTCGCCATAAAATTGCAGAAACCTTCAGTAATGTGCCATTGTTTTGCAGGAAGGAGCGATAACTGAAAGAGTTTGTAAGATAGTGGAATCTTCACTTAGGAGTCCACACGTTCCTCTCCAGGTAATTAAAAGCGTTTTAATCTATTATGCTTTTGACCCAGAGCTTGTAGCGTCTACAAATGTTCCCTCCATCTTTCTCTCTGATAAGCTACATTCCTAAATAAAAGCCATAGCAAAGCTTTTTTACTAATTGTACCCGAAAAGCAGTAGCATTCATGTATCAAGGAAGAAGCCTTTCAAAGATTTGACATGTAAAGTTTTGGTTACCTTCTCCTTAGAAGGTTTTGGAAGCTTTTATCTTACGTCCCAATAACTGTTCGGAGGAAAAATTATGATTGGCGTTTTGTTTCCCAATGAGTTTTTGGTTAGTGTCAACAACTCCTGCCCCATTTGGAAGTCCAAGAAATTACTGGGTGCTACGGGGCTTATCAGAAGGCTAACGATAGTTACTTGATATTGTCTCTGCATTGCAGTTTTGTTTCCAGACTTTCAAAGAAAAGTTGGCTCATTCTTGTGTATTTTTTTTTGTAACAGATCTCTGCCCTTTATGGTGCAATGTACTTACTAGAAATTCAGGTGCCATCTGTAAGTGCTGTGCTACTGCCAATCCTAACAGATTTCCTGGGCAAGAAACTTACTGTGATTAATGGGTAAGATAACGACTGTTTCCTTTACAATATTACTCAGTTTCTCTTTTTTACTTTGTTCAGGGCATGTTCTCATTGTTTTTTTTCGTCATGAACATTTTACTTCTTATGAACTGAGTGCTGGAGGTTATCCAGGTTTCCATGGCATGAAACGATTGGTAGTAATACTTATCTTACTGATTGAGTCACCTGTCACCAGTCCATCCTAAGTACCCCTCCCTGTCAAGTATTTTGGGAGGTTTACTTGACACGTTTTAGTAACCATTTATACTCATGGATGGACAGGGGTAGAGTGAGAGAACACCAAACTGTGTTAGGACTGGAACCATTTCTTTTAAAACTAGCGTTCTCTATTATATTTTTTTTGTGTTGTGTGATGGGGTTGATTAAACTTTTTTTTATTTTTTCCTTCTTAATTTCAATATTTTCTAAGCGCCGTGTCAATGGCAGAACACCACTTATTAGTCATGTGGTCGACAGCATTTTACTTGCTGGAGAGATACGCTGATGAAATCAGTGACCAAGAATTAAAGGCAAACCTCCTCAAGGTAAATTTTACAACGTCTTATATCTAAGGCAATATTTTACTTCTCCTTACACTCGATTTAAAATTGCTCAAAAGAGTACCGCATGACATTGAAAAGCATTGAAAAGCAATCCTTAGATGTGAAATTTGTGTTAGACACATTTACCTCGCAATTGGTTTCTTGTATGTTGATTATATTTGGGATTGAGTTTAACAACCTTTGGTATCTTATTTTATTGTACAGAATGCCGTCCGCACTGCGTCCTCAAACGAAGACAGCACCCCGACCTGTGTCTATCACGCCATCATTAGGGGACTTGAGAGGCTTGTAGTATCATTTGCTCTGTCGAGTGCTGAGTCAGACTCGCTAGTCAAACTTAGTGTGGACAGGTGGGTCGGGTGGGACGGTCGAACTTAACATGGAATGGTGGGTCGGGAGAGACAGTCAAACTGAGTATGGAAAGGTAGTTCGGGTTGGGTGGTCATACATAGCAAAAACAGGTGGGTTGTGTGGGCAGGGGGGTTGTGTGGGCAGGGGGGTTGTGTGGGCAGGGGGGTTGGATAGGAGATAATCATCAGTTAGAACTCTGTAGTTCAGGATGACGACGGCAAAACAAATATTTTCAAGCAAAAACAAAAGAAACTTATGATCTTCAACCCTGGGAGAATTTCTTTGGAGAGTACATGAAAAGATCAATTTATGACGAGTATTCCTTCAAAATTGGTGATGTTTCAAGGGGGTCAGCCATTTTTTTAAAAATTTTTTTTTTCACTGTTATGTCCGAGGATGTGGTCACTATTACGCTCGGGAACAGAAAGATACGTGTTGGAAATAAGAAAGAGACAGGCCCCGCCACAATTCTTGCCACAAAAATCTATAATGTCTTTGATACGTAGATGATTTTAATGCGATACAAAATACCATAGACGTAAAGGAGTATTTGCACACACCTTTTTGACTAATATATGTTTTTTCCATCTCAGGCTGTCCATGCGAAACCCTCAAAGAGCCATATCTGCTCTTGGTTTATTGGTAACGTGTATGTATACAGGTAAGAAGTATGTGTGGCTTTTTTATAGTGGTGTTATTACAACAGTGCTGCTGAGAGGTTTCTGGTTATGTATATAAATGCATTTTAAGGCCATTCTACAATTCAAATGGGAGTCACAGAGGAAGAAATCCTTTAACTCGAGTTGACTTGGGCATTCTGTCACTTGACAAACTGTTTTAGTAACCAAAGAACTGACTTCAGAATGGTCGTCAGTCAATTAAACAGTTTGTCAATTCGTTGGTCGGTCATTCAGTCAGTCATTCGGTCATCAGTCAATCATTCAGCTAGTCAGTCAGCCTGTTGAACAGTAAATCAGTCAGTTAACTTGTTCGATAGGTGGTCAGTCGGTCAGTCAGTCAGTCAGTCAGTCAGTCAGTCAACCTGTTGGTTAGTCGGTCAACCAGTTGGTCAGTCAGTCATCAGTTAGTTAGTCAGTCAGTCAGCCTGTTAGTCAGTCAATCAGTCAGTCAACCTGTCGGACAGTTGGTTGGTCGGTCAGTCAGTCAGTCAGTCAGTTGGTCAATCGGTCAGGGGGTCATTCAGTCAGTTAGTGGGTCAGTTGGTCAGTTCATCAGTCAGTTATTGGTCAAAAGGTCAGTTACTCAGCTCAAGCTCAAAATATTTCCTTCTGTAGGTAAAATATGGTTGGCTGGTCGAATGGTGTATCAGTCACCATGTGGTTGGCCTGTCATTTTGGAAATTGGTCTTTTACTTAGTCATTCACTTAGTCATTCATTCAACCAGTCAAAAATGAACTATTTCGTCCTACAAGACACTCTTGAATTCAGCACATACCTCATTTTTACAGGTAAGATTGGCGACCGACCAAGTGGAATCTACCCTCCGGCTGACACTGCGGAGTTTCCAACAGAGGACATACTTCTCATCGCTATGGAACGTGTTACTGTCCTGTTTGATAGGTGAATTGCAGTTTGTTTATGTTAGAATTAACATAAAAAATACGGCGTAACTTGCCCAAATTCAGTTTAGGAGCATTTGCATGCACGATTAAAACTCGCAAGTGTATTATTGAGGTCGGTCTCAAGAATTGTTGGTATTGTTGTGGCACTTTTAGTGCGCATAGACTTTCTAATCTTAGAATTCAAGTTCCCCTAAGACTAACAATTTTAATTGACATACATTCAACGTACCCCATTTTTAGCGGGCAGCCTGTGTTAAACAGACGCTAGCTCAAGTCCAAAATATTTCCTCCCGTATTACTTAAACCGTTGAATTCGTAAGCGTGATTAGCGTCTAATTTCTTTTGACAGCACCACTGCTTAATCAAACGTAAGGTCATGAGAATGAAGGAAATGATAGCCAACTAAAGAAGTACTTGATTGTTAGACAGATTCTCCTTGTTAGCACTTTAGAAAAGGCATTGAAAATACTATGGAGAATATGTATGCAAACTGATGTTAGGATGTAAAGGGTGCCAGGAAAGTGAGCCTCTATTCAGCAGACACTTTTATTAATTGGTCATGAACAGAGACGCGAAATTGACGCGAAACCTGTGCATTAGTACACTCTAAGATTCCATCGTTTACATTTGAAACATCGATTCTGGCGATTGATTGTTACTCTGTCTACCGGATTTGAAATGTTGCTGATTGTTTACTTTGTTCTATATGGGATTTGATAACTGACTACTGTAGCACAATATACAATTCGAAGGATTTTAGTCACCCTGGGTTTAATAGGCACTACTCAGATGAACCACTGTAATAAGTAAAGTTTTATTAAAAATATCGGTGTAGAATGACCTTAATACTTGACAATGTAACATCGTATCGATATATGCACAAAGGGAATATTTGAAATATGCGCCTGCTGTACATGTTTTGGGGCTGACATGCAGCGAAAAATGTGTTGATCATCTGGTGGATCATCTTGTCAATTTTCAAGGGTGTTTTTCTTTTCGGCAGAATAAGAAAAGGCGTGCCATCTGAAGCCAAAGTGGTGGCCAGAGTTTTGCCACCCTTGCTTTTGGATTTCTTTCCCGCACAAGAAATCATGAACAAAGTGATCGGAGAGTTTCTGTCTAGTCAGCAGCCACATCCTGAACTCATGGCGCAAGTTCTCTTCAAGGTAAATACCTGTAGGATGCTACCTCTTTCAGTTCTTTTTATTCATCTCTTCTCAAATAAATCGTCTACAGGGCCATCTTTAAACAGTAAACTCTCAGATGTAATTAACATAAAACTATTCTGTGCAATATCAATATCATGATCATGCGGATGATGAAACAAACGTATTGATTAAACGGTTTCCACTTGATTTAAAAAACAAAATTTCCCGTACAAAATGCCTCTCCACGATAATGAGAAAATTTTGAATTATGACGGAAATTCTTTTTTGATTATATGCAGCTGACGAGTTACTTCGTTCGGAAGGGCTTCTTGAGTCTTTTTCGTTCTTTAATGATCCTAAAATAATTCTAGTAATAAAATATTAAAACTTCTGCTATACAATCTATTATCTTGATTAGGTGTTTGAAGGTCTTCACAGTCAAGGGCAGCAAACAGAAGTGAGAGACTGGGTACTTCTCTCACTTGGAAGTTTTATTCAGCGGTATGGTGTTTCCTTAGCTAATACTAAAGTTGGAAAGTTCGATCTAGTCGCGTAAACTACAGTTTAAGGACTTTTAAACAAATTAACTTCTCTTGCCGTGATTCTGTTCTTACCACATTTTGACGTCATCCGTGCGCGGACGCGCGGCATCATGGCATCTGATTGTTAGATACGGACATTTATACCTTCTCCATTTCTCTTCCACCTCATCCTAGTGATTCTAAGTGCAAGTTTGCCTCGACAGCATGAAGTGCTTCAAAAAGGGATCCAGGGAAAGGATGGTGCAAACCCCCTTCTCATCTGACCTGTGGGGTTTTTACTACATTTCTGACACCAAAATTCCTGGAACGACAGGATTGCATGTTGCTGCACAATTCGACGTATTCAATATTTATTCGTCTTGCAATTTTTCTTTGCTTATTTGAACCACAGTGTAAAAACTTTTCTGTGTGTTTGTGAATAAAAGTTGTGATCCTGTATCAAATTCCCCCTCTCCCCTCTCCCCTCCCCCAAGCTTGGTTTGCTTGTGTAGTGGGATAGAGGACGTTGCCGTTAGGCGTCTATGCATGTGTACCTTATTGATGTTCGCTATGTATTTTTTTTTCTTAACAGGACACCCCTGTCGATGGCGGTATGGAGTCTTACTTGCTTCTTCATTAGCGCTTCTAGCAACAAATGGATTCGAGCCCTGTATCCAAACTTAGGTGCAAAAAGTAGTAATGAGTGCAACTCACGGTATTTTGTTTTTTACTTCAGTTGGTTACTCTTTTGAACTTCGTCACTTTAGTATTTAGGCTGGTGTTGTTGAAGAGAGGTAAACGTCCAGGCACTGTTTACTTATGCTGAAACATTGTCCTCTTGAGTTTGATTCTTAACGGTAACTTCAGATTTTCTTATATCGTGGGAAGGATGGGTAAACTTGAAGATATCGACGTTAGAATATTTTGTGCAGCAGCTATGGATTTCTACAGAACTCAGGTAAAACAAGTTGTAGCAGCCAGATGAGTCTCATACAAACCTTGCTTTCCCTTTGGATTGTATGGGGTATTTCAAAACTTCGTGACCTTTTTTTTGAACAAAGAAAAAAAAGCATTTCATTCTTAACTGTTCGGTCGTTGAAGCCCTGCAAGTGAATAACCCATGTTTACAGTTTTTCCATATCCATGGACAATTTCATAAGCCTGAAAGTTCCCCTTTGCTTTTTGTGACGTTTTTCAGGGGTCGTGGCAAAGAAGGCAGCTGGTTTGGGGTAGTGGGGCGGAGGGGGGGGAAAGAGACTTTTGTCCATGCCAGGCGTAGCCCCGTTTTCAGTTCTCCCATTGTTTTTGGACCGGAAGACTGTACGTAACCTCGTCAAAATTGCTCCCGAGATTTTTCTTCAGGATTAAGATCTTGCGAATTAGCAGGCCATTTGTTTTTATTCTATGAAATTGGGTAAGTTCTCTAGCACGATGTTTGGGTAGCCAAGGCTGTGGTGCCCGTTTGAGGACAGCAACTTTTGAAACATCTTATAGTTCTTAACAGGAGTTAATCAAGATGATTCATGAATGAAGGAACCGCCAATGTGTGCAGAGATCGAAGTCTCACTTCCCTTTTACAACATATTTTAAAATTGACGCAAGAGGACCACAGCCGTTTCCCCACGTCCACATGCTCTCATGATTTAATAGCATTCTCTGATCTCTGAGGTTTGCTGAGGTCATTACACCTTTTTCACTCGTTAGAACTAACTCAATGTTGGAAGTTCTGATGAGTTTGCAAATGTTCAGGGGTCAACATGTCAATTTTTCTTCCTACAGAACCTCGATGCAAATCATAAGGAGACTCTGATATCCACATTTAGAAGGGCCGCTCAAACGAGTGCACCTTACAGAGAATTTATTGAGTGCTGTCAGTCAGACAGTAAACTCTCTCGATAAATAAAGGGTTGGTTTATGGCTGGAGGGATTATTGAAAAAGGTCCCAACGTTTCTTGATCGTGAGACTGTTTTGTTGAAGAAGCAAAGGAAAGGTAGTGTCCAGAACTTCAGGGTTCTTTGCCGTCAGGCATATTCTCGGTACAGCTTGCTAAGTAAATTTCCCCAGTGCTGCACGGATTTTCATGAGTTACGATTTCTTCAGCTTGAGCCAGTAGTAATTGTGGGTAATTCCTGGTTGTGAAATGTTTTGATAGAAGTTTGAATACTTTTTGCTAGGATGACCACTAATTCAATGAACCGTCCTCATATTTTTGATAACGTAACAGAGAGCAACGTTACGAAGTAGCGGAAAGTGGAACATTCACACACGTGCTTTGTCACGCATTGCTTGAATCGCATTTTCACGCGTTTCATGACATGTCAAATAACAGACACCTTAGGTAGCGTAGAAAATCACTTTTGGTGTGTTTTCCTTGCGCTCGCTTATTCAGAGACTAAGTGGAGATGTGGGGTCAATTTTGACTCAATGAAATGATGTACTATCAATTATCAATGGAGTATTAGATACAATTATGTCTCAATTCGAAGAAAATATAATGAAAACAACTATTATGACTATTTCATTGTGCTTATTCTTGGTAACTGTATATAACCGAAAGGCCTTGCCAATTTTATTCTCAAAACGATGGAATGCTTTGGGTGCAATATTTTGCTAAAACTGATCGCATGGGTGTGGTTGAAAAACTTTCTTATGGCGGCAATTTATCCAAACAAATGCCCTTAGAGCCGTCTTACATCTGTTTTTTTTTTTTTTTTTTGCGCAAATCTGAATGTAATTACACATACTAGAAATGAAAAAAATTTTTCACCGACCCTATTTACTGTTTGACGATACATAAACACAACATCTCGTGTATGCAATTAAAATGGTAGGGGTTATACTATATCGCCTCGTAAAACACCATGGTGTTTCAGAAACGTTTATTTTTTGTTATTAGTATACAACACTTTTAATTTAGCCCATCATTTTCATCATGTATGTGAACACAATGGTTGATAAAAGAAGGTACTCAAAAACGCCAAGTTTGACCCAACTCAACCCAACCAGGCATTGTTACATTTTTTTCTATTTACTCATGATAATTTATTTATTTATTTATTTATTTATGAATTTATTTATTTATACACCTTGCTGCGAAAATAGGGAACTTTACATTACCGAGTTAGAAACTAAATGGTTCATGATTGCCAGTGATCACAAGGGAGGGACCAATAATAAGTCCAACCTTCAACCTAAAGCCTCGTAATAATCGCATTCCTCGCTCTCGACCAGATCTTCAGGAAACTCGTTTGCGATGGCAGCATTTATCTCACAAAGGCTCGTTGATGGCGCCTCCCCTGGTCTGTAATTAACTGATGTGCAGTTTTGAGAGCGTCGACACCAAAGCAAACATTCAATGTCACTTTGTACTACCAATTGATGAATCACATGCTTAGTCAGCTGGGTGTTTGGTAATCTCTTGAAATATCTTCCGTTTGCTGCATCTGTTTCGATACAAAATGTTGTTCGTTACTAATCAGCTCGTGGGATGAACGTTATTTTCCTATTCACCCTTTAACTCCCAAAAGTGATTAACAAGTAACTTCTCCCTACCATACCCATGAACTATCCAGCAAAAAGGTAACAAGAATTAACAATCAGATCTTGGGCGTTAAAGAGTTATTAGATTCTTTGTTAGTTTGGACATACTTCTGTGTTATTCCAGTTGCTTCTTCCTGTTTTTATTTACACATTTTATTTTACAAGGACCAAGTTCGAGACTTGATCAATAAATATCATGTTTACCTACATACAAGAAATAAAAGTAACCATAGCGCTCTGACAAAGGGCTGACGCTCGAAACGTCAGCTTTAACACCAAATTACAATGTTATACCCAACACTGACGCAGCACCACAGTTTCTTTAGAATTAATTATTAATTATTCCGAGTAAGGGAGCAGGTGAACTGCAAGACGCACGGGAAAATACGAGTGCCCAAAGCATGATTATTTTTTGTTTTTTACATGATCAGTTACTACGTTTGTATAAGCTTTCTAGACCTACCGCAGAATACAGGGAGTCAAAACTGATGCAGTGCATGGTTAAATATTTCTCTGGGGACTACTGATGACTACAACTAAAAACTTGCCATCAGAAAAATTACCATGATTGTATCTCTATCAGAAAAAGGCAGTGTTTCATACTACTAAGTGCCTGAGGTGAATGATTTACTTAACCTTTTTCACAAATGTATGGCTGTTTTTTGGAGCAGCTATTGTCGTTCCACTGGCCGTGAAATGAACCATAGTCTGTCATCTCACCGCAGTCCTCATGACCCGAAATGTCCGGGTGACAAATCCAGTTCAGATAAGTTAGCTCCTCGCCTTTCGACCAGCGAAAATTTTTAGAACTTTGATCTTTCACCAGGCCGATCCAGAACGTTTTTTTTATTGCCATGCGTCGGTACACGAACTGCTGCTCTCCATTAGAGTTTATGCTGAGCAGATCCCCTCCGTTTTCCTGGCAAGCGGCCCTTGCGTAAAACCAAGACAGTTGCGTGTTATAAGCTCGATAGCATGAGCCGTTGAAGTAAAACCAGTCTTTAGCACAAGTCCAACCTATTCAAAAGGATCGTGAGCTTGAGTTGGAGGTATAATTTCCTTTTTTATTTTCGAACCAATCTTACAGCTTTGTTAAGCAAAACCGATGCAATCTTCGACTCTATGTTTGACACACAATTGTAGGTAGCCATATTGCAAGGATGACTGCAATTTATCTCAGGTGAATTTCGCTGTGTTACATTTGCGATGGGTTTGTGGTTCGGGGGCGAATTATGAGCGAAATTGAAATTGAGTGAAACCATCAGTTACCTTGTGATGATGAACATTTATTGTGTTTCTTCCTCTATTGTTGATGACAAGGTTGTTGTCGTGTTTTCTGAACATATAAACTCTTATGCTTCAAAATTCTAAGTACAGTATCGAAATCATTCAGTGCCTCGGATTCTCTTACAAATGAACCGGGAAAGCAACTTTTAATACTTATAGTTTCAGAATACACCGGAAAGCTTCCTATACGATTGATTCCACTATGACTTAATATACCGAAGGAAATAAATCGCGCAGAAATAAAAGAGAGTGTTGATAGATTAGTCACTTAATTTGGACAGACGCAATCGCTGGTTGTCATTCTACGAAAATGTTAATTGGAGTCGCAGCCTTGTTACTTAGGATAAAGATTTTTTATTACATTTTACGACGCGGAAGTTTTCTTTATGTGAATAATACTATATTATTTTATCTGAATATGTCCTAGAGAGTATTTTTAAAAGAGTAACCCTCGCTGTAGCTTTTGGTATCTCTATTTATGAACGCAGAATAAACTGATTAGACTTCGACAGTGTCTTCGGATTTGCATCCAGACCAAATGAAAAATGTAATAAATTAACCTGTTACGGTTGTATTAGGATTTCAGTACTTCTCCAGTACAATGAATACATTTAAAAGCGGATAAAAACTTTGCGGTTTTTTTCAAAGGCCATCGTTGCTGCATTAGCCTCCCGCGTTGGGTCGGGCTGAATGACGATAAAAAATATCGAATAAAACCATATTTGTTTTAATCTTACCTTCTGATAAATCCTCGTCAAACCCTTCTGAAGACAAATAGAGCTATCCAAGAGAGCAGATATCAAAAAAGGTCGGTTTAAATTTGGCCGAATCGAAGCATATCCAGAAATTTCAATTTCTCAGCACTTACCGCGGCAACACAAAGAAATGAAATTATCATTATTGGGTCTCTACCACTTTTCCCTTTTCGCACTGTGTGGCACAGCCATCTCCCACGTTTAAACAATATTTCTTTTTATCTGTATGCAGCTGCTGCTCTCTTGTGTTTTATAACCAAGTGATCTGTATATTGCTGATGGTTTATACACGGATCCGCTTCCCTTTAAGTGTACACAGCTTTACATTGGAACATCGATTTTTGACAGGTCGTCAGCCTTGTTGATACAAATATTCTCTTTTAAAGAAAAACTTTAAGGCAGTCGATTCTATGGTGGCATTGTGTTTTCTTTATTGTGTAAACATTGTAACTAGATACTTCCTCGTATCAAAGAATGATGTCTAGAGTTTCGATAGTTCAATATCTTTATCTCAGACTAAGGACACCCGCCGGCCCATGGCTAACTTTTAGTGGAGTTATACAGATTCTAAATTCTTTTTTTTTTCAAAGGGTTATATCTTGTAGCTGAGCAGTCCAAAGAAAAACCCAAATTCCGAAAAAGTCCAAAACAAACAGACCTAAAGAATACATTAAAGATGTAGATCTGCATTACACACCAATTGTTTTTTTTTTCGGTGACATACACTTTGGAATTTTATTTCCTCCTTTGCCTTCAGTGAGCTAACAAGGAAATGAGCATGGGAATCAGTTCATATGAAACTTAAATTGTAGACTTAACTCATTGATTATGTGTAGTCAAGAAATATGAAACTTAATTAAATGTGTTGGAAATTATTTGTCTGATTATTGATTGTTAAATGTATAGTAGACGCATATATCTGAGCAACATTGCGCTCGTTTGTAAATAGCAACGAAGAGTCTTCGATTTCCCTGAGGTGAAGACAAAAAAAGAAGTAAACCGAGTTTTAAACTAGTTTCTTATATCATTGGTTGCTGGTGCAAGGTTGTGGACAGGGAACTATCATCAACTCAGACAGGTGCGCACGATATCAGTGATGATCCCCCCTCATCTGCAATAAGATTAAAATGGGACCCACGTGTCAGTAATGGAAAGGCATCAGAAAAAGCAGGTGCGAATGGCATACAGACTGAGATTTATCTAGTTAAAATTCTCTTTCGTAGAGTTGATCAGATGAAGTAAGAAGAATGGAGTATAGATTTGGAAAAGCGTTGCTGTTCGATAAGGGAGCTGATTCCTTGACACTTAAAGTTGGGTTAAAACAGGGACAGATTAAGAAGAGTAAAACATTGTGATAAGATTTCAAACTTAGTACATATAAACAACTTATTATTTAAACTCAAAAGACTTAATATCAAAGAAGAAAAGGTTCAAAACATATGACTACAGGGGGGAAAGAGGGCGGGGAGAATAGCTCCTTGGATTCCATCCAGATCCGCCCATTACAAAGTTATGCGGGTATGAAAAAAAATGACGAAAAACCAATCCATGAAGATGAAGGAAAGATCGACAAAAATCTGTTTTGTTAACTCATTTCTTATTATACTTATTTTTGTGGCTTATGTTACTGTCTATCCTTTTTAGAAGACGCAAGTGAGATCGCATTTTAAAGCAAACAAAACGTTATCCAGATTCAGGACAAGAAAAGGAAGCAATGTTCTCCACTAAATAAGTACGTCGGAATCAATAATTCCTCCCTTTTTTCGCTGGTTTCCTAATGCTCGCCCGTTGATATTTATAACTTTTGCTCTCTTTTTCCAGCTTGCGCAAATACCTCATACTTTATGAACATTGAACTTTCAAAACGGGCACTCGATGCTTAAATGAATTATTCTCATGTAGAACGTGATAACATCGCTCGAGGTAACCGAAAGGCGATCGAAATCCTGTTTTTCCTGGTTGCTTAGGGTTAGATTTTAGACGTCTGATTCAACTCTGTAATTTCAATAATTCATATCCAATAGCAATTAATTTTCCCTTTTTATCTGGGAGATCTGGAGGAACGTGGTCCAAATCTACAAACTTTTGACACTACAAGAATCAAACGTATATATAACTAGAATGATTAAGACCCATTCATTTGTTTTGTCCGTTACAAAACTGCGTCGAATATGAAATTCGTAAGTCTGATTCACTAATCTTTAAACTCATCCGAAGCCTTCGCATATTCTGATAAACGAGGGCAACTGATCTAACGGCGATAAAGAGTACAATCAAAAAATAACCCCTCGGCAAAAAATTAATGTATGTCTAAGATTTAAGAACAAAATGGTTTGAACGCGTAGAAATGGACTGGATGAAAACACTTCCTTACAAACTCTGTACGCGCTTATGATTTAAAATAAGATCTGGGACGCTTCCTTTTCTCAATAAGTTTGAGAATACCTCCCAGAATTGAAAATAGAAGTCATAATGACTCCATAAAGCTTAGTTTCCTGTTGATAGCTCTGTTTAACTAATTTGCCGTCCTTCGTGGCTGTTCGGTACACGCGGAAGTCGCCGAGTTTCCAAGATTTTTGCTGGGATGGACGTCACTGCTTTTAAATTTAGTTTCCTACAAGTGACTGTTGAATATCGATGGGCTTTAAATAGGGCATTCGCTTTTACGAAGGGTTAACGATCGAAACTTTAGGTGGCCAATATACATTATAATCAACTCGGTTGATTAAACCAAGTTATTTTGTAATACCCGGCCCTTGAGCGACGCAGCACCACGGTTTCTTTGAAAAACTTACCCCTTTCTTGATAGGTGAATGTATGTCAATACAAAAGTTTTTAATTTTGGCTGGCTATAGATAGATGAATGTTATTTAATGTGACAGTTTAAGGTGGCTTAAAAGAGTACATCCCTTCATATGAGCGGCTAATGTCCAAGTCTTGCAAACTCAAATGAATATGGAGGTTTTTTGTTTGATAGTCTCGAACTGCCAAAGGAGCAAATCAAGAAGTCCGACTGCCTTTTAGACCTCTTAAGTTGAATACATTCCGAATTCTCCCTCGTACCGCCTACTACTGAGGGCAGATTCTTGAAAATGACCTTCATTATTCCGCAGCCATTTTCACGTTATGTTTATAAACTGAGCACTTATCCACAAATAACTCCTGCGCTTTTTCTGTTTCCCGTCACCTGCCAGACAGTGTCCGGCTGTATACTTCACACCTCGTATAGTCCATGGATTATGACGCAGCATCAGTATGGTGCTCAAACCGACTATATTTTTGTTGAGACGCTATGATGCCGTTTTCTTAGTGCGAATAATTCTTGAACGGTAATCAAGAATATTATGGTCCAATGAATAGCTGTTCTTGTGTATTTCTCCCGAGAAACCTTGTCACAGTGGCAACAAGAGGTTGGTCACTAAGCTATTGTGTTCTAAAGACCCTTTTAAAAGTTTTGCACCGTACAACGTCAAGACACAACAATCATGAATAACAAAGTCAAAGAATCTCGTCCTAGTTTAGTCAGATCACGAGTTCGATATTAGTTTTCTTGGTATCTATTTTCAAAAGTGAAAGGATCAGGAAACTAAAGACTGAGATCGGTCAATTGCCGAAACTTCAACCTGAAAGGTGTTGCACCCTACGTCAAGACACAACAATGACGAACAACAAAGGCCACACCACTCTAGAACCACATGATCGCGCCGCAATTATAGCTAATTGTTTTCAAATTGATTTTTCATCACCTCGAAACTAAAATGAAACTGCAAAACCCGTTTATAAATATCCCCTTTGTTATTCTCATTTATTAACTAACTTATTCATGCCTTTTTTAATGATAAAACTGTAAAGCAGACGTTTGTCCACTTCAATATCTTTTGTTATTAGAGGGCTGAAAAAGAGCCTCTGATAATCCCTTTCTTGTTTAATTTGGCTGAGGGGTACAGGGTGGTTCCATACCAAGATATCTATATCTTATCAGTCACTTCTTGCCTAATAAATCGTGTATTTCAGTCAAAAGCATAACCAACAGATGCAGTAAAGCTTGTACTTACTCAGTGTACCGCGTAAAAAATGGGTTGTAAACATTTTACTGGATTGAATCCCATTCATCGCTTCATTCATCACAGGGCAACGATATTATACCACAGAACTCCCCAAGTCAAAGAATGTTGTCTTAGTTTAGTAAGATCACGAGTTCGATATGAGTTTTCATGGTGTCAATCTTCACTTTTCATGATAACACTTTAAAGCAGACGTTTGTCCATTTCAATATCTTTTGTTATTAGAGGGCTATAAAGAGCAGTCACCCTGGATTTAATAGACACTACTCCGATTAACTACTGTACTAAGCAAAGTTTGGCAAAAATCTCGGTGTAGAATGACCCTAAAACTTGACAATGTAACATCGTGCCAATATGTGCACAAAGGGAAATATTTGAAATATGCACCCGCTGTGCATGTTTTGGGGCTGACATGCAGCAAAAAATGTGTTGATCATCCGGTGGATAATTATGTCAATTTTTTTGTGTAAAAAACGTTCTGTGTTTTGTGAATGAAAGTTTTGACCCTCTATCAAATCCCCTCCCCCTGCCCCCAAGGTTGGTTTGCTTGTGTAGTGGAAGGACGTTGCCGTTAGGCGTCTATGCACGTGGACCTCATTGATGTTCGCTTTTTATTTTACTTTTTAAAAGGAAACCTCTGTCGATGGCGGTATGGAGTCTTACCGGCTTCCTCATTAGCACTTCTAGTGACAAATGGATTCGAGCCCTGTATCCAAACTTAGGTGCAAAAAGTAGCAATGAGTGCAACTCACGGCATTTTGTTTTTTACTTAAGTTAGTTGCTCTTTTGAACTTCATCACTTTAGTAATTAGGCTGGTGTTGTTGAGGAGAAGTAAACGTCCAGGCACTGTTTACTTATGCTGCGACTTTGTTCTCTTGACTTTTATTCTGAACGGTATCCTCAGCTTTTCTTATATCTTGGGAAGGATGGGTAAACTTAAAGACATCGACGTTTAAATATTTTCTGCAGCAGCCATGGATTTATATAGAACTCAAGGAAGACAAGCTGTAGCAGCCAGTTGAGTCTCATACAAACCTTGCTTTCCTTTATTCTGAACGGTATCCTCAGCTTTTCTTATATCTTGGGAAGGATGGGTAAAGTTGAAGATATCGACGTTGGAATATTTTGTGCAGCAGCCACGAATTTCTACAGAACTCAAGGAAGACAAGTTGTAGCAGCCAGTTGAGACTCATACAAACCTTGCTTTCCTTTATTCTGAACGGTATCCTCAACGGTTTTCTATATCTTGGGAAGGATGGGTAAACTTGAAGACATCGACGTTTAAATATTTTCTGCAGCAGCCATGGATTTATATAGAACTCAAGTAAGACAAGTTGTAGCAGCCAGCTGAGTCTCATACAAACCTTGCTTTCCTTTTGGATTTGAACAAAGAAAAAAACATTTCTTTCTGAATTGTCCGTTCGTCGAAGCCTTGCAAGTGACTAACCCTACAGTCTACAGTTTTTCCATATCCATGGAGAATTTCATTAGCCTGGAAATCCCCCTTTGCTTTTCATGACAAACGCCAAGTTTGATCCAGCCCAACCAAGCGTTGTAAAATTATTTCGCTATTTACTTATAATAATTTATTTATTTATCAAGAAACCTTACACTACCGTCTTACAAACGGAATGGTTCATGATTGCCAATGATCTCAAGGGAGGAGCCGATAATAAGTCCAACCTTCAACCTAAAGCCTCGTAATAATCGAATTCCTTGCTCTCGACCACATCTCCAGGAAACTCATTTGCGATGGCAGCATTTATCTCACAAAGGCTCGTTGATGGCGCTTCCCCTGGTCTGTAATTAACTGATGTGCAGTTTTGATAGCGTCGACACCAAAGCAAACATTCAATGTCACTTTGTACTACCAACTGATGAATCACATGCTTAGTCAGCTGGGTGTTTGGTGATCTCTTGAAATATCTTCCGTTTGCTGCATCTGTTTCGATACAAAATGTTATTTCGTTACTAATCAGCTTGTGGGATGAACGCTCTTTTCCTATTAACCCTTTAACTCCCAAAAGTGATTAACAAGTAACTTCTCCCTTCCATATCCATGCACTATCCCGCAAAAAGGTAACAAGAATACTCAATTGCATCAGGATGAAGTTGTTATCTTGATCTAACACCAAATTCACGTAACCAATTTACAAGGAAATGTGTAGCAGCTAGAGGGGAGAATTAACAATCAGATCTTGAGCGTTAAAAGAGTTAACAGATTCTTTGTTAGTTTCGACATACTTCTGTGTTATTCCAGCTGCTTTTTCCAGTTTTGATTTACACGTTTTATTTTGCTAGGACCAAGTTCGAGACTTGATCAATAAATATCATGGTTACCTACATACAAGAAATAAAAGTAACCAGAGCGCTCTAACGAAGGGCTAACGCTCGAAACGTCAGCTTTAACACCAAATTACAATGTTATACCCTACCACAGACGCAGCACCACAGTTTCTTTAGAATTTATTCATGGATTATTGCTAGTTGTGCTTTGGACAACTTTTTCCTCTACCTGGCTTTAAGTCTCAAACGACACTTCCTCCTCCAAAAATTTCCTTTTCATCAAGGTAAATGCCCTCAAAAAATTTAATGAGAGTGAAATGCCAGACAAAGGTACAGAACTTGTCATTCATTTATAGAAACCCGAATCTCGACTGACTCTCTGATGTGTTTCCGCGGGTAAAGTGCCCCTGTATACTTGATCACATTTGGTTCAATTTAGCTAATCCGGATTGATGATCCGGACTGTTTAGCACCAATGTTTCCCACTGTGGATAAGATACCAAGGGCAATGACAGAAGAAAGTGTTTACTTCTTATTTTCCACCTCTCGTTCTCGTGTGTCCGTTTCGATTGAGTGTCTCAATACCGAAACTAAGTTAATTAGAAACACCAACTAGATCAAAGGGAACTATTCCAAGTAAGAGAGTAGATGAACTGCGAGACGCACGGGGAAATACGAGTGCCCAAAGCTTGATTACTTTCTGTTTTTCGTATGATCAGTTACTACGTTTGTAGGAGCTTTCTAGACCAACCGCAGAATACAGGGAGTCAAGACTGAAGCAGTGCAGGGTCAAATTCGACACTATCGAATATTTCTCTGGGGACTACTGATGACTACAATTAAAAAATTGCCATCAGAAAAAATACCATAATTGTATCTCTATCAGAAAAAGGCAGTGTTTCATACTACTACGTGCCTGAGGTGAATGATTTACTTAACCTTTTTCACAGATGTATGGCTGTTTTTTGGAGCAGCTATTGTCGTTCCACTTGCCGTGAAATGAACCATAGTCTGTCATCTCACCGCAATCCTCAGGACCCGAAATGTTCGGGTGACGAATCCAGTTCAGATAAGCTAGCTCCTCGCCTTTCGACCAGCGGAAATTTTTAGAACTTTGATCTTTCACCAGGCCGATCCAGAACGTTTTGTTGACTGCCATGCGTCGGTACACGAACTGCTGCTCTCCATCAGAGTTTATGCTGAGCAGATCCCCTCCGTTTTCCAGGCAAGCGGCTCTTGCGTAAAACCAAGACAGTTGCGTGTTATAAGCTCGATAGCATGAGCGGTTGAAGTAGAACCAGTCTTTAGCACAAGTCCAACCTATTCAAAAGGATCGTGAGCTTGAATTGGAGGTATAATTTCCTTTTTTATTTTCGAACCAATCTTACAGCTTTGTTAAGCAAAACCGATGCAATCTTCGACTCTATGTTTGACACACAATTGTAGGTAGCCATATTGCAAGGATGATTGCAATTTATCTCAGGTGAATTTCGCTGTGTTACATTTGTAATGGGTTTGTGGTTCGGGGTTGAATTATGAGCGAAATTGAAATTGAGCGAAACCATCTGTTACCTTGTGATGATGAACATTTATTATGTTTCTTCCTCTATTGTTGATGACAAGGTTGTTGCCATGTTTTCTGAACATATGAACTCTTATGCTTCAAATTCTAAGTACAGTATCGAAATCATTCAGTGCCTCGGATTCTCTTAAAAATGAACCGGGAAAGCAACTTTTAATGATTATAGTTTCAGAATACGCCGGAAAGCTTCCTATACGATTGATTCCACTATGACTAAATATACCGTAGGAAATAAAGCGCGCAGAATGGAGAAATAAGAGAGAGTGTTGATCGATTTGTCACTTAATTTGGTCATACGCAATCGCTGGTTGCCATTCTACGAAAATGCTAATTAGATTCGCAGCCTTGTTACTTAGGATAATTTAGGATTTTTTTATTACATTTTATGACGCGGAAGTTTTCTTTATGTGAATAATACTATTTTTTTTTATTTGAATATGTCCTAGAGAATATTTTTAAAAGAGTAACCCTAGCCGTAGATTTTACTATCTCTATTTATGGACGCAGAATAAACTGATTAGACTTCGACAGTGTCTTCGGATTTGCATTCAGACCAAACGAAAAATGTAATAAATTAAACTGTTACGGTTGTATTAGGATATCAGTACTTCTCCAGTACAATAAATACAGTTAAAAGCGGATAAAAATTTTGCGGTTATTTTCAAAGGCCATCGTTGCTACATTAGCCTCGCGCCTTGAATTGGGCTGAATGACGATAAAAATATCGAATAAAACCATATTTGTTCAATCTTACCTTCTGGTAAAACCTCGTCAAACCCTTCTGAAGACAAATAGAGCTATCCAAGAGAGCAGATATCAAAAAAGTTTGGATTAAATTTGGCCGAATTGAAGCATATCCAGAAATTTCAATTTCTCAGCACTTACCGCGACCACACAAAGAAATAAAATTATCATTATTGGGTCTCTACCACTTTTCCCTTTTCGCACTATGTGGCACAGCCATCTCCCTCGTTTAAACAATATTTCTTTTTATCTGCATGCAGATGCTGCTCTCGAAAGGTGTTTTATAACCAAGTGATCTGTATATTGCTGATGGTTTTTACACGGACCGCTTCCCTATTAAGTGTACACAGCTTTACATTGGAACATCGATTTTGACAGGTCGTCAGCCTTGTTGATACAAATATTCTCTTTTAAAGAAAAATTTTAAGGCAGTCGATTCTATGGTGGCATTGTGTTTTCTTTATTGTGTAAACATTGTTACTAGATCCTTCATCGTATCAAAGAATGATGTCTAGAGTTTCGATAGTTCAATATCTTTGTCTCAGACACCCGCCGGCCCATGGCTAATTTTTAGTGGAGTTATACAGATTCTAAATTCTTTTTTTTTTTAAAGAGTTATATCTTGTAGCTGAGCAGTCCAAAGAAAAACCCAAATTCCGAAAAAGTCCAAAACAAACACACCTAAAGAATACATTAAAAGATGTAGATCTGCATTACACACCAATTTTTTTTTTTTCGGTGACATACACTTTGGACTATAATTTCCTCCTTTGCCTTCAGTGAGCTAACAAGGAAATGAGCGTGGGAATCAGTCTATATGAAACTTAAATTGTAGACTTAACTCATTGATTATGTGTAGTCAAGAAATATGAAACTAAAATTAAATGTGTTGGAAATTATTTGTCTGATTATTGATTGTTAAATGTATAGTAGACGCATATATCTGAGCAACATTGCGCTCGTTTGTAAATAGCAACGAAGAGTCTTCGATTTCCCTGAGGTGAAGACGAAAAAAGAAGTAAACCGAGTTTTAAACTAGTTTCTTATATCATTGGTTGCTAGTGCAAGGTTATGGACTGTGAACCATTATCAACTCAGACAGGTGCGCACGATATCAGTGATTATCCCCCCTCATCTGCAATAAGACTTAAATGGACCCACCTGTCAGCAATGGAGTGGCATCAGAAAAAGCAGGTGCGAATGGCATACAGACTGAGATTTATCTGGTTAAAATTCTCTTTCGCAGAGTTGATCAGATGAAGTTAGAAGAATGGGGCATTATAGAGTTGGAAAAGCGTTGCTGATCGATAACTCTTCGACACTTAAAGTTGGGTTAAAACAGGGACGGATTAAGAAGATTAAAACATTGTGATAAGATTTCAAACTTAGTACATATAAACAACTTATTACTTCAACTCAAAAGACTTTATATCAAAGAAGAAAATGTTTAAAACATATGACTACAGGGGAGGAGGAGGGCGGGGAGAACAGCTCCCTAGGTTTCATCCAGATCCGCCCATGACAAAGTTATGTGGGTATGAAAAATATGACGAAAAACCAATCCATGAAGATGAAGGAAATATCGACAAAAATCTATTATATTAACTCGTATCTTATTATACTTATTTTTGTAGCTTATGTTACTGTCTATCCTTTTTAAAAGACGCAAATGAGATCGCATTTTAAAGAAAAAAAAACGTTATCCATATTCAGGACAAGAAAGGAAGCCATGTTCTCCACTAAATAAGCACGTCGGAATCAACCATCCTTCCCTTTTTTTTCAATGGTTTCTTAGTGCTCCCCCGTTGACATTTAGAACTTTTGCTCCCTTTTTCCAGCTTGCGCACAATACCTCATACTTTATGAACATTGAACTTTCAAAACGGGCACTCGATGCATAAATGAATTATTCTCATGTAGAACGTGATAACATCGCTCGAGGTAACCGAAAGGCGATCGAAATCCTGTTTGTCCTGGTTAAGATTTTAGACGTCTGATTCAACTCTGTAATTTCAATAATTCATATCCAATAGCAATTAATTTTCCCTTTTTATCTGGGAGATCTGGAGGAACGTGGTCCAAATCTACAAACTTTTGACACTACAAGAATCAAACGTATATATAACTAGAATGATTAAGACCCATTCATTTGTTTTGTCCGTTACAAAACTGCGTCGAATATGAAATTCGTAAGCCTGATTCACTAATCTTTAAACTCATCCGAAGCCTTCGCATATTCTGATAAACGAGGGCAACTGATCTAACGGCGATAAAGAGTACAATAAAAAATAACCCCTCGGCAAAAAATTAATGTATGTCTAAGATTTAAGAACAAAATGGTTTGAACGCGTAGAAATGGACTGGATGAAAACACTTCCTTACAAACTCTGTACGCGCTTATGATTTAAAATAAGATCTGGGACGCTTCCTTTTCTCAATAAGTTTGAGAATACCTCCCAGAATTGAAAATAGAAAGTCATTATGACTCCATAAAGCTTAGTTTCCTTTGATAGCTCTGTTTAATTAATTTGCCGTCCTTCGTGGCTGTTCGGTAAACGCGGAAGTCGCTGAGTTGTCCAAGTTTTTTGCTGGGATGGACGTTGCTGCTTTTAAATTTAGTTTCCTGCAAGTGACTGATGAATATCGATGGGCTTTAAATAGGGCATTCGCTTTTACGAAGGGTTAACGATCGAAACGTTAAGTGGCCAATATACATTATAATCAACTCGGTTGATTAAACCAAGTTATTTTGTAATACCCGGCCCTTGAGCGACGCAGCACCACGGTTTCTTTGAAAACTTACCCCCTTTCTTGATAGGTGAATGTATGTCAATACAAAAGTTTTTAATTTTGGCTGGCTATAGATAGATGAATGTTATTTCATGTGACAGTTTAAGGTGGCTTAAAAGAGTACATCCCTTCATATGAGCGGCTAATGTCCAAGTCTTGCAAACTCAAATGAATATGGAGGTTTTTTGTTTGATAGTCTCGAACTGCCAAAGGAGCAAATCAAGAAGTCCGACTGCCTTTTAGACCTCTTAAGTTGAATACATTCCGAATTCTTCCTCGTACTGCCTGCTACTGAGGGCAGATTCTTGAAAATGACCTTCATTATTCCGCAGTCATTTTCACGATATGTTTATAAACTGAGCACTTATCCACAAATAACTCCTGCGCTATTTCTGTTTCCCGTCACCTGCCAGACAGTGTCCGGCTGTATACTTCACACCTCGTATAGTCCATAGATTATGACGCAGCATCAGTATGGTGCTCAAACCGACTATATTTTTGTTGAGACGCTATGATGCCGTTTTCTTAGTGCGAATGATTCTTGAACGGTAATCAAGAATATTATGGTCCAATGCATAGCTGTTCTTGTGTATTTCTCCCGAGAAACATTGTCACAGTGGCAACAAGAGGTTGGTCACTAAGCTATTGTGTTCTAAAGACCCTTTGAAAAGTTTTGCACCGTACAACGTCAAGACACAACAATCATGAATAACAAAGTCAAAGAATCTCGTCCTAGTTTAGTCAGATCACGAGTTCGATATTAGTTTTCTTGGTATCTATTTTCAAAAGTGAAAGGATCAGGAAACTAAAGACTGAAATCGGTCAATTGCCGAAACTTCAACCTGAAAGGTGTTGCACCCTACGTCAAGACACAACAATGCCGAACAACAAAGGCCACACCACTCTAGAACCACATGATCGCGCCGCAATTATAGCTAATTGTTTTTAAATTTAATTTTCATCACCTCGAAACTAAAATGAAACTGCAAAATAAATACCCCCTTTGTTATTCTCATTTATTAACTAACTTATTCATTCCTTTTTTAATGATAAAACTGTAAAGCAGACGTTTGTCCACTTCAATATCTTTTGTTATTTGAGGGCTGAAAAAGAGCCTTTGATAATCCCTTTCTTGTTTAATTTGGCTGAGGGGTACAGGGTGGTTCCATACCAAGATATCTATATCTTATCAGTCACTTCTTGCCTAATAAATCGTGTATTTCAGTCAAAAGCATAACCAACAGATTCAGTAAAGCTTGTACTTACTCAGTGTACCGCGTAAAAAATGACTTGTAAACATTTTACTGGTTTGAATCCCATTCATCGCTTCATTCATCACAGGGCAACGATATTATACCGCAGAACTCCCCAAGTCAAAGAATGTTGTCTTAGTTTAGTAAGATCACGAGTTCGATATGAGTTTTCATGGTGTCAATCTTCATTTTTCATGATAACACTTTAAAGCAGACGTTTGTCCATTTCAATATCTTTTGTTATTAGAGGGCTACAAAGAGCAGTCACCCTGGATTCAATTGACACTACTCCGATTAACTACTGTAATAAGCAAAGTTTGGCAAAAATCTCGGTGTAGAATGACCCTAAAACTTGACAATGTAACATGGTGCCAATATGTGCACAAAGGGAAATATTTGAAATATGCACCTGCTGTACATGTTTTGGGGCTGACATGCAGCAAAAAATGTGTTGATCATCCGGTGGATCATTATGTCAATTTTTTGTGTAAAAAACTTTCTGTGTTTTGTGAATGAAAGTTTTGAACTCTATCAAATCCCCTCCCCCTGCCCCCAAGGTTGGTTTGCTTGTGTAGTGGAAGGACGTTGCCGTTTGGCGTCTATGCATGTGGACCTCGTTGATGTTCGCTTTTTATTTTACTTTTTGAAAGGAAACCTCTGTCGATGGCGATATGGAGTCTTACCGGCTTCCTCATTAGCACTTCTAGTGACAAATGGATTCGAGCCCTGTATCCAAACTTAGGTGCAAAAAGTAGCAATGAGTGCAACTCACGGCATTTTGTTTTTTACTTAAGTTAGTTGCTCTTTTGAACTTCATCACTTTAGTATGGACTTTTATTCTGAACGTGTTGTTGAGGGAAAAGGATGGGTAAACGTCCGAGGCACTGGTTTATATAGAACTCAAGGAAGACAAGCTGCGACCAGTTTCTTCTTTTCCTTTTATTCTGAACGGTATCCTCAGCTTTTCTTATATCTTGGGAAGGATGGGTAAACTTGAAGACATCGACGTTGGAATATTTTGTGCAGCAGCCATGAATTTCTACAGAACTCAAGGAAGACAAGTTGTAGCAGCCAGTTGAGTCTCATACAAACCTTGCTTTCCTTTATTCTGAACGGTATCCTCAGCTTTTCTTATATCTTGGGAAGGATGGGTAAACTTGAAGATATCGACGTTGGAATATTTTCTGCAGCAGCCATGGATTTATATAGAACTCAAGTAAGACAAGTTGTAGCAGCCAGCTGAGTCTCATACAAACCTTGCTTTCCTTTTGGATTGTACGGGGTATTTCAAAAGTTCGTGCCCTTTTTTTTGAACAAAGAAAAAAAGATTTCTTTCTGAACTGTCCGTTCGTCGAAGCCTTGCAAGTGAGTAACCCATGTCTACAGTTTTTCCATATCCATGGAGAATTTCATTAGCCTGGAAATCCCCCTTTGCTTTTCATGACAAACGCCAAGTTTGATCCAGCCCAACCAAGTGTTGTAAAATTTTTCGCTATTTACTTATAATAATTTATTTATTTATCAAGAAACCTTACACTACCGTCTTACGAACGAAATGGTTCATGATTGCCAATGATCTCAAGGGAGGGGCCGATAATAAGTCCAACCTTCAACCTAAAGCCTCGTAATAATCGAATTCCTTACTCTCGACCACATCTCCAGGAAACTCATTTGCGATGGCAGCATTTATCTCACAAAGGCTCGTTGATGGCGCTTCCCCTGGTCTGTAATTAACTGATGTGCAGTTCTGATAGCGTCGACACCAAAGCAAACATTCAATGTCACTTTGTACTACCAACTGATGAATCACATGCTTAGTCAGCTGGGTGTTCGGTGATCTCTTGAAATATCTTCCGTTTGCTGCATCTGTTTCGATACAAAATGTTATTTCGTTACTAATCAGCATTTAGGATGAACGTCCTTTTCCCATTTACCCTTTAACTCCCAGAAGTGATTAACAAGTAACTTCTCCCTACAATATCCAACCACTATCTAGCAAAAAGGTAACAAAATTACTCAAATGCATCAGGTAGTGTTGATATCTTGATCTAGCACCAAATTCTTGTAACTAATTTACAAGAAAATGTGTAGCAGCTAGAGGGGAGAATTAACAATCAAATCTGGGGTGTAAAAAGGTTAACAGATTCTTCGTTGGTTTCGACCTACCTTACTACTACCTTTGCTTTTCCCTGTTTTTTTTATTTTTACTAGGACCAAGTTCGAGACTTGATCAACAAATATAATGTTTACCTACATACAAGAAATAAAAGTAACCATAACGCTCTGACGAAGGGCTGACGCTCGAAACGTCAGCTTTAATACCAACTGACCTTGTTATACTCTACCACCGACGCAGCACCACAGTTTCTTTAGAATTTTTTCACGAACCCGTTATTCATCTACAGAAACCCGAATCCCGACTGATTCAAGTTCAATTTAGCACCAATGTTTCTCACTGTGGCTAAGTTACCAAGGGCAATGACAAAACAAAGTGTTTACTTCTTATTTTCCATCTCTCGTTCTCGTGTGTCCGTTTCGATTAAGTGTCTCAATACCAGAATAAAGTTAATTAGAAACACCAATCAGATGAAAGGGAACTATCCCAAGTAAGGGAGCAGGTGAACTGCGTGACGCACGGGAAAATACGAGTGCCCAAAGCATGATTACTTTCTGTTTTTCATATGATCAGTTACTACGTTTGTATAAGCTTTCTAGATCAACCGCAAAATCCCGGGAGTCAAAACTGAAAGCTTGCCATCAGAAAAATTACCATAATTGTCTTCTCTATAAGAAAAAGGTAGTGTTTCATACTACTAAGTGCTTGAGGTGAATGATTTACCTAACCTTTTTCACAGATATATGGCTGTTTCTTGGAGCAGCTATTGTCGTTCCACTGGCCGTGAAATGAACCATAGTCTGTCATCTCACCGCAGTCCTCATCACCAGAAATGTTTCCCTCTCTAGGAATCCAGTTCAGATAAGCGAGCTCCTCGCCTTTCGACCAGAGGAAACTTAGAGAGTTTTTATCTTTTACCAGGCCGATCCAGAAAGTTTTATTAACTGCCATGCGTTGGTACACGAACTGCTGCTCTCCATCAGAGTTTATGCTGAGCAGATCTCCTCCGTTTTCCCGGCAAGCGGCTCTTGCGTGAAACCAAGACAGTTTCGTGTCATGAGCTCGATAGCATGAGCCGTTGAAGTATAACCAGTCTTTAGGACAACTCCAACCTGTTCAAAATGATCGTGAACTTGAGTTGGAGGTATAATTTCCTTTCTTTTTCTCCGAACCAGTCTTACAGCTTTGTTAAACAAAACCGATGCAATCTTCGACTCTAGGTCTAACACGCAATTGTAGATAGCCAGATTGCAACGATGACTGCAATTTATCTCAGGTGAATTTCGCTGTGTTACATTTGTAATGGGTTTATGGTTCGGGGGCGAATTATGAGTGAAATTGAAATTGAGCGAAACCATCAGTTACCTTGTGATGATGAACATTTATTGTGTTTCTTCCTCTATTGTTGATGACAAGGTTGTTGTCGTGTTTTCTGAACATATAAACTCTTATGCTTCAAAATTCTAAGTACAGTATCGAAATCATTCAGTGCCTCGGATTCTCTTACAAATGAATCGGGAAAGCAACTTTTAATGCTTATAGTTTCAGAATATACCGGAAAGCTTCCTTTACGATTGATTCCACTATGACTTGATATACCGAAGCAAATAAATCGCGCAGAATGGAGAAATAAAAAAGAGTGTTGATAGATTTGTCACTTAATTTGGACAGACGCAATCGCTGGTTGTCATTCTACGAAAATGTTAATTGGAGTCGCAGCCTTGTTACTTAGGATAAAGATTTTTTATTACATTTTACGACGCGGAAGTTTTCTTTATGTGAATAATACTATATTATTTTATCTGAATATGTCCTAGAGAGTATTTTTAAAAGAGTAACCCTCGCTGTAGCTTTTGGTATCTCTATTAATGAACGCAGAATAAACTGATTAGACTTCGACAGTGTCTTCGGATTTGCATCCAGACCAAATGAAAAATGTAATAAATTAACCTGTTACGGTTGTATTAGGATTTCAGTACTTCTCCAGTACAATGAATACAGTTAAAAGCGGATAAAAACTTTGCGGTTATTTTCAAAGGCCATCGTTGCTGCATTAGCCTCGCGCCTTGAATCGGGCTGAATGACGATAAAAATATCGAATTAAACCATATTTGTTTAATCTTACCTTCCGATAAATCCTCGTCAAACCCTTCTGAAGTTAAATAGAGCTATTCAAGAGAGCAGATATCAAAAAAGGTCGGTTTAAATTTGGCCGAATCGAAGCATATCCAGAAATTTCAATTTCTCAGCACTTACCGCGGCCACACAAAGAAATGAAATTATCATTATTGGGTCTCTACCACTTTTCCCTTTTCGCACTGTGTGGCACAGCCATCTCCCACGTTTAAACAAAAAAACTGCTCTCTAAAAGTGTTTTATAACTAAGTGATCTGTATATTGCTGATGGTTTATAAACGGATCCGATTCCCTTTTAAGTGTACACAGCTTTACATAGGAACATCGATTTTTGACAGGTCGTCAGCCTTGTTGATACAAATATTCTCTTTTAAAGAAAAACTTTAAGGCAGTCGATTCTATGGTGGCATTGTGTTTTCTTTATTGTGTAAACATTGTTACTAGATCCTTCCTCGTATCAAAGAATGATGTCTAGAGTTTCGATAGTTCAATAACGGAGTGGAGTGGAGTTATACAGCTCCACTGCTCATGCTCGCCTTTTAGAACATCACTTATTCCTATAGTAATAAAATTATTTTTCTCAGAGGGTTATAACTTGTAGCTGAGCAGTCCAAAGAAAAACCCAAATTCCGAAAAAGTCCAAAACAAACACCCCTAAAGAATACATTAAAGATGTAGATCTGCATTACACACCAATTTTTTTTTTTTTTTGTGACATACACTTTGGACTATAACTTCCTCCTTTGCCTTCAGCGAGCTAACAAGGAAATGAGCGTGGGAATCAGTTTATATGAAACTTAAATTGTAGACTTAACTCACTGATTATGTGTAGTCAAGAAATGTGAAACTTAATTAAATGTGTTGGAAATTATTTGTCTGATTATTGATTGTTAAATGTATAGTAGACGCATATATCCGAGCCACATTGCGCTCGTTTGTAAATAGAAACGAAGAGTCTTCGAGTTTTAAACTAGTTTCTTATATCATTGGTTGCTAGTGCAAGGTTATGGACAGTGAACCATCATCAACTCAGACAGGTGCGCACGATATCAGTGACGACCCCCCCCTCATCTGTAATGAGACTAAAATGGGACCCACGTGTCAGCAATGGAGAGGCATCAGCAAAAGCAGGTGCGAATGGCATACTGACTGAGATTTATCTAGTTATAATTCTCTTTCGCAGAGTTGATCAGATGAAGTTAGAAGAATGGGGCATTATAGAGTTAGAAAAGCGTTGCTGTTCGATAAGGGAGCTGACTCTTCGACACTTAAAGTTGGGTTAAAACAGGGACAGATTAAGAAGATTAAAACATTGTGATAAGATTTCAACCTTAGTACATATAAACAACTTATTATTTAAACTCAAAAGACTTTATATCAAAGAAGAAAAGGTTCAAAACACATGACTACAGGGGGGAGGAGGGTTTCACTGGTTTCTTAGTGCTCGCCCATTGACATTTAGAACTTTTGCTCTCTTTTTCCAGCTTGCGCAAATACCTCATACTTTATGAACATTGAACTTTCAAAAATGGCACTCGATGCTTAAATGAATTATTCTCAGGTAGAACGTGATAACATCGCTCGAGGTAACCGAAAGGCGATCGAAATCCTGTTTGTCCTGGTTAAGATTTTAGACGTCTGATTCAACTCTGTAATTTCAATAATTCATATCCAATAGCAATTAATTTTCCCTTTTTATCTGGGAGATCTGGAGGAACGTGGTCCAAATCAACAAACTTTTGACACTACAAGAATCAAACGTATATATAACTAGAATGATTAAGACCCATTCATTTGTTTTGTCCGTTACAAAACTACGTCGAATATGAAATTCGTAAGCCTGATTCACTAATCTTTAAACTCATCCGAAGCCTTCGCATATTCTGATAAACGAGGGCAACTGATCTAAGGGCAATAAAGAGTACAATCAAAAAATAACCCCTCATCAAAAATTACTGTATGTCTAAGATTTAAGAACAAAATGGTTTGAACGCGTAGAAATGGACTGGATGAAAACACTTCCTTACAAACTCTGTACGCGCTTATGATTTAAAATAAGATCTGGGACGCTTCCTTTTCTCAATAAGTTTGAGAATACCTCCCAGAATTGAAAATAGAAAGTCATTATGACTCCATAAAGCTTAGTTTCCTGTTGATAGCTCTGTTTAACTAATTTGCCGTCCTTCGTGGCTGTTCGGTAAACGCGGAAGTCGCTGAGTTTTTTGCTAGGATGGACGTCACTGCTTTTAAATTTAGTTTCCTGCAAGTGACTGATGAATATCGATGGGCTTTAAATAGGGCATTCGCTTTTACGAAGGGTTAACGATCGGAACGTCAGGTGGCCAATATACATTATAATCAACTCGGTTGATTAAACCAAGTTATTTTGTAATACCCGGCCCTTGAGCGACGCAGCACCACGGTTTCTTTGAAAACTTACCCCCTTTCTTGATAGGTGAATGTATGTTAATACAAAAGTTTTTAATTTTGGCAGGCTATAGATAGATGAATGTTATTTAATGTGACAGTTTAAGGTGGCTTAAAAGAGCACATCCCTTTCTATGAGCGGCTAATGTCCAAGTCTTGCAAACTCAAACGAATATGGAGGTTTTTTGTTTGATAGTCTCGAACTGCCAAAGGAGCAAATCAAGAAGTCCGACTCCCTTTTAGACCTCTTAAGTTGAATACATTCCGAATTCTCCCTTGTACCGCTTACTTCTGAGGGCAGATTCTTGAAAATGACTTTTATTATTCCGCAGTCATTTTCACGTTATGTATATAAAATGAGCACTTATCCACAAATAACTCCTGCGCTATTTCTGTTTCCCGTCACCTGCCAGACAGTGTCTGTATACTTCACACCTCGTATAGTCCATAAATTTTGACGTAGCATCAGTATGGTGCTCAAACCGACTATATTTTTTTGAGATACTATAATGCCGTTTTCTTAGTACGAATAATTCTTGAACGGTAATCAAGAATATTATGGTCCAATGTATAGCTTTACTTGTGTATTTCTCGCGAGAAACCTTGTCACAGTGGCAACAAGAGGTTGGTCACTAAGCTATTGTGTTCTAAAGACCCTTTTAAAAGTGTTGCACCGTACAACGTCAAGACACAACAATCATGAATAACAAAGTCGAAGGATCTCATCCTAGTTTAGTCAGATCACGAGTTCGATATTAGTTTTCTTGGTATCTTTTTTAAAAAGTTAAAGGATCAGGAAACTAAAGACTGAAATTGGTAAATTGCTGAAACTTCAACCTGAAAGGTGTTGCGCCCTACGTCAAGACACAACAATGACGAACAACAAGAGTCGCACCATTCTAAAACCACATGATCGCGCTTCAACTATAGCTAATTGTTTTCAAATTGATTTTGCATCGCCTCGAAACTAAAATGAAAGTGCAAAACCCGTTTATAAATATCCCCTTTGTTATTCTCATTTATTAACTAACTTATTCATTCCTTTTTTAATGATAAAACTGTAAAGCAGACGTTTGACCACTTTAATATCTTTTGATATTAAAGGGCTGAAAAAGAGCCTCTGATAATCCCTTTCTTGTTTAATTTGGCTGAGGGGTACAAGGTGGTTCCATATCGAGATATCTATATCTTATCAGTCACTTCTTGCTTATTTCAGTCAAAAGCATAACCAACAGATGCAGTAAAACTTGTACTTACTCAGTGTACCGCGTAAAAAATGGCTCGTAAAACATTTTACTGGATTGAATCCCATTCATCGCTTCATTCATCACAGGGCAACGATATTATACCACAGAACTCCCCAGGTCAAAGAGTGTTGTCTTAGTTTAGTTAGATCACGAGTTCGACATGAGTTTTCATGGTGTCAATCTTCATTTTTCATGATAACACTTAACTTCATGATAACAGTATGGCTGTTTCTTGGAGCAGCTATTGTCGTTCCACTTTCCGTGAATTGAACCAAAGTCTGTCATCTCACCGCAGTCCTCAGGACC